GAATCCTACATTATCAAATGTGTACATATCTTGAACAACCCAATAATCTTTTAATGTTTCTCCATCAAAAGGTTCCTTGTCTTTTTTCTTGTGCATGAAGGGCAGATAAAACTGAAAAGAGAAAAAAAAAAACCAGACTTGATAAATGTATTATTATTATTTTTGAAGAATATATAAAAACTATGAACAGATGTCATGTATATTGCATTCATCATGTATTTGCAAATAATTTACCAAAAGATCTATAAAGAACCACCAAAAGGGTCAATGATCTTTACAATACAACAGGACTAATTTAATGAAAATTCTAATAAAAAAAACTACTATTTTGGACATAACAAACAACCAAGAGACATGTATAAACTATGGCTTGGGTCGGTATTCGAAATAATAGTATAGAATTATCTCATTGTTAAGATGTTACTACAGGCATTAATAAATGAAATGAATTAGGGGTTAACATCCTTCTTTTCTGCACCGACTGGGCTAGTAAAACAGGCATTCAAGGGTTCTTTTACGTGCACACCAATATCTAGTTTTTTGTCCCCATCTGAACAACACCGTTCTTTGCCCTAAGTTCTGCCCCACTGACAAGCGACCTTTCTACGAGGATACTCTCGTCATTATCGAGCAAATGATAAAGATGAGACAAGAGTATCGTCATCGAAATGTCGCTTGGTATTAAATTCAGTAATTGTGTATCCATAAAATTGTACCCTTGTGTTAAATCGACAATATTTACAACTTGATTACAAGTACGAGTGTTACTGTTATCATCCCTGTCATTTTCTTTGTTATTTACGTCTGAATCTAGGTCATATTCACTTTTAAAATCACTTTCATTGCCATAATTCAACCCATCAATATCTTTGCCGTTATCGCTAGTTATAAGAGCTAGCGCATCCGTTGCATTTAGTCATTTAGAACACATAATTAATCAATAAATTTGCCAAAACTCAACCGTAAACAAGTGGAAGGAAGTCACTATTACAACAGACCTGGAGCAAACCGTAAAGGGCATTTTGATTGACTAAAAGTTAATAAACCACATAAATTCATAAATTTAATCAAATACAGTGGCTACATGATATTCCTGTCGTTTTTAAGATGGCTGCCAAAGCACAATCAGAAAGCGTTCGTGATTTCACATCACCTCGAAAATATAGAAAACCTGTTCGGTAAGATAAGATCAAGATCAGTGTGAACCACTCTTCACTATTTGTAACACAATCACATGGAATGTATGACAAATCATCCCAAAAACAACTTGGCCCAAAAGAAGACCACCCATCCCAAGTTTAGAAGACCACTCATCCTACAATAGTGGTGTTTGTTTTAATACGTGGGCCGAGATATAAGACCACTCAGACCAAATTTAGAAGACCCCTCATCCCACAATAGTTGTGTGGGTTTTTTTCAAATACATGGTCCAAGATAGGTCTACTCAATTTATTGTTTTTATTCATCATTATTTATTAAATTAATCTATATTACATCAACAATTTATAAAACAATTTATTACAAACGTGTATTAAAATATTAAAAATTAAAACAAACACATAATCAATTTATTAAAACAACATCAATTTTATTAATACATAATCAATTTATTAAAACACTTATATTAAAATGAATACAACTATCAATTTATTTGTTGTTGGGATGAGTGGTCATCTATAATCTTGCCATGACTATTGAGTGGTCTTCTATTGGGTCTTGGGATCAGTTGTCTTTGGGATCAGTTGTCTGGTTACCATTACATGTTGGCCTACTTGTTTCCATGCAAACTGTGATGATATGTGTTGAGAATTTTGCATTTGAAGGTGTTTTAACTTGCGCAAAGCCTCGAAAAGTACACCAATTGTAGCGGCGAACAAGACAGTTCGCCTATCCAATCTCACGAGTTTTTTGGTTTCCTCTCACTGCTAAAGACCGCTATGAGCAGGCGAATTATTGAAATAAAATTGAACCATGTGTTAGTCCCGAATGACCTAGTGTGTCTCGAGTAAACGTTAAACCCCATTTATGTCTCTACCTTTCCTTAGTTCTTTCTTCTTATTCTTACCTCTTTTTCTATGAGAAGTGCCTGTTCTGAAGATAAAACTAAGCTTGGGCATCGTTGACAATAAATATTGGTTTTATTTTTCCCGTTTTCTTGAAGACAATCAACAGTTGGATTACTTTTACACGCTTCTGACATTTTTTCGTTTCTTAGTTCAATATATATTGAAATAAATTGATTCTAATTAACTTTGTGACCGCAAGGATCGATACCGGAAATGCATCCATAAAACCGGAAGTTGATCTGGAACTAGGAAACGTGCAGAAAGTGGCAACCTATATTTTCGAACAAATAAACTGTTTACTTGGTAACGACATCATCAAAACAATAACCAAGTCTAGTAACAAATATAGGTGCTTTACTTGTCACTGGTAAAAATTAATAAAGGTTAACTTGAAAAGACCCCAAACACAGAGTTACCTCCCTTACTCTTCTGGACATCAGAATTATGTTACAACTTCTAATCATCGTGATAATACTGATACCAATTTCTATCAGGGTCTGAGAATAAACTGATTAGTTTTAAAATAATATTTACCACCCGAAACTACTGCTCCTTATATCGTCTCAAACTGCTTGAGTCACATGAAAATCTGTGAACTATTTAAGGACCGTATGGCCTAGTTTGTCTGTGATATCACTTCCTTGGAAGCGGACGTTAATTAAGCGATTTCACACACATACACTAGCCGTTTTGAGGTGGCCTTGAGAGTGGTCGTTTCAATTGTCTCTAATTTTATCAGAGAACTGTTGTAATCAATATTTAATGTACAAAGGGATAAGTTTCAGGGAGGAACCCTGATACAACTCCTGATCAATTTCGGCTAGCCACTCTGCTATACAAATATAAATCCCACTTGCGAATCAGAAGCCCAAACAATGCATTTTCATTTTATACACTTGAAAAAAAAAAAACACATGCAAACTAATATGTACCAGCATCAATGATAACATGTTCGATTACATCTGTAACAACCGGACGATCTTTGTCAAGTTGATGTCTTTTTTTATTGAACGTCTGCTTCCAGTCACAAACAACCCACAAGAAGAGAACGTGAGCGACAATAAGACCCTGTATGCTGTATGGTGAAAAACAGAATTAACACAGATGTTTGGTTGACAACTTTAATCAAAACTATTTTCATGAGGTTTTTTTGTTTTTTTTTTATATATATATTTTACACCTAAGAATTTCTAGCACTTGTACAATTAAATGACATGATAATCTATTTCCTCTTGATAAAATTTGTTTTGGAGAAAATATGGATAGATGATAAATTCATTAATTTTTTTAATACACTTTAATGTTTTAGCTATGTATGATCAATGTGACTATAATTAAATAGACAATAAGATAAATTATTACTTCAAACTGTTCATGAAAATTTAAACTAAAATATTTCAAATGGCTCATTGATTTAACATTAAAATCACAGTACAGATTTTAGCTCTTGGGCAATAAAAAGGCTGCTTTCTTTCAATATTTTTAATTAGTTTTCTTGAATAAGGTCCCTGACCTGAAGATATTATTCTAAACCAAAACATTAATGTATCCAAACAATTTCTATTTCTCAAGCCTTAATCACAAAAAAAACCACTAAAATATTATAGGAATGCAACCCCTTCATTGGTCTAAAACTGAAATTTGTGCTAAGATTTTAAAATTTAAACCTCAACCAATGAAAAGGCTTTATCCTTAAAATGTTTCATTTACTCAAAACATAGTTATACTGTTTTCAAAAGCTTAATTCTTGACTATCCGTTACAGTTAGGACAGCACTTAGACCACTTTCTAGAATATCATGGCTTGGGTGTAAGTTCATCAGGTGACATTTCTGCGATTGTGTTAGGAATGAGGATATATTTACATCCACCTATTTTTTAATAAATATCAATACATTTTAGCTTTTAATTTGTCTGTAATTGAAAAGAGATAAATCCCAGATATATTTTAGTCAATAAAACTGATTAATTTGGGGTCAAAGACTCTTGCAGTTCTACATCCTAGCCTTGTGCATATATCTGGGACTGCCCCCTTAAACCTTTTGTCCCATCCTGGATTTATTATGGTAATTATAGAAATCATGAAATGAATGATATGGTGACATAAATATATATTTCTTAATTAGTTGCCTTTAAAAAATTTATAACCCGATTCAATAGAAATAGTGTCGGCACTCAATGATGCCGCATAGCAGTACATATAATTCTTAACTCGTGTACTAGCAATAAGTCAACAGAAGTAAAAAGGTTAGGATTATTAAGCATGAGGCATCATCAAGTGCTGACATAGAAATAGCTATGAATTTTTAATCCTAATATAATAATAGCTAACATGAAAACAAACAGGTCACGATAAACAGTTTTATGTTAAATATAATGAATATTGCAACTGAATATGAAAACTAAGCTATTCATGTAATGTTAGAATATATATAAAACAAAATAACAAATAATAATAGAATCAAGACAATATGATAAATCTATAATAATGTACATATGAATGAAAATATACACAATGATGCTATGTACAAAGATTTCTTTAATATCTTTACGACATGAGGTGAGTTAATAAAATAATGAGAGGATCAAGGCTACACCAATTTTAACATTCGTTCTTCGGGAACAACTATTAAAAATCTGGGGTTTTTTCTTTTAGTTCTTGGGGGGTGGAAATTTAAAAACAAAAATGTACTCATATTCGCTATTCAGTTGGACATTTTTAAGTTTTTAAATTTTTAACCCAAAAATTCATCAAGACCCCAAAGAACTAAAAATAAATTTATTTTGGCTTTTGGCCTAATAGTAAAATATTATGTCTACTATACTAATTCCTTTCGTAAAAACAACATATATTCTTGTTGAAGTAATATCATTTTTTTTGTTTTTCCCCCCCTTTTTTTTTTATTAAAGATCAAAGATAGTTGCAGGCATGAAATTTAATGTTACAATTTTATTTCAAATGGATATATTCTGAATTCAGAAATTAATGGTGAAGAACAAAAATAGAAGAACAAGAAGGCTCAATCAGAAATATCATGGGTCTACCAAAACTAGTCTCCACGGAAACACAGAATTATTCAATCTCAAAATATTTAATTAGCAAAAGACACAACTACTATAATAGGAAGATGTGTGTACGTTTCATAAATATATCTTTAACGGTTAATGAGAGATGCTACGGAAAGAAAACAGGACAGAAGCATTGAGAGAACACATTTCAAAACCCATCCCTTAACTTCGTTCGGCTCGGAATTCATATCCAGCTTTAACACATCTAGCCTGAAAGACCATCTACTTCAACAATACTTTTAACGAGATCTGTTTTTAAACCCAATATAGTATTTCCATCTGGTTTGATGTCTCGAGGATATTTGATGATTTGCTGAGAATAAATGACACGTGAGACACTCTAGCACCCTTTCAACAGAATCTGAACATTTGATTCTTTTGTTTATTACCTAAAACATGTGATAACAATAATGGTTAAATAAAGTCACCAATCGCCATTTGCATTTTGCGGACAATATGAAAATCCATGCTAAAATTTTCTCCAATTAATCATTAAACTTTCAATTAAGAAGACAAAATTAAAATATCAAGAGTAGATAATCTTCTGGCATGGATTCAATCAAATTAAAAACAACCTTTCAAAAGATTTTAGCGAAAATTACAGGTGTTACAGCCTTGTTTTGACCATATCGTCCGCAGAGGATGCCAGTTGCACAAATTTTAAATTTAGCATATCTTTGTAATTACTGAACATAATTACATCATTTTTGGACTGATATTCCCTGTAGTGATAAAACTTTCACAATAACATTGTTTGCAAGGGACGATAAATCCCACAAATGACAATCAGAGACTTTAAATAGAGGCCATATAAAAATGAAATTGAGTTAAAAGCAACAACTGACAATGAATTCACAACAATGACCAAATTTACAAACATGAAATATAGAACTAATGGTTGTTGATAATCAACCATGGGTCGCATCATCTTCAACAAAGTCTTCAGCTTCTTCACGAGATACACACTCTACATGACTAACCTACAAAATACACACAAAAATAATAATAACAGAGAGAGAGAAATGGTGTTTAACGTCCACTTGACTCAAACTAGGTCATTTCGGGACTAACACATGGTTCAATTTTATTTCAATAATTTGCTTACACATAGGAGTCTTTAGCAATGGGAGGAAACGACTCGGAGAAAATCAACGAGGTTGGACAGGCAACCCTACTCCTTGTCACGTACATCTGGGGAATCGAAACCACGCCAGTTGACTCAATGAAAGACCTTATGATATAGCGTGCATGTGCTAACCATTCGCCCAACCCCCAATAATAATAACAAGTGTGGAAGATATTAGCAAAGATTATAGGTGACACTGGCTTGTTTCATCATATCCCGTTTATTTATGTTTGCAGAAAATGCCAAATGTTGACAAATTTTCAATTCATTAAATCTTTGTAAATATTTGAGGGAATTGAATTATTTTTAGACTGATATTCAATTCTCAACATTCGTAAATGCCAAACTTCAGACCTCATTATTGTTGACATGGTAAATAATTTTAAAACCCACGCATGAATTTTCTATCTTTGAATTCTAATTACATGCACTATACAATTTGTACACAGGACATTAGTTATTCTCGTCCAATATAAACAACTAGACACATTCAAGCTTGACCCAACAGCACCGACGAGTGGATTTTAAAACCCTGAAGGTTCTTCTCTGGGGGCTGGGGGGAGCTTCAACCTCCCCAATAATTTGCAAACATGTTGGGTTTTTTTTTAGCTTAGCAGACAGCACCCCCACCCCACCCAATATGAATTTTGTGCTGACAATGCTGGACATCCTAGTTACATGTTCTAACCACTGCCATGTCTGGTCTGGTAATTCTGACATTACATATCTTACCTTGTTTCGGAATTTAACACCATAGAATTTATCAGCATGTTGTAATAATTCAGGTCTAAATGTGGTTGTAATAAATTGAGCATCTTGACATAATTCATGGATCATATCTATAAATATAATAAACATAATATTAATTTATTCTAAATTTCATCTATATGTGCCAGCCATACAATGTTTTGGTTATTTTGAGACAAGCATGGTAATTTTTTTCTAGTATTCCCAACTACTTTCTACTTTCTTCAAATTCAAATGCATGGTTGTACACAGGGCACTCTAGGCTATTCCAATAATAAAATGGACCCTGTCAACTAGAAAGTCTATGTAGTGTGTGATGACCAAGAGTCCCATGTAATGACAATTCGGTATTGGTTGATATGGAACTCAGCAACTGTGTCCCACAGAAAGTTTATGTTTTATGACCAGACCCAACGTAATGACAATTTGGTATTGATCGATATGATCACCAACTTACTACTGTGCCATTACTATTCTAGGCTATTCTAGTAATATAATGGAGCCTTGCAACTTCGTCCCAAAGAAAGTTTATGTAGTGTGCAACAACCCATTGACGGGACCCAACTCAATGACAATTCAGTATTGATCGATATGGTTGCTAGTTTACTGTGTCATTGCTATTCTCATAATAGAACGGGGCGAGGGGTCCCACAGACCTGATGATCTGTTGATGGAACAGGTTAAGCAAATATGATTCTGTAGTATAAATAGAGGTATAAATATATACTGACCAGCAACTGCCTTTCTGTGACTTGAATCTAAAGCTTGATCAATTTCATCAAACAAATAGAAGGGGGCGGGGTCACATTTCTGGATGGCAAATATAAGTGTTAAAGCTACTAGTGATTTCTGTCCTCCTGATAACTGTTGCATGTCTCTCATCTCAGCCTTATTACCAGTAAATGATACCTGTAATATAACAACACAGTTCATTACCATTAAATGATACCTGTAATACAATAACAACTCAGTTTAATACCAGTAAATGATACCTGTAATATGATAATAGCTTTCCTGGAAAATTTGGGTAGAAGATTTTTAGGAGTCATTTCATTTCATATACTTGCAATCTCAGGTGCAGCTTTTCTTAGCTCTCTATGATTTTACTTGATTCAATTAAATCAAAAAAAGTGGATAATCAAGACTCTGCTGTTTATATTAATGATTTTAGTAATGATGACCGAGACTATGCAAAAATTTCACCCGCTTCTTTCTCGGCTCATAGTGGATCAATTTGACTGAAATTTTCAGCAAATTACCTTTACACTATCTAGTTTTTAACTATTATCTTATCTCCCATAATGTATCTTTAATGAACAAATCAATGAATCAAAACAGAGTAAATATGTAAGAAATGTACCTTAATACAGACACCCGTAAACTGTTCAACTAGAGGTATATCTTGTGACGAACCACCTTCATCAGCCTGTAATTATAACATATTATATAACCATCTATAAAAACAATTTGAACCTGGTATATATAACCAGAGCAGAATATAAATATCTATAAAAACATGTTCATTTACACTAGGCCTAGGGCTGTCAGCCCTTTTTTATAGCGCATGTACAGTAATTTTATATCCATCCAATCAGTAAGTTAGAATGTAAATATATACAAGTAATGATTGTGGGAGCGAGTAATAGTTCGCGTCTGGTGGCAAGCCCAGATTTAGGATATAAATATATACAAGTAATGATTGTACATAGTTTGTGTGAGATTAGCGTGGGAGCGAGTAATAGTTCACGTCTGGTGGCAAGCCCAGAGTTAGAAAATATAATTATATACAAATAATGATTGTATATAGTTTATAGTTCGTTCTTTTTGACTAAATCCTTACTGTGCTTTAAAATGACAAGAGAATCATCACTGACAAAAGGAAACTGTGATGCAAAATCCTAAGAAACTTTCCCAGCTAATAAAAGGAATAAGGGACCTCCTGGTTCGTGACTTAGCCACCCTTGGCTCCACCTGGTTAAAGAGGGAGGGCCTTAAGCGGTGGACACACCAGCCGAATCAAACAAGTTTGATATATTCGACCGAAATATATTTGTCTTGTGTGTGCACTTCACCCATGCATTCGCCCAATTGTAAAATTCATGAGACAATCACCACTGATATCGAGAAGCCATGTGATTGTATGAAGATATGGTGATGTATTAACTGGTGAATCGGGGAAGTGTGTCCACTCATTCTGCCCCGATTGAATCGGCCGAATGATTCGGCTAGTGTGTCCACCGCTTGGATCACTGAGCCACTATAAGAAACAATAAGAGTTGGACATCAAAATCTTCATACATGAAGAAATAAGTTACTTACATCATCCATATCTCTTTCTCCCTTTTTAATAACTAATACAGCATGACCTTGTGGGACTAACTTTTTAAAGATTTCTGTGAAATACTTTGACACCTAGTGAAACAAAACAAGATATTTTTAATCAATACACAATAGCACATATTTTATATCAAATGTATTCAAGCTTACAAAGTAAAGGTATATTAGGCAATTTCTAATGCTCAAAAGAGAGAGAGAGAGAGAGAGAAATGGGGTTTAACGTCCACTCGACACAAACAAGGTCATTTCGGGACTAACATATGGTTTAATTTTATTTACATAATTCGCTTGCGCGTAGGGGTCTTTAGCAGTGGGAGGAAACCGGAGGTCCTGGAGAAAACCCACGAGGTTGGACAGGCGACCCTACTCCTTGCCACGTACAACCGGGGATTCGAAACCACGACAGTCAACTCAATGACAGACTTTATGATACAGCGCGCGCACGCTAACCATTCAGCCATCCAACCCCCCAATCCTCAAAAGAGATATGAGACAAAGAGCAGGGTCGCCTTCCTGACCTCTTTGGTTCTTCTGTATCCACCCATATACAGGCAAGCTTATTACTCAAATAAAATTGTACCATGTGTTAAGACTTGAAATCATCTAGTTCGTGTCGCACAATAAAGAACATTTTAATTGTAATTTGAATTCATATTGTTTTCTATCACCTAACATGAAATACAATGGGCTTCATCTATGGTAAAAGATATACTGGACAAGCCAATCAACATACCTGTTTAAATGTTAATTGAATAGCTTCGTATTTTCGCTGATCTAATGCACTCATTAAATCTAGGATAGACTGTAATAAAAAGATATATGAATAGAGGTATAATCATGATCTTATTGGTCCTAGTATTTGAATATGTCATGTGACTGATAAGTCTTGAAATAAGGCACCTGTCGCAGACACTGTGTGTAACAAATTCACACTGCTGGTGCCTGTCGTTTTGTCTGGCTAATATTTAATGTCTGGTCATCAGTGATTCTAATGTCTAGACACAAAGTTTAACTTGTCAGGTACACAGAATAATTATAACCTAAATTGGAAACTAAATGTGAACACTATGCAGAAAAGATGGCTGTAAAAAGCGTTTCTATAGTAACCAAAATAAACTTTTCAACCCAGACTTGACAAAGGAAATTCGCTTGCAAATAGTCTAGAAGCACATGTCTGAATGGTTATTTTTAGTATTAAGCAGAGATGCACAGAAAATTATTCAGTCAATAAATTTAAATGAGGTCTCATGCTCTTGGCTAATGAAAGGACAGAATTCATAAAATATTTATGTTTATGGAGGATTTTGTGACAATGTCTCACCTCATGAGCTCGATCTATTTCTTCTTTTCGTTTCATTAACTTTTCTTTCTGATCTGAGAAATTAACAAACTGATCCAAAGCTTTTTTATTGACATGACTGTATTTCTTTAATTCATGGTTACATTTCTCTAATTGTTTAAATAACTGAAAGAAAAAATAATAATTATGAAAATTACATCATGTCATTAATATAATTACCTCTTTTAATTTACATAATAAAACAATTATTTTTTAAGTTCACAATTTTATATAGCATCCAAATGTATCGAATTCCAACTGAAACTGGATTTTTTACGTGCACACCAATGTGTATAAGGGACCTCGGTTGTTTGTCCCATCCAAACAACTAGACAGCTGTCCTTGTCAGACCCTCTGTCCTGCACCACTGACATGAAGAAAATCACACCAGGATATCCTGATGAACTTTCTCAGCCAACACTGGGTGAGATACCCGCGTCTTCCAGGCTAGCGAGGAAGATTATCTTGTTTTGTTTTCTAAATTGAATGTTAAATATTTCATTTGAGTAAAATTTAACTTGGATATTGTCCAAAAAGTGAAAATGACGATGAGCAGCTGAAATAAGAGCTATGGAAGTTGAAATTTAGACATCAAAAGCTGTGCCAAAACTATCAATGTCTTGTGACTGACAATTAATGATCATTGTTATTTTTGTCCTTTATATCTACCAATAAAATAAAACTTACTGCTTTTACGGACAGATCTTGATATTTTTCAAATGCATCACTTGGTAGTGAACCAAGTTCTCTAATCTTTCTCATACAATCATCTTTCTATAAAAAACATTATAAAATATAGTATAACACAGATAGCTGGCACAGGATAGATAAACCAGCTGGCACATTATTTGAAGAGAAAGTCATGGTTGAAAATCAAAGCAAATCTGCAAAATGTGCTGAGTCCATAAGAATATGTTATTAAATTTATTGTGGGCTTACAATGCAATTTGTGTCTATGATTTAATATTTCCATGTCATAATAACTATGATACTTTTATAAGATTGTTTGCCAAATAGTAATGAAATGAAATATGAAGACAGGCTTACATCAAGCAGTTTGATAAGAGGGTGATTTAGCTGGGAAAACCTACTTTTAAACTAATTCAAACTATCATGTTTTCTTATATGTATACACAAACATGTACACAGGACTTCGATTAACCGTCTTATCTCAACGACCAGATGCTCTTCCTAGCCAGGCTTGCGGTCCTCTACCAGTGATAAGAGAAATCTACACAACAGATCTTGAGGAACTTACTCGTCCAACAGTATCATCAATCTCAGGACCTCTTGGTTAGTGAACTAGCACCTTATTCACTGAGCTCGTGTGGTTCCAAGAGGAATAAAAGAACTGATTGTGCAATATTTACCTTTTTAATTAATAAACTCTGTTTGTTGGTCATCTTTTCTAAATCTTTTGCATCATCATTCAATTTTTCTTGTGCTTCTCTTTCTTGTCCCTATAATAATTATCAAACAAAATAATAACTAAATTCACAATGAAAATTACACTACAACAGCTCAAATTTTCCAGTCAGATTTCTGGAACTTTAATACATTGCAGTTCTTTTAGTCTTATCAAATCAATCATTGGTTTATTTGTAACAATTTTTTCTGTCACTTTGTTAAACCCATGGATCATCATTTGAGGGATTCTGAAACTACAACATCGCAAAAATAGTTTAATTTAGATATGGTGAAATAGAATCCAAGGATATGGCGAAATTGAATCCAAGCGGGGATATTATCTACAATGGATATTTTAGTGTAGATTAGGGCATTAAAAATTTAGTATTGTCAAAAGATGCATGGATCCTGATTGACAACATTAATTTATTTGATGTACTGATATATTATGTACATACCTTCCAATATTCCATATTATTCTGTAATTCTCTTTGTTCTTTATTTAATTTATCTACTTGTTCATCAATATCTATACAAATATAAAATATATAAAATATTTAAACTCAACAGTTTGATTTGTGTACAAAGTTTCATCAAGATATTTTGAACGGTTTATGAGATATGTTCCAGAATAAAAATTGGATTCCAAAAATCCAAATGAGATAATTATCCACGGAAGCACAAAAACTATTAAATCTGCGATTTTTTGAATTAGCTAAAAAAAAGTCACAAGTACTATAATAGATTTGATTGTGTACAAAGTTTCATTAAGATATTTTGAATGGTTTATGAAATATACTCCAGGAACAAAACACCTGTATATGTACTGGCAGCCCCTTAAACATGCATTGTGCAAGAGCTAAATCTGCATATTGTCGTCTTTCTTGAGGCCTGAGATGTTATCTAAATTATTAATTAGACATTATTAAGACCATAATCAACTCTCGATGTCATCGCTAGCCTGCGATATTTATTGGATTAGGATCCGATCTGCTGCTCAGCGGTCAATCATGATAAAATCAAGAAATGGATAATCGAGACTGCTTTTTATCGTACCGACTTTAGTAACAATGATCGAGGCTAGGCCCAATTTTCAATCGCTAAATTCTACGGTACACAGGGCATCAATTTGACTGAAATTTTCAGCAAATTCCCTTCACAGTATTTAGTTTTTAACTATTATAGTAAGAACTGCCAACTATGTATCTAATCTCCCATAATGTATCTTTAAGATTATGACATTAATTGGTCACCTAGATCAAAATAATAACAAGAACACTCATCAACATCCAGCACCCTTGAATACCCCCAAAAAAAGAAAAAAAAAAGGCAAATTTTTTCCATGGAAACACAAAAATCATAAAACAGATTGATATTTTGAACCGATATCAGATAAGCCTACGCTCCAGAAAAAAAAAAACCTTCGGCACAAGATAATGAATCAATAAATGAATATGACTTAATAAATTTGTTTTATTGTTAGGTCTGTTACCTTTCGATTGTTTTTTTAATTCTGCAACTCTTGCATCTACTGTTTGCATCTCAGCATTGTACGTATCTAATCTCTGTGTTCTATCTTCAACAGATACTTCTTGTAGATCAGTCATTATTCTATCTCTCTTTTTCATTAAATTATTATTTAATAAATTCTCTAATTTATTTTTATCCCCCTCCAACTGTAAAACAAATGACAATATGTTATATATCAATTTATTATTAACATGCTAGTTTGCCACTGCTGTGGCTAAATAAAAGTCCTTGATTAATTGACATTAAAATTCAGATGTGACATCATCCTTTAAAGTTGGTGTACCATTATTTCAAAAAATGTACAGGTATACTGTGAAATGTAATTTCGAAGCATTGCCGCTTTGTTAGCCTCAATCAACTCTAATCCTATGCATGTATCCACCTAAATGAGCAGAAATATTGTCTCAGTAATCTGATTTTATTAAATTAATCGGTAATCCACCAGACCTCAAGCCAAACTTGACAATGTCTTCACCCTAAGACACCCTGCTGCTTTAAATACAGGGCATGCCCCATATTTGTTTTGAATAATTATTTATCAGTACTTACTCTGATCCGTTCTTGCCATGCATTTTTATTCTGTATATTCAGTTGTTTAATTTGATCATTAAGATAATCCACTTCTCTCTGATCATCAACACTAAGTTGAGACATTAAATCAGTTCCTAATTCTTCTTTTAATGATATAGCTGATCCTTTCATAGCTTCTAAACTACTCTGTAAACTTACTATACTCTTACCCTGTAAATAATACATCAGTTTTAATCCCTCAACCCTTAACACTGTCAAAAGTGGCAACATTTATATGACCTGTGATGTTAAAATACTAAGTTGGAAATGACATGGGGTTTAGCTTCCTACTTTTCTGAATCATCCAAGATTTTTTGTGTGATGGCACCCTACACCACTGATAGTTAGATGCAGCTGTGTATTTGAACCTGAATCGTTCGGTCGAATCAAAAATGACACTGCAGTGGTAAAATTTTCCATTTAGAATAAAGCATATATGTACAAATTAGTTTCTCTGTGGTTAAACTATTATGAGGTGTCTGATTAGTCAAGAAAAATACTATTTTCAATAAAACTTCAAAATCCAGGTTCTCTTACCTTTCCAGGTTGAATTTTTGAAATTTCTTTTAATTCTTCATTTGCAAGTCTTAAATCAGCTTGCATTTTATCATAAATAACCCTTTAAAAAAGAAAAAGAGATCATTGAAATATTTTCAAGAATAACTGTAAAACAATATCTTGGAGTATTGATACATGAAATTTCAAGTTAAACAGATTCTCCTTAGGACATGAACATTCAAAGCAAATTTAAATTTAACAAATCATCATACGTACCTGTTTTTACTATTTTTTGTTTCTAATTTTTGCATTTCACTGACTAAATTATTTATTTGCCCTTCAAGTTCTTCTAATTTGGTTCTATGTTCCTGATATTCAGCTTCCTGTTTGGTTAACTCGCCTGTCAGTTCTATTTTACCCTTCTGTAAATCTAAACGAGATCTTCGTGTATCGTAGAAACCACCTGTTAACGCACCTCGTCTGCTAACTTGGTCACCTGTCAATCACAAAAAACATGTATTAACAGCAATTTAAAGTAACATAATAGAAAGGAAATGAAGTGGGGTTTAACATAATTTACTGTGCCAAATGAACTAATGGAGACAGAGGTAAGACAGTGACCTATTACGGAAATCTTGCCATGGAGAGCGGCGTTTCAGCCTTCTCTTCATCTTATTCCGACTGGGAAGTTTTTCTAACAGAAATGAGATGGGGTTTAACATATTCCTTTTCTGCACCAACCTGGCTAATGAAGATGGCATTTTGCCCGGAGAGGTGCATTTCCACTTTTGAACTAATTCCAACTAGCAAGTTTGTTTTAACATATACGTACATTATGTAGAGTATTTTGTCGTTTTGTTTGGTTATTGTCAAGCCTTACCATCTAATGTAATACAGAGAGAGAGAGAGAGAGAAATGGGGTTTAACGTCCACTCGACACAAACTAGGTCATTTCGGGACTAACACATGGTTCATTTTTATTTCCATAATTCGCTTGGGCGTAGAGGTCTTTAGCAGTGGTAGGACCCGGAGAAAACCCACGAGGTTGGACAGGTGACCTTACTCCTTGTCACGTACAACCGGGGAATTGAAACCATGCCAGTTGACACAATGACAGACTTTATGATACAGCGAGCATGTGCTCACCATTCAGCCATCCAACCCACCCCCCTAATGTAATACAATCTTTAGGTTATTGTAAAGACTTCCCACCATCTAATGTAATACTATCTTCAGGTTATTTTAAAGACTTACCATCTAATGTAATACAATCTAAGTTTTGTGTTCGAGCTATCTGTGTAGCTACTTCCATACTTCTACATATCAATGTTTTACCAAACACATGTTTAATGGCAGCACTATAGGTATCAGAATAAGTTAATTTTTTTATCATAGGTATGGCATCCTGAAAACATAAAAGAAATATTTAATAGGTAAGGCATCCTGTCAACATAAAAACACAAATATATTAGAGCACGGAGGGAGGTTGTTAGAATTTGTCAACAAAATCAAACATCAACGATATATATTGAAATGGTTTTTGAGATGGTAGAGTCCTACACTGACATCAACTGCTTTTTAGTGGTCATTTATTCTAAAGATCATTATTGTTATGCTATTCGTTTGAATCAACTGAAATGTTCACAATTTGGTTGCCTTTAAATATTTCTAGAAATTATTAATCTATACATCTTCCTTTTATGGTCGATTTTTTTTTTTCCTTGGGGGGTGGGGTGTGGGGCAAATTTTGCCCGTTTCTACATTTTTTTAAAATTAAAATTCCATCTGTCGAGGGTTCTTTTTCTCTTATGTGCACATCAACGTGTACAAGGGACATTGGTTTTTACGTTAATCTCCACAACTACTAGTAGATGTCCTGCATCTCTGGCACTCGTCAGCAACTTTCTTAGCAAATACCAGAAGTAAACACGGGACCTCCAGGTTAGCAAGCCAGTGCCTTAGTCACTGAGCCACTGCTGCTGAAGCATTAAACTAACTTACAGCTGATTGAGGATATGTTGTATCACGAGCATCAAGTCTGTTTAGAGGCATAAAGGTAACTTCTCCTGGTAATTTCATTCTGTTCATCTCTTGTAGAATCTTTGTACCAGTTTTATCAGTATCAACTACATGATGAAATAATCTACAAAATGGCAAAAAATGATAATTAAAGACTCTCATCGTCACTAGAGTCCCTTGTAAACAATAACCAGCGGCTGCCAGGCAGGATACGCCCACATTTTCGAGAGATGGATAGAGAACAAGCTAAAAAGAAAGTGATTTTTCGTACATTCAGGGGCCATAATTCACAAAGTTAATGTCCGATATGCGCGAATATCGAAAGGAACCGAGATCTTTGGGTTATAAACTTATATTTCAAGTTTCAACAAAATCGGATAAAAATTGTGACCTCTATAGGGTCCACAACCTTGATATACCATATTTTTTATGCTATTTGAGAACGAAGTACGGACATTTTGTCTGTCAGTTTTGGGCCGATTTGCACGAAATTCGAACTCAGTCGTCCTTAGGGTGTAACGGTGATATAATAATACGTTTTTTTCAATCGGATAAAAATTATGACGTCTACGGGGTCCACATGCTAAAATCGCGATTTTTCGTACAATCACGGGCCGTAATTCAGGAAGTTATGTTCCGATATGCGCGAATATCGAAATGAACCGAGATCTTTGGGTTATAAACTTACATTTCAAGTTTCATCAAAATAGGATTAAAATTGTGACCTCTATAGGGTCCACAACCTTGATATACCATATTTTTAAGCTATTTGAGAACGAAGGGCGGCCATTTTGTCTGTCCGTTTTGGGCCGATTCTCACGAAATTCGAACTCAACCGTCCTTAGGGTGTAACGGTGTTATAATAATACGTTGTTTTAAATCGGATAAAAATTATGACCTCTATAGGGTCAACAAGCTAAAAACGTGATTTTTCGTACAATCAGGGGCCATAATTCAGGAAGTTACAGTCCGATATGCGCGAATATCAAAAGGAACCACGATGACTGGGTTATAAACTTACATTTCAAGTTTCAAAAAAATCAGATAAAAATTGTGACCTCTATAGGGTCCACAACCTTGATATACCATATTTTTACGCTATTTGAGAACGAGGGGCGGCCATTTTGTCTGTCAGTTTTGGGCCGATTTTCACGAAATTCGAACTCAGTCATCTTTTGAGTGTAACGGTGATATAATAATACGCTTTTTTAAATCGGATAAAAATTATGACCTCTATAGGGTCCACAAGCTAAAAATGCAATTTCTTGTACAATCAGGGGCCATAATTCACAAAGTTACGGTCCGATATGCGCAAATATTGAAAGGAACCGATATACATTTCAAGTTTAAAATAAATCGGATAAAAATTGTGACCTCTACAGTGTTCACAAGCTAAAAAAGTGATTTTTCGTACAATCAGGGGCCATAATCCATGAAGTTACAGTCCGATACATGCCAATATCGAAAGGAACCAAGATCTTAGGGTGATAAACCTATATTTCAAGTTTCATTGAAATCGGATAAAAATTGTGACCTGTAGACTGTTCACAATCAATTGTGGACGGACAGGGGCGACGACAATATACGTCCACATGAAAATGTGGGCGTATAATATTGTGAAAGTTGAATCTCAATGTTCGAATCTGTTCAGTATTTACTCAGATATAATGAATTGAAGATTTGTCAAGATTCAGCATCCTCTGCAATCCAGTGCCACCTATATGTATTGGCTTAAATCTTTTGATCTGCCTCTTTTTATTCAGGGGATTACCTACCGTTGATATTTCAAGTTTGAAATAAGGTACTAATCACAGACATTGTCAGACACAATCCCTCTTAACATTATGTCTGGCACAGAATTGTTCTTTATCAGTGTCTTAATGATATCTATAATAAAATGTCTGGCACGAAGTTCATTAGTGTCTACAATTTTGTTGGGTAAAATTGAAATAAAATGGGGTTTAACATCCTACCTACTATTCTTCTCCGACTGGGCTAATGGAGACGAGTGTACACCATACCCTGTGATATGAGGGAAATTTTGCCTGGACAGTGGCACTATAGCCTACTCTTATATCGAATTCCGACTGCCAGGGGATCTTTTATGTGCATACCAATGTGTACCTCTTTTTTTTTGTGTCCCATCCTAACGACTAGACAGCTGTCCATGTCAGGCCCTTCTAGTCCTGCACCATCAATGCCGGAAAATCCTGATGATCTCCTGATATTTTGATTTTGTTTTCTTAATTGAAATAATGTTAAATAATGAATCCGAGTACATTTTAGCGTGGATTAACCATGGAAATTTTCCAGAAAAAAAAGCCATCCCATAAACAAACTGATATTATACCTGGTTCCTGCTGTTACTTCAACACAGGTAAAAAAGGTTTTTTCACAATCAAATGTTTCTATAAGAATACCATGGTAACCATTGACAACATCCATTCTACCTTGTTCTTTTAATTCTTGTAGAACTTTATTTACACTGTCAATACCATTTAATAAAGACTGAAATAGAAACAAAGAGTAGTAGTAGTAGTAAAAGATGGAGATTGAACATCTGCTATCACAGAAGTCATATCACAGACAATGTTATGGTATCACACCATGACAGACAGACGTACGGACTAATTTTGATTAGAAATCCATGCAATAAATGAAATCAAATGGGGTTTAACATTCTATCTTTCTGCACCCACTAGGCAGTGTGCAATGAGGGAAATTTTGCCCGGGCAGAAGTCATATGGCCTACTTTTAATTCAAATTCCAACAGTAAAAGATTCTTTTAAGTGATCGCCAACATGTACAAAGGACCTCGTTTTTTGGGACCATCTGAATGACTAAATGTAGTTCCTGCATCACTGACATAAGGGAACCATGACAAAAAATCCAGAGGAACTTTCACAGCCAACATATTGATCGAATCAGGGATTTCCTGGTTAGAGAACCAGCACCTTACATACTTAGCCACCGCGGCCCCCTAAATCACTCATGTAGAAATAATTACCTTTCCTGTAAGGGATCGTAACCCTTGTTCCTTTTTACTCAATTCTTCGCGTGTTGCTTGTAAGGTCTGTTGAAGAGCATTTTCTTGACGCCATAAAGAACTGAAATACAAAATTAAATCAAAATGTCTTGTGAGTCTCTAATTGATAGACAAGCACTTGTTAGTATGATAGATGTAAATGATGTGGGATTTGATTTAAAGAAATTGGGACTTTTACATTAAAGGATGTGGGATTTGGAATAATAGGAGAGGGCTTTGAATGAACACAAAGGGGATATTTGGGACATGAAAGTCCATAATCCCACGAAACGTGACAATCTTTAAAAAAAACAACATGAATTTAGGTAGGCAACGCTAATCATGGGTAAAAGAAAGTTTAGGATTGAGCAAACAAATGCATTGATGACCAGCCTAAATGATGAATGCACTGCTTTGAATCTTAAATCCTACTGGGATAGAGAAATACACTACATATATAGCAGACTGATTCTGATATTTTTCATGTAATATCAATCAGATCATCATTTCTTCTAGAGGTATTAAATTTTATCATATTTTCCACATAACATCTATTAAATCATATCTTTTAGAAGTATGAGATTTTATCATATTTTCATGTAATATCAATTAGATCATCTTTTCTTTTAGAGGTATTACATTTTATCATATTTTCATGTAACATCTATTAGATCATTTCTTTTATAGGTAATAAATTTTATCATATTTTCATGTAACATCTATTAGATCATTTCTTTTATAGGTAATAAATTTTATCATATTTTTCATGTAACATCTATCAGATCACTTTTTTTACAACCAATCCTACCTTCGTTCATTCTGTAATGAGTCTTTCTGTGTTTTCATTTCATTAAAGTTTTTATTATTTTGATCTATTATGGTTTTGTGTTGTTCTATTTTGTCTGTAATATCCTGTAAAATACAAAGAAATCAACATGTTATAATCATATTGAAATGGACTCCATTCATCTGTCCATCCTTTCCGGAGCACATCTCGTAAATCTATCAATTAAATGCATCGGGGTTAAAGGAGCTAAATCGCTAATATTTGGGACCTTGAAATTGACACAAATGGGTTGGAACGCATATAATAATGTAATATGAATGTATATAAACAGATTTACATTCAATCATTCCTGTTTTTACTGTAATTTCTAATCAGTTATGTTCGGCGAAATGAATGGTAATCTCTAGCTGTCTGGTTATGCCAGTCTACATCGGTAGTATAGAATAAGACGTCACTGTTTGACACGTGTGGGATATGTCAAGCCTCGTTGACATATCCAGCATGTACACAGATCCAAATGAATGACTAAACGCTGCTCCTTGCCAGTCACGGCAAACAAATCAAGATATCTTTATGAAACTTTTTACACACATAGTAGTTATAGTAGTTGTGGCTTTTGAGAATTTTGCTAATTGGACTGTTGGAAATTGAGAGATTCAAAGCAGTAAAAGGGCAGTTCAAGAATATAAGTAATACTTACAGCTATTTGTGTATTTAACATTTCTACTTTCTGTTCTGAACTTGTTGTATCTTCCGTTAATCTGTTGATCTGAAAGTCATAAACACAAAGTTTTATTGATAAATTCAAAACACCAATTAGAATTAAATGCAAGATAGAAAATAGACACTAATATTTCACAAAAAAATACATTTTAGTAATAACAATGCACTAAAAATGTAGAATATGTTTGCTTGAAAACGTTGAGAGAATACTCTCCAAAACGTAAATAAATCAGTAATTGTTCTGCCATAAGTATGTGTTATAGTTTATTGCTCTATCCAGTTACTAAATGCCTCTAAAATATCACTATTTTAATACTTGATTATACATCCATATCATCAATTTTTTTATTTTTTGGGGGACAATTTCAGATTTCTACAATTTGTGAACCTTTCAAAATCAACAACAATTTTCCATAATAGTTGATATTTTTGAAATATGACATATTTCCCTTTCACCTTTCAGAGTCAAAAAATAATTAAATTCCATTAGTTTTACCTGACAGCGCATAAAGAATACCCCAAAATTATGTCAAATAGCCATGCAAAATTATTCTAATTCGAAGAATTGTGCAAGCATTACAAGTTACCTGTTCTTCTTTATCTTTAATAGCTTTATTCAAGGATTTTAATTCTTTTTTAATCCAGTTATCCCGATCATTAGTAGATTGAAACTGATTTCCTCGACCTTGTTTAGCATATAATTCTTTACGTCTCTGTTCAGCTAATCCTAATCTGTAAACATAAAACAGATCTATCATCAACTATCTTTACGTTAACACAATACCTTAAGTCATTTTGAGACAAACATATGGACTGCTGAAGTGTTAACAACTATTTTTTTTAAAGATACAGTATGTAAGATTTAGAGAAAAGAACTGGTAAGTTTTGCTATAATAGTTCAAAAATAGATAATGCAAAATCTACTTAAAATCGGAGCCATCCGATGACATCGTTAGTTGATTATGGTCTTGTCATGTTAATTAATGTCTAATTAATACTTTATATAACATTTAAGGCTTAAAGAAAGATCTGTAATAGACAGATTTAGCTCTTGAATAATGCCTCTATTGTGAAGGGTTCTTTTCTGTGCATGCCAATACCTATATGAGTGAACCACAGTATCTGTCTCATCTGACCAGGTTAGTGTGAGCACCATACTCGCCGATAAGCCATTGGTATTGTCCCCAGTTACTAAGTTTGGTGTAAGTTTCTGTATTGTAAATAAAAAAGTACTTACTGTTGTGCAGCACTTTCTTCTTTATCTCTCTGACTTTCATATAGAGGTACAATAGCTTCTAACTGTTCCTGAGTTTTATTTATTTTATCATTAACTTTCTGAAGTTCTAATTCGGCTTTTTTCTACAAAATAAATACAAGATTTAAATAATCATTCGAAACGTCACTCAGTAATAAACAGTAAGGTAAATGTATTTCATAGAATTGTGTCCTGTGAATTACTAGTGCAATTATTAAATGGCATTAAAACAATGAAAGATTATGGGTGATCTGTTCTGTGTACATAAATTCAGTTTTAAGTATGAAACAATTAATTGTATCATTTGTACGACAAAGACAAGAAAACCCTGGGCAAAACATGACTCAGTAATAAACAGTAATTGATCTCCTTCATGTTCCATTTACTAACAAGCACTATACAAAAGTTCGATCGAACCAGATCGAACCCAAATTTTATAAACTTAAACTTATTCCAAAGAATTGTGACCTGTGTATTTCTGGTTCAGTTTCTATATTTAACATATTGATCGTACCCTGGTATTTTGATTTCCTTCCATTTCATCTTGTATATCCTTCATATTTAATTCTAGTTTCGCTTTACGTTTTGTTAAATCTTGATTCTCTCCACTCAAACCATCTTTTTCTTCTAACATAGCCTGCATTCTAGCCTTTAATTCTTTTAAATCTTTGTTGATACTCTAGAGAATAAATAAAACTTTCTATATAGAGAATTTTCTACAAGCAGGATGCTATATGATGTTACAAACCAGTATATATAAGTCATTTGCATTTTTTGGACAATGTAAAAATTTTCACGGCTAAACCCATGCTAAAATGTACTCAAATTGATTTTTCAACATTGAATTAATTGGATACAATCGGATTAAAAAGAAGCCCACGGAAAGATTTGAGCCTATAGATCATCTGCATTGGAATAGTGAACGAAATTGATCCATTTTTGGACTGCTATTTCTCTTATAGATTCAACATTCACAATATTGTAAGTGATATAAAATCCCTCTAAGGACTATCAGAGACATTACAATTAATTATTGGCGGTGAGATAATGCATATCTCTATTTTTTTCATTGTTTTAGCAATTAATATCTTTTATGTCCCTCACCTTGACTTTATCATTGGCTTCTTGTTGGGAATCTCTTAATTTAGTTGTAGTTGCTCCACTGTTGTCACGTTTTTCTTGAAGCTAAACATAGAAAACATGTATATTATAATTCAACAATATATTTTACATATCAAAAAATCAACAAATTGCAAAGATAACTATAATATTCTTGATATGTACATGGATAACTTCACAAACTGTTTTATCAATATTCAAATTTCTAATGGAGATCAATAACTTCAGATACTGTTTTATCATATATTCAAATTTCTAATGTAGAGATCCAATTTGACAAACTGTTTTATTAATATTCAAATTTCTAATGTAGATCGATAACTTTACATACTGTTTTATTAACATTCAAATTTCTAATGTTATCTCTTTGAGCATTTGTAGTTAATGTCTGTACTTACCTCTTCTAACTTTCGTCTGGTGTCTCGTAATTCATTATCATGTATAGTATAATCAAGTGACCTACAAATATTAACGTAGTTATTTTAAATAATGTATGTCTGGTATTTCATCATAAAAGAAGATCAATGTGTCGTATTTATTTAGGGATGATATTTCTTATTGGTTTAAAAGAATAACTTTTCTAGTGACATTCAATTACTTTTTTGAATTGTCAAATATCATCTCACAGTCTCACATAACTTTTGGTCTCCGAAGGAATTGTCAGTAAGCAGAAATTTGTCCGTGTATCTGTTATCACTCGTCATTTCAGTCAGTTATATCGAAGGATAACTCTTGTTTTCCTTTTGTGTTCATTATTATCACATATGCATACATGTCAACCTGAGGAGATTGAAAATCAGAATGCCTTGTATTGAGGCTGGAGCGAGGACCGCAGATCCAAGTGAGCACTGGAGGCGCCGCAGGCTTGAAGGGCGTGGGGTTTGGGGCCCACCTAAGGGCCCCAAGAAAATTTTGAGAAATTAGCAGCTCTTTAAAGCAGTACCTTGTATTATTGGATAAAAACAGCTGGTGATTTAGGTCCATGCATCCGAGTTTTTTTTTACCTATTTATATACGAAAGTATGCATATATGCTTTTGGTCATTTACACGTAGGCATGACCTAAATTTGTTGTTAAGTGAAGATTTTTCGTAAGAGGCTTTTAGGTTTGAGCAGTTCAAGTGTTTTTTAGTTTCAAAATGTTCGTAATACCACCATAAGCAACACATCAATCACTCCTACAGACTAAACTAAATGCGAATTCGTCGCCTCTACGCGAGGACGTAATGGTTCCTGGAAATTCTTTGCCGTAAGTTTCCCGGTATTTCTGTCTGACATTTGTTTTGGAGGCCATTCTGTTTGTCTTGACGACCGACACAGAAGTAGAAGTCGTAAATTATTTATACTGGGTTTTATTTATAATTGTAATCTTTTTTTTTCACACATGGAAAACAGCTTGAAAACATTTTTTATCAAGTCAGAAGGAAATATGGCTAAGGAAGAAGCAACAACGTTACTGGCAACTAACGGTAAACCCGTCGTGTACTGTACAAGTGTATACAAGAATGGCTCCGCGTAGCAAATAATATCCGCGAAGTATGCAAATTAGGCACGGCCTATGACGAAATAACCACATGACATTTTAATCTCGATTAGTCCAGACATATTAGCTTATTCCATTTTATATCAATAATAATCGAGAAAACTGGAGACATGTTTTCGGCTATTTCCGTCGTTTTACCGCAAATTATGCAAATTAGACACGGCAAATGACAGACATAATAGCTTATTCCATTTTATATTAATAATAATAAGGAAAACATGACACATGTTCTCGACTATTTTCGTTGTTTTACCGACTCGTACTACGATAAACAGTATCGCCATCAGATTCACAACAAACAGCGAGAATGCCGAGACAGTCGTCAATGTGAAAATAAAACGAGAGGGATTTTATCAATCAAAAAGGTCAGGAATGAAATATAATAAATTTCTTCCAATAAATTTTAAAAAACGAAATTATAAAGAGTAAAATCGGAATTCAGAATTAGACTCAGAAATTCGGAATGATTCCGACAAAATCGGAATAGTTGGCATGTATGACATGTGTGATAATAACTGACAGCAATATTGTCCTTTAAAGTGGTGATTAACAACATAGTTTACCTTCTCATTCTATCCCACTTCTGATATTCTTTTAATTCTTCTTTTTCACCTTCTAATGTATCAAGTCTTTCTTCAATATACTTTAATAAATCATTAATCTTTTCTCTCTTACCCTCTGTCAAATAAAACAAGTGTTACATCAGATTTTACTTTCAGTTTCGTTGTCCAAATCTTTTGCATTGTCATTACAAATAATAAGAGAAATTAGGTCATTTTGGGACTAACAAAATATATATCTTATTTCAATAATTTGATTGCATGTAGGGGTCTTTAGCAGTGAGAGAAATCCGGGGGACTCAGGAAGGCATACAAGATATAATTTATTTCAATAATTTGATTGCGAGTAGGGGTCTTTAGCAGTGAGATGAAACCGGAGGATTCAGAAAGCCCACCAGGTATAGGCACAACAAAGATAACAACCCCCCATACCTCACCCATCGCGTACCAGTGTGAGATTGAAACATCACTTCTTGCTTCAATAACAGACCTTAGGATCAAAAGTCTACGCATTGGATCATTCGACCACCCAACTCAAAAATAATATGTTTTTGTTTAATTGTATACCTCATCCAACTGGTAGCCATTTACAAATGAACTCAACGCATAAAGGCATGCCCAGGGACCAGAGAGAGAGAGAGAGAGAGAGAGAGAGAGAGAGAATGGGGTTTAACGTCCACTCGATACAAACTAGGTCGGGACTAACATATGGTTTAATTTGATTTCAATAATTTGCTTGCGCAAAGGGGTCTTTAGCAGTGGTAGGAAACCGGAGGACCAAGAGAAAACCCACGAGGTTTGACAGGCGACCCTACTCCTTGTCATGTACAACCGAGGATTCGAAACTACGCCAGTTGACTCAATGACTGGCCTTATGATACAGCGCGCACGTGCTAAACATTCGGCCACCCAAAACACCCAAGATTTTAAGTAACAGCCATGGTTGAAATGCAAAGCACATCTGCAAAATGTGCTCAGTCCATAAGAATAAAGTATTTATTGGGCCTATGATTTTATATTTCCTTCTCATAATACTTTTATAAGATAGTTTGCCGAATACTAATGAAATGAAATATGAAGACATATTTACCTGTTTCTACTAGAATTGATTTACTTTCCTCTTTCCTTTCATCATAAACTTTTGTCCCAGCTACTTCCCTTAATAACTTCAATCTTTGTGAATCTGGGGCTGTAGCCATTTGATTAATCTAAAATACATGATGAATATTAATTATTATTTAATACATCAAAAATACATGATAAATATTAACTATTACTTTATACAACAGAAATATACCACCTACAATTACTATATACAGCCTAAAACACAGGAGGTGCTCGATTAAACATTCCAGAATTGCATCAGTCGAGTAATCAGGAGAATTTCAGGCGACAAGAAATGTGCAAACTGAATATTAAACTATTACTACCAATAACAAAAGCTGACACATGACGATTCTGCTCGCACCACATCTGTCTTCGAGAATGACAGAACTGTTATAAGACTTGACTGCAATTCTTTCAATTCGAATGAGTGCTTTTTTTTTTTTTCAAACACCATCAATATGTTCATTTTCTCCTCACTAGAACAAAATAAGATACCAACTTAAATTCTTACTTTTCCCTGTTTTACAATGTAGTATGGATTACTTCTAGAGAAACCAGCACTTTCTAGTAAATTCATGACATCAGTTTTACTGTAAATAGAAAATCATACATAAATATTCAATAAGCTGATATCAACTTCATACTGGGGTGATTAACAAACTCTTGTCCATCTTCATTAGCCCTAACGGCGCAGAACAGCAGGACGTTAAACCCCATTTCAACTCAATAATCTCTTGAATTAGGAGATCAAGAAGGGTACTGTTTATTTACAATTTAATATATTGATCAGATCTCGGACACAAAGGGAAACAGTATTTCTCTCCAATTGCAGATCGAGACTTGACTTATTCCAATCTTCAGTTTCAGTGTGTAATTGTAGTTCTTATTTATGTGAGCGATGATAGCACTATTTGTAATCTATGACAATTTGAACAGATTAAATGTCTTTGATTTAGGTCATAATATTGAATAAGATTGATTTAATGTGTTATGTCAATACTCATGGGGCATTTATACAATTAAATGTTTGTTTACGAATGATTTTCCAGAAATCAACTTGCTTACCAATTTTAGTTTCAATTATGGTTTACTGTGTATACAGCGGAACACAAAATCAATTTTATAGCTACATTGGCTTTATCAATAGACATCAAATTCTCCACCATTACAAATTTTCATTGTCATCGCACCCCACAAAACAAATCTAATCAATTTGATCGTTTTCTATTACCTAAACCAAAGGGATGGAGCCATATTAATTAGCGAATTTACTTACGTGACCATTTTTTTATCCAAAAAATATTGATCCTTCTTTGAACCAATGACTCTTCTTAGGACAACTTCATCTTTATCAATCTATGCAATATAATAAATTAGGTTATACATTTCTTAAAAATAAATCAAGACAGGCTTACATTTAAAATACGATCTACTTTTAAGTGCACAATTTAACTGGTTTGATGAATGAGTATGAGTTGCAGTCATTCTATTTTTTTCATACTTTGTGATGATAAAACATTGATGAATGAGAATAAAAAACAGCTGATCCGAAGTCAATGAATATGGCTAAAGTTTCTGGTAATGTCAGTTACAAGACTGACGAACAGATCTAAACATGTGAGTAACCCGAAATTTGATAAAAAATATTTCTTTTTAGGTTACCAAATAAGAAAAACAAGGAAGGATATAATGCACTTACTGGTATTCGGTTATCAGAATTGTCAAATATTATTTCAACAAAAGCTGATATAACTCTTGGTCCAGTTCCTTCATGAAGTAAAGCTTGACGTTGTTCGGGTCTCATGTGACTGAATTCATCTGACAATACAAACTGAATAGCTAAAAAAAAAAAAAAAAAAATTATAATTATCAAAAGATATGTTTAATAATATAATTAATATTCAATTCAATATTTTAAAGATTTACTCTTCACCATTTTATTCTTTTTTCTAGAATCATTTCAGTAAATGTGTGTCAAAGAACATTTAATTTATTACAAGTGGTTGACATTTCAATAACTGATCAGTCAAATGAAGTTTTATGACATGTAAGCATTAAATGGGCTACATAGTGCCAAAATAATCTGTCAAATAACATAACCAGAGCTAGGTGATAGCTGGAACTAGAAATAATCCACAGCACAGCTAATTAAATGCAAAAGGCAGAAATATTAGCTATGTTATCTAAATCACAATAATCTTTAAACATAAATCTAAAAGGGTATATCATACCATAGAAGAAATTACTCTTTCCAGATCCATTTCTACCAACTGAATAATAGAATGAAGAAAAAAACAAGATATTAGATTACAATTGTATTAAAACATTGAATCAAAGAGTTAAATTAAAGACATGTACCGGTAATTATCATATTAACCTTCATTTAAAGATACATTATGGGAGATTTGATAACAAGTTGGCAGTTCTCACTATAATAATTAAAAACTAGATAACGTAAAGGAAATTTGCTGAAAATTTCATTCAAATTGATCCACTATGAACCGAGAACTAAGCTAATGAAATTTCTGCTTAGCCTCGGTCATCATTACTAAAGTCAGTACGTTAGACAGCATAGTCTCGATTATCCATTTAATCGTTTAATCGAGAAGGAAAGTTATGCAGTAAATCGGATCACAATCCACTTAAGATCGCAGGCTAGCGATGCCATCTAGAGTTGATTATGGTCTGGATAAGTTAATTAATGTCTAATTAATAATCTAGATAACATTTCAGGCCTAAAGAAAGACCTGCAATAGACAGATTTAGCTCTTGCAAAATGCATGTTTAATTGTGATGTCCTAACAATTCAAATTTTTCCACATTAAATAATACTTGTGATAACTTTCTGAGCAAACATAGATTTTACGTTTCATTTCAGTGTTTTAATGAATTTTATTACATATAATAGGCCCTAATTACCGATGACATTGTGCTTGGAGCTGAAGGGTTCTATAATCGTCTGATCTCTGTAACTTCGAAACCCTTGAATAATCATCTGAAATATAGAAAACTAGTAATTAAAATATATGTTCTAATTATGTATATATTAAGCAGGCCGATCAGTAACACATGTAATCTTGTAGGCTCCAAAGCACAGGTGCAGATGCTATAGAAGTAAAACAGTATAGTTGGGCATTGAACTGCACATACCGTACAATGTATGCTACAAATATTATACAAAAAATAGCTGGTATAGAAACATTTTTGGATAATGATATGGGAGAGCAACAGCATGCAGCTGAGACATTGTGAGACAGCGACATTGTCCAGCAAGGCTGTGCCAAAATTGACGCAAACCAAATCGTCGACACTAACCTGCAACACCACCTTATACTTATAATATCATACTTTTTCTTCATATCAAAGTATTTACGCGCATCTGTCTATCATTTCAATCTATTCTATCAATCATTTTTAGATTCTCTAAACGATTGATCTGGAAATGAATAGAATAACTCTTTTCATTTCCAGGTCTGCTGATTTGTTTTGATTTCAAGTTCACTTTTTTGCAGAAATTGGCACCCAATTTCGTATGATTCCGAAACGATATGGTATGCATTCCCTGTATAAATACCGGTCGGTGGCGTAGCCTACCTGTTTGATATACATGGTGGATGTTTAATGATGTTTCTCATCAATTATTTTGATAATTGGAAAACAAAAGGAAATCTTGATATCCTAAATCACAAATGGCGGCAAATTGTCAGCGGGTCGCTTGTGTATCCTAAATAAACAAACATATTAATTGATGTTAATGCTTACTATTTGTCACTATTGCTTATCAAATATATCATATAATATCCTGAAAATGGATATGCGGTTGTTATTATATCTTCAATTAATGTATTTTCACTGTTTACTAATATTGTTTTTGATATAAGCGATGTATTTGTCGAGCGCCACCTATAGCTACAAAGGTGAATATTAAAGGGGAATAATTTGCAAACATTGATAATTCTGGTCAATGGGAGACAAATCTATTTCAAAATTACAAGAAAACGGGATTAACCCGTCTTCTTTCAACCTGTCTAATTTTATTCAGACTTGGCATACAAACCTAATATAACATTTTGTTCCTTTCTTTTATACCACCCATATAATTACTCACTACAAACGATATGCGACCAAATAGAATATTCACACAAGAAGCAAAAAAACCAAACCAAGATATAAAATGAGAAATGAAAACCCGAATATTCTGTTATATTTTCATTCTGTAAAACCCCTTTAAATATTTTAGTCAGATAGTAAAACTTACAAATACTAAGGGTGGGGGGATATATCTGGTCGTGGGGTGTGGGTTGGGGGGATTACATTACGCATGACCATAAATTTACCAGTACTAACAGAAAAAGACAAATTTTTGACCAATTTTCCTCCTATATTATATCGCAGAGACTTGTTGCATTCAGTTCTATTAAATATGTGTTATGCACCGAAACAAGAATGTACCGGTAGCTAATACCATGGACCGTATCTACTAAAACGTTGGTATTTTTTACGTGGAGAGGAAGAGCAGTGACATGTAGCAATTTGAACCTGATCACCGGAATTCCGAAGTTGTTTTTCTCCATGCCGAACAAATCCCCTTAAAAATGCCCCCACCCACCCCCCGCGCCTGGACCTCTTAATATATATCCACTCGGAAGCTTTTCCACATACAAATGTCCCGAATGCAGAGGTGGTCTAGATTAAAAACCGGAGTACACATTGGCTTACATGTAAAAGAACCCCCGACAGTTGGAATTCGAAATAATTAGAGTAGACCGTACGTAGCTTCGATGTTCGTGCAAAATTTCCCCCATAGCATACTATATATGCCCGTCTGCATTAACGCGTACGGTTGGTGCTGAAAGGTAGGACGTTAAACCCCATTGCATTCATTACTAAAACACACTCATACATTGTTTCATTTAAATTTATTTAACATATTACAACTTAACTTTACAAATTAATGATCTGATAACTAAATAAATGTTCTATTTATATTATAAGGTCTATGTTTTTTTTAATAAACAAATATACACTGTGGTTCCATCATAGTTTAGCCCTAAATCATGCTGGTGTGTACATCATGATAATAAATTATTGTTTGGATTTCATTGGTTGCTGAATTAAGACTTGGCACAGCAAGTTATATAACAAACTATTTCACAAGACGATATGACATGCTATTTTAAAGCTAAACTCCACAGCACCCCACCCCACCCACACCCCGCCACCATTCCAACGACTAGACGCTGTCCCTTGATAGGAACACCGTCCTATACACCACTGACCAGGGGAAACGGCGCGGGAAAATCACGAGAAATTATCTCGGTCGACTGTCAAAACCGGGAACTCCAGGTTAGTGAGCCAACGCCTTATTCACTGTGACTCCCTCAAAAACAAACGAAACGTAGAAATTGTTAATTGTATGGCATTACAAACATATAAAGTGACGTTGTAATTCTTGACAAAAATTAACAGAAAGAGACAAAACAGATGAATGTTCATATCATGGATATGGACAAATATTATGAAAAATAAAATATTTTTACTGGATGAAATATAAAATATTTTGACTGGATGAAATATAAAATATTTTGAAAGTATGAAATATAAAATATTTTGAATGTATGAAATATAAAATATTTTGAATATATAAAATAGTTTGGCATTTTAATAGGTATACAATAAATCAATTCATTACGAATTTAACGCTGCGTGCGTTTTATCATCTAACAGTTTCCCCATTTCACAATGCAGAAGTAAGATTAAAGCAGATGGTCGTTAAATTAAATATACAATATTGTGAAATATAAATCTTTAAAGGGATTGTCACTCTAAACACAGTTCAATTCTCTTCAGTATTTACAAAGATACGAAGAACTGAAAATCTTGCAAATTCGGCATCATATGCAGACGATGAAATCAACTATAACTGTTGGGTAATATAAATGATGGGCATCATTTTAAACCGATTGAATATTAAACGGGAGTTTATCAACCGTTGATATTTTGGTTCCATTTTTTTAATAATAATAATCAATCTGAATACATTTCAGAGAGAGTGAATTATCGGTGAAAAATTAGATATTGTCCAACAAACGCTTTACATTACGCTTAAATCGGACGTTTTGATATGCAAATCTCTTCAAATTATAGTGCTTGTTTCACGATGACATGCCCGACATAACACATTATTTGACATTTTATCACAATTCAGCGGAACCCTATTCACAAACTATAGCATTCTAAAACCGTGATCGCAATGCCTTATAAAACTTATTATTTCTTTTTAAAATCTTAAAACATCTGAGATTAAAATGAAATCTTCATAGAAGTACATTTATGTTACAGATAATATTGTATAGATTTGTACATGTATATCTTTAAAAGGGTTGACATTCTAACAATATTATATTTATTTTCGAAAACCATCAAAAGTTGATAAACTTTCACTCGGCCCAAAAACACTTCCCGAGAACAATTTGGACATTGATAGACTTTCAAAATTTCCAAAAATTCCATTCTCCGTGCGCGCCTGTGGTTTATTTGTGCCGCGAATATGATTATAACGTTTAGCCTTTGTATTTGAATTGACACGCCCCCTGTAATTACGTGCTGGGCGCCTTTGATACGTTTCTAACTGCTGCGTCTTTGGCAAACGATGTTTCGCATCATTTTGTCCTGAAGAACCAGAATTCCCATTGTAATTCCCAAAAGTGTCATAACTAGCTGACCCGAACGGATTATGGAAACTTGAAAATGCATTGCCCAAATTGTGACTCGGAATGTCGAAATTCGACTGGCCAAAACCGAAAGTAAACTCTTGATTATCATTCCTAATAAATGGATGGGGTGTAGGATTTATTATATGTTTTTGAGGAGCAGCGTACGATGGTTTATTTCGACTAAAGTCAAAGTTTTTAGAATGTCGGTCTCTCAAACCAGTGCTGTGAATCCCGTGGTCTTGGTTTCTCTTTGCGGCTTCCTCTTTCGCTTTAGCGGCTTTGAAGCCGAAACCATCGAGTCCCTCTCCAAATCTATTAAACGCTAATTGACCGTTATCTTTAGCCCTGTATTGTCTGTCGCCTGCAGCGCTTTTCTGTAATGCAGAAGCAGCGTGCGCCTTTTTGTTTAAGTCTTTTGTATTATAACCTTGCTGAGCCGCGGTTTTAGCACCGGTATAATGATTGCCTTTATTATCGACTTTACGATACTTTGAATTGTATTTCTTTCCATCCGATGATTTAAACTGAGCATCTTTAGCGCGATCCTTTTCAAGCTTCTTCCTATCAAAATCCAGTCGTTCATAATTGTTTCCTGAAATGAATAAGGGATTTTCACAAAAATGAAAGATAGATTACAATAACACCCGTTTTGATTAATCGAAATAATTTTTGGACCAATATGTTTTATTGTGTATGGTTTGAAATTCGATGTATCTTTTTTAGTCTATGATATTGTTCCTTTATGAAAATCGTGCGGACTTAAAAAATATATAATTAGACAATATGAAATGAAATGGGGTTTAACGTACTACTTTGCTGCACCAACCGGGTTAATGAACATAATCTGTTAACGGAATAATAAAGGAAAGTTTGCACCTGACGGCGGCATTCCCGCCTATTCTTCCTAGAATTCCAACTTTCAAGGGTTCCTTTACTTGCATGCCAAGGTATACACCCCCTGTCCTGCACCACTGACGAAGGTCCGGGGGGGGGGGGGAGAGGGGGCACGCTGAAAAACCACAAGGAACTTTCTCGACCAACACTGGGATCGAACCGCTGAGTGAATTAGTACTGAGCCAGTCACTCACATTGAGTCATCCTGGCTCTTTATACAATTTGAAATTAGTTAGTAAGTAAATATATACCAGTTTATCTTGTGTGGTTTCTGCTATATAACAATAACAGATAAACATTTCTTACCTTTAACTTTCTTTGAAGTGTGAAACGTTTTTGATTCGTTTTCATTTTTTACTCGATCCACCAGATTTCTTTTTGAATTTTCGCTTCCACGAAGGTTTCCGGACTTAGAATTAGCGGAATCGTTATTTCTGTAGAATTTAGAAGCATCAGCATATTGTCGATCATGTGCTGCTTTCTGTTGAGAAGAATCCTGTTTACTTCTGTTGTTCTTAACATGATCTGCGTGCGATTCACCATCTTTGTAGTTGCCTTTGCTGTCATTTCTTTCGTTGTTTTTGGTTGAGAAACCCTTTCCCGAACCGGCATTAAAGTTCTTTTCCTCACTCGATAGAGATTTCCCGGTCCCGATTCCAATACCCGCAACTGCTTTTGTGGACTGTCCAACCATAGTTGCTCCAGCGCGCAGATTTTGACTGTGTTTTCCGGATAGTTTAAGACCATAGTTTTTATTCTTTGCGGCTTGGTTGAATTCCCCTCCTTGTCGTCCAAGTTGTGTTTTTTCAACCTCATTGCTCGATTTTTTATTTTTCACGTCGTAAGAATTACCGCTCTTACTTAAACTACCCCCCTTTTCACTAGAAAAACCATGGCCGCCTGCATTGTAGTCTAACTTGGAACCATAAAGATCACTGTGGGCTCCTTGTCGCTTTCTGTTATTCTCTTTTTCAAAGAAATCCCCCATTTTCATAGAACGGGCACCAGAATGAGCCTGTTCAGAACTTTCTTTTATACCCCGCTGCGAACCAATCATACTGGAAGCTTTAGCTGAAGAACCGCGCTGACTCTTAAAGTCTTTGTGTTTATCATGTAAATCGTCAAGACTGTGGGAATCGCTATGTTTATTTGCCTTATACATGCCGTCTTGTTCTTCGTCCTGGTTGAACTTTTTATCGAAGCCATAATGGATCGTATCTGTAAGCATGTAATCTTTTTTGTGCGTTTTATTTTGAGATGAAATGTCAGACATTCCGGACTTTGTTCCCATACCTTTGCTTGCTGAGATCGAACCCCCCTCCTGACTACTTGATGATTTGTTAGCTGCTTTTTTACCGTTTTTGCCACTTATACTATGAAATTGTTCGTTGTCTTTAATTTTTTTGTTTTCGTGCTGATCACCGAAGGCACCAGCAGCGGAAAACTTTCGTCCTCCAGCATCTCCACCTTTGTATTTTTTCGCGCCATGTTGAAGAAGATTTCCGTGCGCCTTTTGGTTTTGGAGGTGATATTGGTTTTTACTCCCTGCAAACTGGTCTGCGAGATTTAATTTTCCTATTCGTTTGTTATTAGTTTGGTGTAACACGTGTGAAGGCGAAGGTTCTGGAACACCATGGGGATCCTGCCCAGATACAAATACAGCTATAAACACAGGAATTAAAACACAACTGGATAAAATCTGTAAAGATAAGAAAACAGTAAATCTGAAAGATACATTTTGTAAGATTTAGATGAAGAGTTGGTCGTTCTTGCTATACTAGTTCAAAAATAGATAATGTAAAATGAATAATATATTGAAAATTTAGGTCAAATTATTTTATTCTGAGCGAATTTATAAGAGTTTAAAGTTTTGACAATACAGTCTCGATTGTCAAGCACCATTACTACGATAATAAACAAACTATCGATTATTCATTCTATTGTTAGATATTTAAATGGCGAAACTGTTCTAATCTAATCCATTCAGTATCTAAGTCATCCGATGTTGATTATAGGCTTATAAATGTCTAAATAATAATTTATGTAACTTAAAACTAGAAAAAAAAGACCTGCAATAGACATATTTAGCTCTTACATACTGCATCCTTAACCAACGAAATATCTAATCCATCGTAAACACGCCAACTTTTGTACGGTAATTAATATCGTATGTGTTCCAAAATATCATCTTTTGAAATTAATATCGTATATACCACACAAACAACCATGGAAACGGAGGGGGTGGGTGAACTTTAATATTAATTTTGGTTTCTAATAATAATCTTATAGCCTTCCTCCACTGGGACTGCAATAGATGGGATCTTATAAATGTTATGGATTGATACAAAATATCATTTTGGCTACAATTTTTGAGAATTTTTTCTTTAAAAAATTGAAAGGAAATGAAACAAAAACAACCAAAGAAAATAAACCAAACACTCCAACTTACCATTCTTGTCGCGAAGATCTTCTCTAAATGACGAATAGAACAAAGTTCACTTCAATTTATTACTTCTGGTCAAATAACGCAATCAGATGTTTATTACATTTTCACTTCGCTAAATACATAAAAGTTTTTATAGTTAGAAATAAAAGAGAGCTTAACTGGATTCCCAGTTTTCGTCTCTGTGGTATCACAGTGTCTAATTATGTAAAGTATTTATTTCACAAAGGACTCCACATAAAATTTGCACTCATTAAGACTTGCGTTGGGGTGACGGCGTCGAATTTAAAGTCATTTATTCCAAGGAAATATTATTAATTATGTCCCTTAAAAGTCACAAGCATTTTAATGACAATGATCAAGTTTCGAGTTGTCATTCTTGTTTTAAATTTATAAGAGAACATATTTAAATGAAAATAGTTAAATTTTTAATGACAGTCATTGAGTGCTGATTAAAGGATGGTATCGTGAGAAAATTTATCATCGCCTTAAAAATTATTTAAAGTTTAATCCAATTGTGGGGTTTAATATTAGCTATATGTGTCATGGTCAGTTTTGGATTTTGATACCTCTTTTATTTTATAGTGTTCACATAACTAATAAATTTACTTTTTGTTTTCTTTTTAAATTTTAAGCCTAGAACAAAATAAATTTTTAGGTTATAAATGCCCTTAGTCTAGTATCTTTTTCAATAAAACAAAATATACTTTGTGGATATTAATTAAATTACTCCTCTAGTGTCATTATTCGTACTCTCCGCTCGTATTTACTCATTTCCCTACTATCGCCCAACCTATTTTTGGATAATCGAGTATTAGAGAAGATAACTCTATCCAATATTTTACTACTGAAAGTGAAAGTAGAACTTAGAAGTAAAAGTAAAGAATAACAACAATGTCGAAATTTCTCTCTAGATTTCAAGGAAGCCTTGTTGGTGCAGTCCTTGGTGATTGTATTGGTGCAGTTTATGAGCTTGGGGGAGAAATTAGCCTGTCTGAGATTTTAAACACTATATATTCCATAGAAGCTTCTGGCGGTATGCTGTCAATTATTTAACTTTATCAAACCGCCGGTGTACTAGTAGTAGTAGTTACTTAAAGTAGCTATGTCACTAACTCAATATCATCCAAAACCTTCGACAATGAAAACACGAATTATTTGTCAATTTTAATCAACATTGTTGTTGTGATCTTACTGGAAAAAGATGAGCTTCTGATATCCAATATTTAAGACAAAATAAACATTTTACGATTGGTACACGAATTATGTACCATAACGCGTTTCAGCGCAATTTGTAACAAGCGACTCGAAGAACGAGGTTAGACAAATTCCACAAGTCATGTCAAACGGTGACCCATATTTTTATCTGGAGAACATGCGCAATAATACTATCGGTGTAGACTGGAATAACCAGACACCAGAGATTGCCATTGAATTGAGACTTCTGGCGTATTTCGCCGAACATAACTGCTTTGAAATTAAGAATAAAAACGAAAACGATTGAATGTAAATCAGTTTATTTACATTCATATTACATTATTATATACATTGCGACCCATTTGTGTCAATTTGTAGGTTCCAAATATTAGCGATTTAGCTCCTTTAATGGGACAATAACACTCTTGCTGGCTTGAAAGCTCCAGAAAATAAATAATATCTCTATCTAAGTACTAGATGTTTAAGTGTCCTACCTGTTGTGTAAATTATCCATTACATCCTATTTTACATGTCCAGAGGGTTCGAAAATAATTTTAAATCGAAGTTTCATTTGAAAAGGTTTACGTTAGACGTTTCAAACCATTATGTTGAATTTTTCAAAATTTTTAAATAAGGTGTGTTAAGATGAAATTTGTATCATCAATTAATTGAAATATTCTAAAATAGTACAATTTGTTGACCAGAATAAAGATTGGGACATATTATTCAGTTACAACAAGAGTGGTATTGAGCCTTTAAGTAACTATACCGTTGTACCATCTATGATCTAATCAATTCGCATATCGCCTTCGAACACCCGTAGTATAGTTGGTGCGAAAATGCAATTAACGCCATATAGTTGCATGAGATTCAGTGTGCAAATATAAAATTCCTAAGTCTCCCCATTTTTAACCCTTTGTCCCTTTGCCTTTAGCATTTGGTGCATGTACTACGGCCTGTCGAAACCACACAAAACTTCTATTCCTTAGATGTTTAAATATCTGTGTTGTAGAAGTAGAAACATATACTAGTTCTTGAAGGCGCTGCAGCCATTCATAAGACTCTGGTGGTTTGGGACGGTCTAGTAAAGGAGCCCTAATTACAGGTGTTATGGAGTCGTCCAAGTGCTAAAGGGTTAAAGACTGGCCTGCACTCTATGGTTGTGATTAAACACGTCTGATACAACAAAGGGGGTTGGGTTGCCGAATTGTCTAACGTGCACTTTAGATTATAATGTCTGTCATTCAGTCAAGTAGCGTGGTTTCGATTTCCTGCTTGTACGTGACAAGGAGTACTTAGGGGTGTCTGTTCATCTTTGTGTGTTTTTTCTGGTTCCCCCAGTTTCCTCCCACAGCTAAAGACCCCAACGTGCAAGCAACTGATTGAAATAAAGTTGAACCATATGTTAGTCCCGTAATGACCATATGTTTGTGTCGAGTGGAGGTTAAACCCCATTTCTCCAACAATATTGATTTTCTTCAGGTAAAAAAGGTAAACAAGAAGAGATACTGTATGGTTACACTGATGATACAGCTATGGCCAGAAGTGTTGCGGGTTCATTAATAAAATACAAAGGTTTTCAACTAAAGGACATGGTAAAAAGGTAGGGTTATAGAGAATTTAATATCTTATTATGAGGCGTTTTAGGTTGTTGTTTTTTTGTCACTGAGAGCCACAGTATTTCAGTTACTAAGGCCCTAGCTCACTAACCAGAAGGTCCTGAGTTCAATTCTGAAAAGCGTCTCATGATTTTCCAGTGTGGTTTTGACACAGTGGTGCAGGGTAGGCTGTAGCACCGCAGTCTGGGTGTTAAATGGGTTTGGTCTAAATATAAAGGCCACCTGCAGATTTCATATTTACATCTCGCGACCTTTACGCAATCTGCAGTTGGCCTTAATATTTAGACCTGACCAGCTGTCTTTATTAGCCCATTGGTGCAGAAAAGTAAAATGTGAAACCCTATTTTGTTTTATTTAATTTTCCCACAGGGTTCTGAAATGAACAAAAGTTGGGAACCACTGGTGTAGAATGTTAAATCAATCTCTTATTGTTACAGATTTACATCAGAATATAAAAGTGAACCTGACAGAGGATATGGTGGAAATGTTACAACAGTTTTTCAATTACTGGATAATCCTGAATTAGAAGACCTGTACGAACCAGCCAGAAAACAGTTTGATGGTCAGGGTTCTTTTGGTAATGGTGGCTCAATGAGAATAGTTCCTGCTGCTTTATTTTCTTATAATAAAGAACCTTCTTATGTACAGGTATTAAATTCAAAATAATGAATCAATAATTTTTATCATGACTATGTGGGGTACCCTACCTAAGTGAAACTTGTTCAACATAGAGAATTTGCTTTTATTAACCTTTCACCACTTTAACCTCCAGAAACCGCCTGTGATTAGTGCTCCTTAGACCGCCCCAAACCACTCGAATCACGTGAATGCTCCCATTACCAAACCTTTTTTGACTGCTCAAACAACTTACCTTCTGTTGACATGTTACCTATCTTACTGATTTTTTTTTTCAGACTCTCACAAGGCAAATAACAGAAATTACCCATTCTCATGAACAAGCTATTCAAGGTGCCATATTACAATGTATGGCTGTACATCTAGCACTACATACAGATAATACAACACCATTAGATACAGACTTGTTTGTAGATAATCTCAAATCTTACATGGATAAACTGGAAGAGGAAGAGTTAAAAAAAACTAAAGTACCGACTCCTACTAAGAAACAGAAACGTCCTACAAGGTATGCTGCTTGATTTATATAAATTTACATTTTATTATCATATGCCGATCAAATTTAAGGAAAAGGTATTGAAATAGTCTCTGTCTGTCCCAGTTTTGTTTCCAAATATCTCATAAACTGTTCAAGGTATCTTTATGAAACTTTGTACGCTCATCAATCCAGAGATGGGATTTCGCCCGTATATTCGGGACATGTCCGATGCTATTTTCCAAACGTCCTAAATTGATCAACCTATTATAGTAGTTGCCCCAATTGACCCTTTTGCTAATAAGAAGATTCTCCAAATTAATACATTTTATGTTCCCATGGAAACAAAATTAACTTAGTCTTTGCTATACAATAGTGTGACATGTTGATGATAGACTGAGTCTTGACTTCTTAATAAAAACACACTTAACAAGACTAGACAACGCTAGAGCTTGGCATCCTTGGTTTTGGGGGCTAAATTGTTAATCAAGTGTGACTTTAGTTAAATCAGGCAAAATGTTGTTACCAAGACTCTCCCCCCCCCACCACCACCACTTTCAAAGACTCTTCCTTCTTCAGAGCACTAATGCTTCTTGAAACAGAGTGACTGGTGCCATAAAATTCTTGCTAACAATATAGGGAGGAGAAAAATCACACAGAAGTTCAATTTGCATATTTATTTCAGAGCATCTGAGAAACGTGATAAACCATACTGTTATAAATTAGACAAAATAAAGGAATATTTAAATCAAGAGAAGGAAGTGACAGTACAAGAATTAATTGATGTCTTAGGTAACTAGATTTTGCCAAATAAAATGTTATTTTTAGTCTGGATGAATGTTTTTTGAAAAGTTTCTGATTATTTCCGTCTTAACCATCATTTCTGCAGATGGAATGAAATATTGGTGTACAGGTTCAAGACCGGTTGAAGGTTGAAAATCAAAGGCAGAAGAGTTGAAAAAAAAATGCTGTTGTCTCCCTAGCATTGCACACTTAAATAGAGGAATAAAAATTAGCATATATTTGTCTCAAAATAAATGAAGTATCGTGTTGACAAAAATATTAAACCTGGTTCCATTCCATTCTGAAAGTGATCAAAAAGGAAACAAAATTTTTAATCAGTGTTCCCAAAGAACAATATTTCAAGTCGGTGCAACGTGGCCTTATTTGGATTTTTATATCCTTATTATAGAAAATGGTATCAGCCCTTGATTCTTATTATAATATGCCAACCCTTTGTTATTATTATGGTTAGGCCTGACAAGGACAGCTGTCTAGTCGTTCGGATGGGACGAAAAACCGAGGTCCCGTGTACACATTGGCGTGCATGTAAAAGATCCCTTGGCTGTTGGAATTCGATATAAGGGAAAGCCATAGTGCCGCTGCCCGAGCAAAATTTCCCTCATAGCACACTGTATGGCGTATGCCCGTCTTCATTAGCCCAGTTTAGGAGCAGAACAGTAGGACGTTAAACCCCATTTCATTTCATTTCATTTATTATGGTTAATGATATATAAACTCTTGATTCTTGGTATAGTTAATATGTCAACCCTAGGTTCTTATTATAGTTAATGTTAGCCCTTGGTTCCTTTCTTGGTTAATTATATATCAACCCCTCATTCTTATTATAGGAAATGATATATCAGCTCTTGGTTCTGTTCCTGCTGCTGTTTTTTCATTCTTAAGATCTTCTAAACCAATGACAGGGGAATTAAAGGTATAGTAATTACCGGTAACATAATTCTTATGTCCCAGTGGGGACCATGTTAATTATTTGTGTGTAGAAAGTCGTTCCTGTGGTCCGATATCCCTTAAGGGAGCAGAGTATGGCATGTTCTAACGCATTATCGCAACCAGCTGGCTTCAAAACAAGTTCTGTAAGGGTTCTACTCTCAAGCCTGGAAATAAGGCACCCCCAAAGACATTATGTACAAATCCAAAGTTTTTCTGACACATTTGTCTTTTGTCATTTATTATTATATGCTGGACACAAAATTTAAATATCAGGTACTACTTAGTCCATTTTGCGGACACTCGATTGTTAGTCCGGAATGTTCCGAATTGACAGAATTGCAATGATTGACACAGAATTTAATCCGGTCCGTCCCAACAACTGAGGTAGTGTGAGTAGAATCGTGATGTAATTAAACACAATGAATAAGTTTCAGCTCTCATAACTGGTTTAGGTATATTCTTATGTAATTGGAGCATGCATTGTAGCCCAAAATACCCTTTTTCACTCGACTGCAACTATTTATGGGATTGAGATAATTAACTCGCAGGTTAAACTAAAATGATCAATTTCATGGATGTAGGCTACTCTGTGAGTTACAGTCATAAATACATGCATATGATTAATTTAATATCATGAAATTATTTATTACAGGACAGAAATAGTTTTGAGAAAACCATAATATATGCTATAAGTTTAAATGGTGATACAGATACAATTGCTACCATGGCTGGAGCCATTGCTGGAGCTTATTATGGGATAGAAGCTATACCAAAATCATGGCAGACATGTTGTGAGGGTGTGACGGATGCTATACAATATGCTAATCAATTAGAAGAACTTGTGTCAAAGTCCAAATAAAAACTTACTGTCCTTCTTTGTTTATATTTAAAGTAGCTAAGTCTCTAACTCAGTATCATCCAAAATCTTCGACATTGAAAACACGAATTATTTGTGGGTTTAAATCAACATTGATGTTGTGATCTTACCGGGAAAAGATGGCCTTCTGATATCCAATATTTATTAAGACAAAATAAACATTTTACAATTGGTACACAAATCGTGTACCATAATGCGTTTCAGCGCTATGTGTAATAAGGGACTCGAAAAACGAGGCTAGGCATATTCCACAAGTCATGTCAAACGGTGACGCTATAATCTTTTCTGGAGAGCATGCCCAATAAATACCGTCGGCGCAGACTTGAATAACCAGAAGCTAGAGATTGAAATTCGATTGAGAAAACTGACGTATGTCGCCCAATCTAACTGATTAGAAATTACAGCAAAAACAGAAACGATTGAATGTAAATCAATTTATATACATTCATATTACATTATTGTATGCGTTGCGACCCATTTGTGTCAATTTCTAGGTCCCAAATATTAGCGACTTAGCTCCTTTTATTAAGCTCATGACGTAGGCCTAGGTCCAAAATATTAGCGATTTAGCTCCTTTAACTTGAAGCCATTCAGAAGATGACAACAGTCAAGACCAGTCACATTATGTCTTACTTGTAAATCATTGTTTTATTTTTCATTTTGAGTGAAGCCTGTATCATTACAGGCCCGGGACTGTACAGTGGAGTGGATGTTTACGGCTGGCCCCCGAAAGCATTCACTTGATTTGATGTTTGTTGTTTATTTCTTTCGATATTTGTATAGTTTGTCTTGTTGGTTTTGTTTTGTGTGGAGTTTGGTCTTTATATACTTACTATTAAAGCCACTGATCGTCATTTGAGTGATTCTGAATCCCTTGTAAACTACAGTATTGTCAAAATTGAATCTCTAAAATGAATATCAGTACAAAAATGGTTCCATTCCATTCTATAAATGAAATGAGATGGGTTTTAATGTCCTACTATTCATTCTATACAAAGATGTACAAAGATCTGATGAATTGAGGGGAGGGAGGTTGGATGGTTGAATGGTTAGCATGTGTGCGCTGTATCATAAAGTCTGTCATTGAATCAACTGGCGTGGTTTTGATTCCCCGGTTGTATGTAAGGAATAGGGTCACTTGTCCAACCTCCTGGGTTTTTCTCCGGGTCCTCTAGTTTTCTCCCACTGCTAAAGATCCCTACGTGCAAGTGAATTACAGAAATAAAATTGAACCATATGTTAGTCCCGAAATGACCTAAGTTTGTGTCGAGCGGAACTTAAACCCCATTTTTCTCTCTCCCTCTCTGATGAATTGAATATTTCGCAGCATTCAGTATCCTCTGCACATGATATTATAAGCAAACCAATGTCACCTAAAATGTTTGTAATCTGATTAAATTCAAGTCTGAAGATAATCTATTGATTGGTATTTTGATGTTTTCTCAATTAAATATTAAATAATCAATTTAAGAATATTTTAGCATGGATTAAGCATGGAAAAATTAGATATTGTCAGAAAAATTCAAATTTCAATCAGGTCTATTACATTACTTGCATACTTTTTTATAAGGAATAATTATAAAATATTGTTCATCTGCAAAGCAGAGGAATATGTGATAACTAATAATTTATTCCAATATGATTCCTTTTTTAAGTAATTTTTATAACCATACCTTACCTAATTATCTTGCTGCACATATTTTTGTCGTAAATGTTTTAAATAATGTTGTAAATGTTTTAAATATTTTAATCAATCACTTGTATAAAGAATGTATAATTTGGATGATTATTTTAAATAAAATAGATATTTTGATGATTAAATTATTTTTTGGGAAAAGTGAAATTTAGCTGGAGCTAGAGTCAGAGTCAGATCCAACTGTAATGTTGTTACTAATAGACACTCTCAATTTATTAATTCACTTGTAAGAGAAAAGAAAGTGAACCCAGTCTTTGTCATATAGCCACCGTGGCTCAGGGAGTAAGGCAGTAGCTCACTAAGTGGGTTCCATCCCACTGTTAGTTGCCAGGCACTACTGAAGGGGAACAGCAAACACCAAGATCGAAACCAGGATCCCTTGGTGAGTGAGTCAACACATTACTCTGTCAGCCACCATTGGTTCCCAGATTCTATACAGGAATAAAACTCAGAATATGTAATATAAAATAGTTTTTAATTTGTCCATACACTACTGATGATGTCTAACAGTAAAGCACTCTGTTCCTCTCACTAATAATTCCACACATTTCTATAATAGCACTATTGTATGTTTTTAGTAATATAATATTTACAACAACAAACACAAGCTTTTTCACTTTGATTTTGACAGAGTTTCTGAATTGTTCAATCAATTTACCAGTCTACCCAAACCTTCTCTGAAAGACAAAATAAAATTGCAAATTAATTATTACTTTAAAAAATTTAAACGATAAGATAATACGTACTCCGGGATAAGTCTAAAATGTTTTAATCCATTGACAATTTACGGGAGGTCATTTGGTGATTAACTAAGTAGGTATCAATGTGGATGTATATTATCGTCACCTGCCTGTGCTCCTCTTCTGTCCGTCCACAATTGAAATGACAATACATACTCCAGGTTAAATCTATTTTTTTTTTTTTAGTTTATTGACACATTACATTAGGTCATTTTCAGATTAACTAACAAGGTAATTTTTATACATATTCACAATTAATGTGGATGTATACTATCGTATGATAATACATACTCCAGGTTAAATCTCAGACACCCCTCACCCCCATACACACAATCGGTGGACACACGTCTCATACTGTCATCATCTGTATTCTCCCCATCCACAGTTTCTTGTGAACATTTTAATGATGGGACTTTTTTGCAGGGGGTGTTCAGTGGGATTCCATCGAAATTCACTTTTTTATTTTCATCACAAATCAGTCCATCGTTTACATTTTTTAATGTGATGCAGGACAGATTTCTTGATGGAACTTTGCAGCAACTTAATTGGATTACCAGTATTCATTGAGGCATAAGAAAGAATCTGTGGGATTTCTTTGTCTTTTGTATCAAAGAATTGCGAAGGGTAAATTAACCTACTTCTGACTATCTGTAAGTGACATCTGTGTCTGTATTTTTTCTATCGATGCCTTGGCATCAGATAATCCATGATCACACATGTACACCACTACATCCTACAATATACAAACATCAATCATTACACAATAACATCCTATAATATACAGACATCAATCATTATATACAACAACATCCTATAATATACAAACATCAATCATTATATTCAACATCCTATAATATACAACTACATCCTACATCGTATAGTATACAAACATCAATCATAATATACAACAACATCCTATAATATACAAACATCAATCATTAAATACAACCAGTCATATATATATATATACAGTAGAATCTGCATTAAGCAGCCACCCAAGGGAATTTTCACAACTGACCGCTTAACGGGAGTGGCCTCTTAATAAAATCTCGTTGCTTTTTGTGCCGACATAAATTAAATATTACGCTTGGATGCATTGGAAGCGGTAAATTTGGCCTTCGCTGAATCTTGCGCCGAACGAAAATTCTTTACTCAAATCTGGGACATAACTTAACGGGAGTGGCCTCTTAATAAAATCTCGTTGCTTTTTGTGCCGACATAAATTAAATATTACGCTTGGATGCATTGGAAGCGGTAAATTTGGCCGTCGCTGAATCTTGCGCCGGACGAAAATTCTTTACTCAAATCTCGGACATAACTTCTGTAAACTTGTCATTTTGTACCAACCTTCGATACTACTGTCTGCCATTGTGATGCATTCGATAATATTTATCCATTTTTGTGAAGAAAATCGATGAATTCATTTTATTTTATCAAAAAAGCACATGAACAAAAAACATCTCTTATTTTATCACCTATTTACAGGGGGTGTAACTCTGTATGTAATATTATAGGAGGCGCCAAGAGAGATACTAGATGATCGTGACAAAACTCGGTACTTTTATTTTATTCAATCAGTATCAAATAATGTGTCGTTACGCGTGAAAACAATGATCAGGTTAGTCGTTTAATAAAACAAAAGATTAATTAACAGATAATCCCGGGTTGATTGTTATGTTTACATTTCTTTTTACCTGATCAGTGGGGGTCCAGTTAATTAACTACTACTCACGGGATTAGCGGGGGTGTTACAAAGAACGACAAGATGGTATCATTCAACAATGGCCGTTGAATGGGCGATGTTTTGTTGAATTTATTAGTAAAATAGTGACCGCTGGCCGCGTTAGAGGAGTGACCGTTAAATAAAGAGATAAAACAACAGAATTTCTACGGGGGGAATTTATTGTGACCGCTTACAAGGAGTTGTCGCTGAATAGGAGTGGCTGCTCATACAGATTCTACTGTATAGAGTCTACTAGCCATTTCGTTACCCAGCCTTTAGCAGTGGGAGAAAAACCACTAAGATTAAGGAGGCGACCCTACTCCTTGTCACATACAGGCCTGGAATGGAAACCATGCCACTTGACTCAATCAGAGACTTTTGATCCATAGCGTACGTGATAGACCACTCGACCACTGATTATTGTCAAACCGTTGTTATTATAATCAAATATATCATGATGATCTTCTTCAACAAAGAAATAAAAGTTTAATAACAGTAAAATACTTACAATAGCTTGTTCTGGTTTATTATTTTGAATACATAATTCAACTAGATTTGTAAATGCAGGACCACTGAAATATGTAAAGTTAAAAGTATATAAGCAATTTTGATAGAAAAAATGACTTAACAGGGTTGTACGAATCTGTAAAAGGGGTTGGGTGAACCTAGTACTGGAACTTCATTAGTGATTAATAGTCCCAATTCACCTTAACCAAGCCCACCTGTATAAAGACAAAACTCATATTTCTGTACCATCCAAACAACTAAGCACACTTTTGTTTGCCCAACCCCTCTTGATCTATCTACCTACCACGCCCCCCTCCTTGAAAGATGGAAGAATATCCATTTAATCTAAATCATTTATTATTTTCATTTGGTGTATTCAGTTAGTTACTCTAAAGCATTTTGAAGGGAGGCTTTCAAGTTTATGCGAGCAATATTTAGATAAAGTTTTTTAAAAAGATTTTTCGGAAATGTTCCATATGGCAGATTTTGATTGGTAGATTGTTCAGGAGTTGTTGACCAATCATATCCATATTCTGTGCATTACTGAACCAATCAAAATCTGAGCATAACTGATCAAAGCCCTATAAAGAAATGTCTTTAGACCGAGATTTTTGTCTACAATATCAACATTGGTGGAAGTTGATGTAAAACTTCAGAAACAAATGAAACGACCGACCGAGATTGGTATATAAAAATGCTAAAAAACTTACCTCGGGACACCTTCAAATGAATTTGGGTTATCTTTTATAGTTGAAAATATTAACCTGTAAATCATATGAAATATTGTAAAACATGAATTTACTGTATTTGATGAGCTTTTAAATCTCTGACATTATTTGCAAACTACAATATTTTGAATGTTGGATCTCTAAAAGAAATATCCGTCCAAAAAGGTTCAGTTCTGTTCAGTAATTACAAAGGTATGATGGATTGAAATTATATCAACATTTGGCATCGTCTGTGGAAGCTATAATCTTTGTGATTATCTTTGATGGGCCTCTTTTTAATCCAGATGAATCAAAGCTGGAAGATTTTCTATCCTTGATATTTTGGTTTTGTTTTCAACTGAAGAATTTCAACCAATAAATAATTGATTGGTTTATGTTCAAAAGTCATTTCTAAAAAGATGAGAGTTCAATGTTGTCTTTAACCCATTAAAATTCCCTTTTGCCCTGATTGTGTATTAACAGATAATTCTGGATGTATGCCCTATGCGTGTATTATATTTTGAAACACACATGATGAATTTCTAGACAATCTCAAGTTCGATCTCCACTGTTTGTAAACACAAGTTTTCTTTCATGTACACAAGCACTGTGTCCAAGAATGAAGTGTATAGTCAGTTGTGATGATTTTGCTATTTATCACAGGAAGTTAATTCATTATGAAGGATAATCGTAAAACATCTGTTAAACTGCCAGTGTATGGAAGGGAGTAATAAGAGACAAAAAGAATTGGTTAAAGGAGCTAAATCGCTAATATTTGGGACCTAAAAATTGACACAAATGGGTCTCAACGCATATAATAATGTAATATGAATGTATATTAACTGATTTACATTCAATTGTTTCTGTTTTTACTGTAATTTCTAATCAGTTATGTTCGGCGAAATGCGCCAAAGTCTCAATTAAATGACAATCTTTAGCGTCTGGTTATTCCAGTCTACACCGATGATATTTATTGCGCATGTTCTCCAGATAAGAATATAGCGTCACCATTTGACATGACTTGTGGAATATGTCTAGCCCGTTTTATGAGTCCCTTGTTCCAAATGGCGCTGAAACGCATTATGGTACACGATTCGTGTACCAATGGTAAAATGTTTATTTTGTCTTAAATATTGGATATCAGAAGCTCATCTTTTCCCTTTTAAGATCACAAGACCAATGTTGATTTGAATTGGCAAATAATTCGTGTTTTCAATGTCATAGATTTTTGATGATATTGAGTTAGAGACTTAGCTTCTTTAACATCCATCATAAAAAAACACTAGGTCATTTTGGGACTAACATTGTGTATTTTCATTACAATATCACAGGGTTCTGTTTCGTGGAAGAAATCTGGACAACATGGAGAAAACTCAAGAGGTTAGATTGGCATTCCTCAGGATCAAAATTACAACTTTGCATGCATGACATGATTCCCACCCTATACTAACTGATTTAAATGTAAAACTTACCAAGCTTGATCAAATCTGTTTCCATTACACGATATTGTGATCAAATCTCCCATTCCTGTAGCAGTCAGCGTCAGACTTAAATATAAAAAGGCGAAATTGCTTGTACTGTGGTCTTATAAATGTATTTTCATCAGGGTTATAAAGTCTCGTTCTGTTTATATTATCTACTGTTTTATTCCATGGATTATAAGACCAGGAGGAAGCCGCAGTGCCTCAGTGAGTAAGACAGTGGTTCAATATCCTGGAGGTCCCGTGTTCCAGGCTCGCTAACCTGGAGGTCCCGTATGTGATACCGGTGTTGACGAGAAAGTTAATCATGGATTTTCCTACGTGGTTTCTGCTTATCAGCATATAGTCGTTCAGATGGGACTATAAACCAAGGTCACAGGTACACATTGGCGTGCATAAAAAAGAACCTATGACAAATGGAATTCGATAGAAGAGTTAGCCATAGTGCCTCTGTCCGGGCAAAGTTTTCCTCACAGCACACTGCATGGCGTATGCCCATCTTCATTAGCCCAAACATTCATTATAAGGCCAGCAAAGATGACAGAAGGGTGGAATGGAGTGCTCTGTTGATTTTGGTGAAAATGTTTGAATGACAGCATAAACATTAATTGTTCTGGCAACTTTTGATTCAATACTTAGCATGACTAAATCCTGACCACCATGAGTTATTGGGCAGACGCCTTCCGATGAGACGTTTTGACCTATGACACAGTGTGTGATAGGCCTGAAGAGTGGCCACATATCCGCTGATCGCGTGTTAAGTAAAGTATTTTTGACTTGATACTCAAAGGCAAACCTTTCTTTTTCTTCCAAGCATTTATAACCAATATAAGCATGGAACACGGTATTTGATATAACATGTGGAATGCTAGTCTTCAATTTCTGAGATTTCAGTAAATTTCTAAGGCTCCTTTGAACCCATGAGCTAGCACACAGTACCCCTTGCTTACGAAAAACAACTCTATTTGCAAATCGAGAAATAAAGATGTTTATTTCGCAGTTCTAGTTGACCTTACAACTGTACAACATTAATAAATGCAGGCCTTTTATTATGCGGTGTGGGGAATATGAAATGATATGTTAATTACCCGAGGTAACGACGAGGCGGTCTCATAGTACTGATGAATTGTTGATCACTTATCCATCTAGATATCAACGATTCTGCTATTTCACAAAACTGATTCTGTAACTAGAAATCATATTAATTAATAAATTAAAGCATTCTGTAATATAAAACTGTTATTATTGTAATCCAAATTTTACTGTGACAGTTATATATTCAGTTCTCAGATAATCCTTCAAAAAATGCGATGGAGCCGTGGGTTTTTTTTGGTGTTTTTATTTTGGCAAAGCACCATTTTGCTAACATAACAAACATCAGGCTCCGAGTTCACAAAGCTTTCTCCGACTTCAGTTAAGAATTTACTGAACTTTCAATCACTGTTTATGAGAAATATCTTTAATGCAGAAACACAAAACTTTGCACAGGATTATCTGAGAACACGTTGCTTGTCTATATAGATTTGTAGTTATTACTTGTCCATATAGATTTGTTGTTAGTGCTAGTCCATATAGATTTGTAGTCATTGCTTGTCTATATAGATTTGTTGTTATTGCTAGTCCATATAGATTTGTAACATGGACGGGAAATCTTCCTTTGTTCTTTTTTTCCCTTTAGTAGATTGGGTGGAGCTTAACCGTGCAAAACGTTATTGCACTCTTTTGCTGGTTTACACTAGTTTTAGTAGAAATCATTTAGAGAAGTGAGGTGGGTTTTCTGTGCAATAACAACATGCATGTTGAGCAGGTGTTACAAGTCAGTTATAGCACGCTTCATTCGTTAACAGGTTTAACATCTCTGCCAACGGCCTCGATGTTCAAACTTTACTTGCTTGATAATATTGAGACAATAGTAATTGTATTTCCATAATTTATATGTATGTGTTATTGCCCAATTATCAAATGCCTCTAAAGGATTATCTGCAAAGACGAATCCTTTCTATTCTAAAAATAAAGAGTAAAGTCAGCATAAATCACATTTCAATTAGGAGCTGGAACAGCTAATTGCTACTCATCTTGTTGTTCTTGGGGGTGAAGCTCTTCGAAGAAAGTCTAAGGCTTCGACAATTCATGTACGATCAGCAAGAAACCTGGCATGCTTGTTCCTTGATGGGCTTCAATTTTGACATGACGTCACAATTGTAAGATGGCTGTAATTACACAATACTTAGTTCCTGGTTCATAGCACACTGGTACTTGTTTTAAAAAGATAGATACCTGTTCCTTATGTTTTACTTTAGCCATTGAAGAAACAACCAGATTAACTACATCGTTAAGTTTCATTAAATCAAACTGCATATCTGAAATATATATTGAAGATGAATTATGTAAGATTTAGATAAAGAGCTGACCGTTCCAGCTATAATCGTTGCAAAATAGATAATGAAAAATGAATATAATGAAAATTTAATTCAAATTATTTTATTCTGAGCCAAGTTATGAGTGCTGGTTAGATTGTTTATTATTGTAGCAAAAGTACTGGACAAACAGGACTAAGTCTCAATTATCCATTTTATTATCTCACAGACTTTTTTTATCCATTTAAATCTCTGCCATCCGATGGTCTAGAGAGTTGATTATAGGCTTGTCATGTGAATAAATGTACTCAAAAATCAAACTCCAGGCTACAGAGCTAGCACCATCAGCATCATCAGCACCATAATCAACGAGCCAGAGTGTCGACAATAAAAATAAGATCAATGTGACTTTCTTTAATTGTCAGTAATTGTCTATAACTAAACAAGGTAGTTTCACCAAATATTTCAATAGACTGATGTTCAAGTCACGGAAGTTACAGCCACAGAGGTTAATAAAGTTTCTAACTCTGTTGACATTTTGTTTTGTTAATTCAGTATGATACAGGTGCGATACACGGATCGTAAAAGGTTGGCCACCCCACTCATTATTGGGTATTGTTCTCAGAAATATGGGAAACATTTTGATGAATATAATTTTGTATTTGAATGTTTTAGCAGATTACCTGACCAGATCTGTGGTATATACTGATAACCTTCATATAATTCTATAGCTTTAAATAATTCATCATATTCTTCTGTATTCAGCATCCAGATCTAAAATAACATCAATGAATTACTAATACAGGCCCAGAAATACTAACTTTAGTTGTATTGGGTTTTCTGCACCAGTTACAACCCAATTTCAATTCCATCTTTCAAGGGTTCTTTTACGAGCACACCAACATGTACACAAGTTCTTGATTTTTCTTCCATCCAAACAACTAGACATTATTCCTTGCCAGGCTCCCCATCCTGCACCACTGACAAAGGTAAACCATGCTGGAAAATCCTGTGTTACTCTTTCCTGGCAAACAGCATGATCGAACTCGTAATCTACTGGCTAGTGAACCACACTCAATCTGCTTCTAATCTGGGCTAATGAAGACGGGCATACGTCATACAGTGTGCTATGAGTGAAATTTTGCCTGGACAGTGGCACTACGGCCTACTCTTATATCGAATTCCAACTGTCCAGGGATTTTTTACGTGCACGCCAATTTGTAATGGGACCTTGGTTTTTCATCCCATCCAAACGACCAGACAACTGTCCTTGTCAGGCCCTCTGTCCTGCATCACTGACAAGGGGGAATCACGCCGGATAATCTGGATGAACTTTCTCGGCCAATGCAGGGATCAAACACCCAACCTCCAGGCTAACGAGCCAGCAACTTACCCACCGTGACCCCAGATACTGAACAGAACTGAACCAGTTTTGATCCCATTCGCTCTAATGCCAATCAGAGATGTTAAATGCAAATATAAAGCAAACTTGTTTGAACCAGTATAACTTACATGTGGTACAATTCGATTATATACTTCAATAACATGTTCTATTGTATCATACATACACAGCAGTTTAAAGTAGAGGGAACTGAAAAAAATAAACAGAATACATGGTTCAATTTCATCTTAATAATTCGCTTGCACAAAGGGGTTTTCAGCAGAGGGAGGACCCTGAGCAAACCCATGAGGTTAGACTCCTTGTCATGTACAAGTTATAGGAATCAAAACCATGCCACTTGACTCAACGACAGACATTATGATCTAATGTGCATGCGTTAACCCTTAACCGGTCATTGTCGACTATAGTCACCACAACGTTATACAGCTAAGTGGTCAAGCAAGAACCTTTCTTGATAAGCTGCATTTGAGTATTTAGTTTCGTATTAATTGATATGGCGATGCATAGACGATATTTCTGATGAAAAGGACTTAAAACTGATTTGCAATTTATAGATCAACTTATCCCCTTCAACTTTTTTATTGGTGTCAAGAGTCTATCACTTATAATTATTCGACAGTAGTCGATTGAAATAGGCATACAAAATATTTGACGTCAGCCATTATTTAGCCTGACCACTTGACGTCATAACGTCAAAATGACGTCGAACGGTTAAGGGTTAAATCGTTCGTCCAGCCAACTCCCCTCTAAATAGAAGTAATTATATAATCAAGATTATACTTACTAGAAAACTGACACATATTTCACAGGTCCAGATATTACATCATATTTTCTAGCTAGAATTTCAAGCTTAGTAGCTATTTCTACATCTTTCAGTGTTCTACTATTCTAGAATTAAAAACAAAGTTGATTCTATTATTTAATTAACACTTTAGCACTTTGTTCATGTAAATATCGACACCTCCAGTTCTGTGAAGAACATTTGAGAAAAGTGATATAGTTCATACCAATATATCCCTGGAGAGATCAAAACTGTTTGAAACTATTGACTGCCCATGTGCTGTGAAGAACATTTGAATTAAGAAAAGTGATATAGTTCATACTAATATATCCCTCAACAGATTAAAACTGTTTGAAACTATTGACTGCCCATGTGCTGTGAAGGAAGAGAGAGAGAGAGAGAAATGGGGTTTAATGCCCACTCGATACAAACTAGGTCATTCCAATAATTTGCTTGTGCATAGGGGTCTTTAGCAGTGGTAGGAAACCAAAGGACACAGACAAAACCCACAAGGTTTTAATATATAGAGTTTACAATCATACACCCAAATATGTATAAGTCCAAAAATTATTCAAATCTGTTTGTCACAAAGTAATAATGCCACAACTCAATACCGCCATTTGAAATTTGTCAATGTATTTGTCTTTTTGGGATTGGCTGCTGCACTAGGGCTTACCCTAAGCCAAAGTTTGGCACATAAGGGCAGCTTGAGCCAAAAAGTGACATAGGCCTAGTGGCATAATTATTCTAATTCCAGTTTCACAAAACTCAAATATGGAAGCATCACAGCTCTCTGATGGTAACACTAGGCAAACAGCTAGTTGCTAATAAATCTTATTTTTGTATCAATTAAAAACAACTAATTGTAAACTAGTATAATGAAATATTTTGATATGTACCTTCATCATTGCTAAAAAGAAAAAATGCACTGAAAAAGCAAGAAGAAAAATAATTTTTTATTATTGGAATTTGCAAATGTAAAATCAACCATACTTTTTAGGGTGGGAATTTCGAAACCCAATTATCATGGAAGTAACATTAATGTAATTCAAATAAACAATACACATCATTATATCAAAGATAATTGTCACGTAATGAAATGCATGACCACACAGCAGCTAAGTCGTCTGAGCAGTCCACAAAGGTTGACACATTTTTATTTCTTTATATGTAGTGGAAGCATTAGCAAGACTGAAAACCTCAATGAGAGAAACAACCCAATAAGCAATTATCAGAAATAATTAACATTCGATTGGCTTCTAGTTCTTCATAGTGCTAACTTTTGTTATAAAAAAACATCCAATCAGATAATAACACTGGCTGTTCAAGTTCTTAAATATCATTGGAATAGACTTCTGCATATTATAAACATCAACATTTTTCAAATTAATCTTTGAAAATCAATTCACTTCTTCATCTCATTCTTCAAGTCAGTTGTATGATAGGTTTAGTGGACGTAACTATTAATTTTACTTACAATCATCACTGCCATTAATGGGTATTTTTTTCTCCCATATATATTCTACAATTTTCTTTAGCATGTCTGATCGGTCATCTAAAATAAACCAATATTATCATACATGTATAATTTAAAATAAACCAATATTAACATACATGTATATTTAAAATAGACCAATTTTTTTAACATGCTTGTAAAATATATTAAAGAAGATGGGCATACATCATGCAGTTTGTCATGAGGGAAATTTTGCCTGGAGAGCAGCTTATCTGCCTACTCTTTATGGAATTCCCACTGTCTGGGTTTTTTTTACATGTACCCCAATGTGTACACAGGACCAAACGAATAGATGCAGCTCCTTGCCAGACCCACCAGCCAGTATCACTTATAAAAACCTAGAGTACTTTCTTGACCAGATTCGAAACCAAGACCTCCTGATTAGTGAGCCAACACCTTACTCACTCACTGAGCCAATGTTTACAGATCCGACACAATTTAACTCACCACTGATAAAATGTACTTTGCTGGTATAATATTAAATTTTAACTTTAGAAGACGAAATATTAAGTAATATTCTGATACTGGACAAGGTCGTTAATCTGAGTGTTGTTTCAATATACTACGCAATGTCTTGCTAGAGACCATTAAGTATTGTTTTATGGTCGAGAGCGAGACATTAAGTAATATATTGATACTGCACGAGGCGTTAGCCGAATGTTGTTTCAATATATTACGCAATGTCTTTAGCTCGAGACCATTAAACAACTTAAAATACAGTCACTCCGCACATGCTTTTACAGTGATAATGTACATTTACGAGTCCAATATTTCACTAGTATAAAGAATGTACGATTGGCAAGTTGCCCGTATGATTATTTGAAATAATGGTATGCCAACATCAAAGGGTGACGTCACATCTGTATTTTAAACAATTTTAATAATGGTACGCCAGCATCAAAGGATGATGCCATTTTACTCAGATATTACTTACTTGACTTGTTGTAAAATACATCCAGTACATTCGCAAAACAGCTTAAACTTGGTTCTAGAAAGATAATATCAAAAAATAAGAAATTACATTTATTAATAGGGACCATCACCAACAAACTCATACATGCTAGCTATAAAATACTAAACCACTCCCTCCACCAACTCAAAAGAAGTTGAAATGTTTTAAGATAATAGGGTTTAAAATCCTATTTTTCTGCAACAATTTGGCTAATGAAGAAAGGCATATGTCATGCAGTGTGCTATGAGGGTAATTTTGTCTTGACAGTAATGTTTCCAAAAATGTTTACGTCGGTTGTGAGTTTTTTGTACTATCCAAATAACTAGATGCTATTCATTGTCAGGTTCTCTGTCCTGCCCCACTGATAAGGAGAAATCATGCAGGAACAATATCCAGAAAAACTTTCCTGACCATCATTGAGATAGAACCAAGGACCTCCCCACGACAAACAGAAGAGTCATGGAGCTCTGATCTTTAGCAATTGTTACCAATCACAAGACAAAAGAGAAAAAAAAAGTGCTACCTATTCCTAATTTCTTCATTTCAGCAAGTGTTTTCATGACATAATGAGGTGAGTTTTGGTGTGAAGCCATGGTAGCTAATGCACTAAGAACACATCTAAATGTTTCCAGTGTTGGTTGTAATCCTTGATTCTTCAGCTCTTGTAACATTCCCTGAAATTATAATATCATATTTATCAGTTAATTCATTCCCTGAAATTATATTATACTTACGCGGTGTTCGATTCCGGTGTTAGCCTAGAAAGTTCATTGTGATTTTCGGGCGTGGTTCCCCTTATCAGTGGTTTAGAACGGAAATGAAATGAAATGGGGTTTAACGTCCTACTGTTCTGCTCCGAACTGGGCTAATGAAGACGGGCATATGCCATACAGTGTGATATGAGGGAAATTTTGCCTGAACGCGGCAATACGGCCTATTCTTATATCGAATTCCAACTGTCAAGAGATCTTTTACCTGCACGCCAATGTGTACACGGGACCTCAGTTTTTCATCCTATCCAAACGACTGGACAGCTGTCCTTGTCAGACCCTCCATCCTGCAACACTGACAAGGGGCATTCACGCCCGAAAATCTGGATGAACTTTCTCGGCCAATGCAGGGATCTAACACGAGACCTCCAGGCTAGTGAGCCAGCGTCGTACCCACTTAGCCACCGTGATTCCCCGGTTTAGAATGGAGGGCCTGGCTAGGACAATGTATAGTTATTTGGATTGGACAAAAAAAACAACAAGGTCCTATGTACACATTGCCGTGCACGTAAAAGAAACCCTTGACAGTCGGAATTCAAAATAAAGAGTAGACCGTAGTACCGCTGACCAAGCAAATTTCCCTCATAGAACACTGCGTGGTGTATGCCCAATCAAAGCAGAAAAGTAGGATGTTAAACCCAATTTCATTTCATTTAATATATAACATTTAATATTAATTCAATCATTCTGAATTATAATATTTCAATATCTATTCAATAATTCATTCATTCTCTGAAATTATAATATTTATTTATTATTTCACTCCAACCAGAATGATGGAATTTTTTCCTTGACAGCAATGTTTTCATTAAATATCAACAGTGAAGGGATCTTTTAAGTGCACAACAATGAGAAGATGAATCTCCAGTTTTCATTCCGTTTGAATGATTTGATATATCTCCCTTACTAGATGGAATGGGATTAATGTCTCATCAACACAATACTTTTGTCATTTAAAAACCAACAAATAGTAATTTTTATTTCTATGATTACACATTCAATATGATGGGAGTGAAACATGAGTGATAACTTACTGTAACTAGAGACCATTTTTCTTTATGACTGTCTGTTGTCATTGTACCATATTCTATCAGATGATTAAATGTTTCCAAATCCACTACAATAAAAAAATAACTTATACATCTGACTTTTATGTCCAAAATGATTCTAGAACAACCAAAATATTCTTAATCATTAAAAACTTCTATAATGACATATTACTTTTAGAATAATATAGTAGATTGTTGATTTTACTATTCAAATATTCTAAATAATTATTCAAATGCTATTTTAATATTCTAAATCATTATTCAAATACTATTCAAATATTCTAAATCATTATTCAAATACTATTCAAATATTCTAAATCATTATTCAAATTTTCTAAATCATTATTTAAATTCAAAAACTAATTCAATACTTATATTGTAAACCATTATTTTAAATCATTATTTGAATATTAATATTTTAAATCATTATTTGAATATTAATATCTTAAATCATTATTTGAATATTAATATTTTAAATCATTATTTGAATATTAATATTTTAAATCATTATTTAATATTAATATTTTAAATCATTACATGTATTTGAATATTATTATATTCCACTTATATTACCAACTAGTGTACTGTTTTTGTTTGAATATTTTAATAGGAGACAAAAAACAGATCAGATTCTAATAGTTTAATTGCACTACAAAAATTTACCACAAATCTGAATAAGCACCACCTGTAGCCCATTCAGATTCTTAAGTTCAACTGGTTTAAAAACCCTAGCGATCGTTAAACCAGATTAAACATACTAAATGCAAGAGCTAAATCTGCCTATTGCAGATCTTTCTTTAGGCCTGAAATGTTATAAAAACTATTAATTAGACATTAATTAACCTATCCAGGCCATTTTAAATAGATTAGAACAGTTCAGCCATATTTTAATTTAAGCTAAAAATGGAGGAGCGAGACTTAGCTTTGAACAACCAGTACGGTAGTTGAAATTATTGCACACGTCTTGTCAAACCTTCAAAGGCTAATATCTTCGCTCACAATAGAGTAATTTGAAGAAATGCAAGAGTGGCTAGCTCTTTATCTAAATCTTACATAATGTATCTTTAACTTTGAACTTTGTCATCTGAACACAAAGGTGGGGCAAATAAACCAGTTTAAAAACCCTAGCTCTCTGTCTTCGAGAAGGCTATTCTTAAAAGAAGTTTTATCTTGGCCGAAGAAAAAGGTGAAAATATGTAAAAATGACTAAATCTGTCCCTTTGAGGAATCTCTGTCATGCCCCTCTGAGGCTGATTAATTTGTTTTGAACAATTCTACCCAAGCAAGCAAACGTTTCAACCAAATATGGCTAATTCCATCTATTTGACCTACCTGGAATCATGTTTTCTAACATTTCATTATATCTATTCATTGCATTTTCTGATGCCAGGCCCTGAAAATAAAATACTTATCGATAACACAAACTAACATTGAGAAAAATTAAATGAAATGGGATTTAACGTCCTACTGTTCTGCTCTGAATGGGCTAATGAAGACAGACATACGTCATGCAGTGCTATGAGGGAAATTTTGCCTGAACAATGGTGCTACGGCATACTCTTTTCATCCCATCCGAATGGACCTCGAACATGGAACACAAAACCTCCAGGTTATTGAACCAATCAATGTCTTACTCACATTGGCTTGTTTTCGATTCCCAAAATGAGCCAGTTTGTGTCAAATGGACATTAAACCCCAAGTTTGGCAGAAATGAAATGGACTGTGCTAATGAAGACAGGAATACACCATTCAGTGTGCTGTGAAACAGAATTCGTCCAGACAGCTTCGTCCTGCACCACTGACAAGGGGAAACCAGGCTTGAAAATCCTGAGTAACTGTCTCGACTGACAACCATTTTAAACCTTAGACATACTGGTTAACTAGCCACAACCTTACTCGCCAAGCCGTCTGGTAGAAATGAGAAATGAAGTAAACTGTGTTATCGGGTATTCACATGATATCTTACCTTGGCCATTCCAGTTACTATGGTATTATAAGCTCGAGCTGATTTTCTGGGTAAATCTTCAAACAGTTTCTCTGCTGCAGTAAAATCTCTACAAATACAAACGTTTTCTAAATAAACAAAATATTCTATAAAATAAAACAAAAACTTGTATGAAATCTAAAGCCTCAGATTGTCAATTGAGGTAGCCTATTATTAATCTGTTGCAAACTACAATATTCAGGGATTCATGTGTATAAAAATTGTGTGCGTGAAAAAAAGCACTCGCAAAAACTCAGCCAGAGCTATCAATTCATTCTGCGGTACCTGATAAAGATAGTTCCTATTAATTCACTTAACCTGATAATTGAAATTTTGCCCGGATAGTGATGCTGCAAGCTACTCTTATATCAAATTCCATTTCAGGCACGCAAATGTGTACACAGGACCTTGGTTTTTTGTCCCATCCAAATGACTATACATTGTCCGTTGCCAGGGCCAACTGTCCTGCACCATTAACAGGGGAGAACCATGCAGGAAAATTCTGATTAAGTTTCTCGGCCAACACCTTGATCAAACATGAGACCTTCAGGTTAGTCTTACCCGCTGAACCACTGACAGGTGAGAACCACGCCAGAAAATCCTGATTAACTTTTTCGGCCAACACCTGGATCAGTGCTGCTCCCAGGCATACAGAATGCAAAAGAAATACTTACTCCCAAGTTTTGGCTGGTTTTCTATCGTGTTTTGAAAGATAAATGAATTCTTCACCATATAATTCTTCTGGTGGATCTTTATTGTTATAAACGCACAATAAATCTAAGAGATCTAAAAGGGTCTCTTCAGATATTTCCATCTCTAAAATATATTAAACATATACATTAGTATACATATATAAACAAAAATCTACAAACTTATTGAATCTGACAAACTTATTGAATCTGACAAGCTTACTGAATCTGACAAACTTCCATATTCCTCAATTAGTTGGCAACCAAAGTAGACCGAGAGAGAAATGGGGTTTAAATCCAGTTGACACAAACCAGGTCATTTTGGGAATAAATAACATATGGTGCAATTTTATTTCAATAATTAGCTTGCACATAGGGGGAGGACAACGGATGACACAATCTCGATCCCAGAGATAACTTTATCCTTCATTTACCTCTAGTAAAACTTGTCGGCCATTAATCAGTGTGAAATTGGTTCCTTAGCACTGCCCCCAGTAGCTACTGATTTGTTAGAATAAATTGCTGCCAATTTCTCGACAATTAGGCATCAGTTCATTGCATGAATTACATATTAATGATCCTTGGAACATTTTCCACATATTGACATTAAAAGTTAATTCGAAAACAGCCAATTTGATGATTTACCGTGAAATATTTTTAGATTTACCATGAACTATTTTTAGCGCACAATGTGAGTGAAATTTTTGAAGAAATGAAAATTTGGATCTTTGTGAAGCGACTGACGGAAGGATACATTACATGACATTCAAAATGGCTGACGTATGGCCAGCGAGTTTTCCCGGAGATAAACAAAGAGTCTGGGACGTCGATGGAGATAGCAGATTACACAGAGAAAACTTATGAGGTTCTTTTACATGCACATCAGTGTGTACACACGGTGGCTAAGTGGGTAATACACTGGCTCGCTAGTCTGGAGGTTGCGTGTTTGATCCCTGCATTGATCAAGAAAGTTTATTGGGATTTTCCAGCCTGGTTTCCCCTTGTCAGTGGTGCAGGAGAGAGGGACTGACAAGGACAGCTGTCTAGTTGTTTGGATAGACAAAAAAACGAGTACCCGTGTATACATTGGTATGCACGTACACCGTATGGCATATGCCATTAGCTCAGTCAGAGCAGAACAGTAGGACATTTTAAAAACCTCATTTCATTTCATTTCAGTGTACACAAGCTGACCTCATTTTTTCATCCCATCAGAACGACTGGGTACACTTTCTTGTCAACTGTGCAAGCACCATTCCTAACAAGTGAGAACTGAGCTTGGAAAGTCCTCAATAGTTCTTCTTGGCTCTTATTCACATTCAAACACATAGTGACAAGAAATATAAATTTCATTATAGTCAACCCAAAAAAAAAACCCTGATCCGCAAGCTTTAAAATATATTAGAGATTATGAAAAACAGTGCTTCAGGTTAACATAGTAAACTATATATACCTTCCAGTTGAATTTCTTTGTAAAGGGCAATAGCATCTTTTACATTCTTCATTTGGATTCTTTCTATTAAAGCTTCTTCATTGGCACCTGTCGTTTGATATTCAGTTTTGGGGGGCATAAATGCCTGCAAGGAGACAAAACAAAAAAATAGAAGATGTGGTAATTGATATTCATGCTATTTTGGTTCACAGGCAATAAACATGCTTAAAACTGTGAGTGACTCTAAGGTTCTGTAGGATTAAAACCCCGCCACCTGACACAATGACAGACCTTATGACCTAAAATACATGTGTAAGATCATCCCCACACACCACCAAAAAAAAATTATTTACAAAAGATATGTATTTTAATTGTGTACTTACTTCTACTTTTGGTTGAGAAGTATCATTCTGAAAAAACTCTGGATGCTGTTCAACTATATGTTTAGCGGCCCTTTTTCCTGCTGCCTTGGACAGGGCATAGTTTCTCTTTTAAAAAAAGACATTAATATAATAATTTGCAATTATATTATGGTACATTTTATGCGGATGTGACCTAATAATTTTTATCTTTTACTTGCATAAATATTGTCGTGTTGATCCTTTACTGGATGATCATTATTGTAATATAAGTCACATGAGACGGAAGTTATCTGCCCCTGCCCACTCTTCTCTGTAATATATATTGAAGTTAATAAAAGACGCACATACTTCAAGTGTGGTCGTACCACGAGAATGTCTTGTTTTAATATATAGTATAAGGGGGGGTTGAGATATGAATATGACCGTCCATCCACGTATAGAAGGCATATCGAAGGTAGTGATCCCAACACAACAATATGCCACTAACTAGAGTGTGTGTGCTTTACAAATGTATTTAATTATTATTAAATCATAGATCATTATTATTAAAAAATACTGAGACAATGACAACTAAAAATGTTATTATTCTGTATGCTCTGCCATGATCTAGAGTGTAGCATGCTATTCACAGCAGGTAGCCAAAAACTTGATAGTGGTATTTATATTTATGCGAAAAACTCATTAATAGTCACTGTAGGAGAACTGTGCCCCACATAAAAACCAGACAAACTCACAGACAAGACATATCACACACAGTCATTGTAATAGCAAGCGCAGGGGGATAGCACAACACAAAAACAGTTACACAAGACAAACATACGGACAGGACACAGACACCTCGAACCCCAAACGTATATATAAGATCAAGTGAATGGATACTGGGGATATCCGTAAGCATCATCAACAATAAAAATACAAACAAATCAAATGAATGGATCCCAGGGCTGTAGAGTCCCAGGTCTGTAGTGATACACGATTCATTAAAATGAAAATAAACTCACAAGAAAGGCAAGCCAAAAACACAAAATATAGTAATAGCTTACCTTTTGAATAAATCCAGTCGGATATAAATATGGATCATCTATCAAATAATAAGCTGGTGCATTTGGATCCTATAAATAAAACAAAATTTGAAATGTTTTAATATTCGTTATATTTAATATTCGGTAAAGTTGGTTGTTGTATACCAGCCAATTAAAGAAATGAAATGGAGTTTAACGTCCTTCTTTTCTGCACTGGTTGGACTAATGACGACGGGCATACGCTGTGCAACAGCCTACTCTAATTTTGAATTCTAACTGTAGAGGGCACTTTTATGACACGCCAATGTGTTTTTCATCCAATCGGAACAACTATACATTGTCCCTTTCCAGGCCCTCTGTCCTACACCATGACGGAAAATCCTGATGAACTTTCTCAACCAATTAATGGGTAGACCAAAGTCGTTAAAAATGTGCTAACTGTTGAGGGTTAGGGTCAAAAGCACCTTTGCCAACACATTGTACATTCATTAAAATGTTACCACTTCTACAGTATATAATAAAGGGACATGCTTATATTCTTAAAACTCAAAGCTGATGGGTTTTTCCCTTTTCTATTTTTAACTACTGAACTGAATTAAAATTCATTAGAAATCGGCTATTAAATTGAAATAAATAAAATAAAACGAGATTAGTTCTCTTTTAATTAATAGTAATTGAAAATACTGATTTGTAACATATGTGTGATAAATTGGACAGAATTTTAAAAAAAGTAATTATTATAGCAAAACTTACCCTTTCAACAGTTGATGCCAAGGCCTTCAAAATGGATGTTGGTCCTCTGTTAAAAAGAAAATAACAAATAGAATAAATCAAAATCCTACTAATTGTTAAAAAAAACCTCCATGAAAGTCCTTTGAAGTGTATTAGTAGCTGTAGGTCTAACTCATGATGAAACCCAATCATCTTACAGTTGACCCTCCTACATTCTAATAATAAACTAATGACCAACCACAGTAATAGGTGTTAACTAGTGCTAATAAACAAGGCTGGACAGAAGGCACCTGTCATAAACTTTGTCAGAAACAAATTATCACATAGCATTTTCATTATGATATATACGTTTTGTGATATGACAAGTCTGTGGCAGGTGCCTTATGTCCAGCCTTATATGTATGTTGTGTGATAATAAGTACTTGACAAATTCTGTGACAGAAGCCTTATGTCCAGGCTTGGTAATAAGAGCTAACTGGTTAAAATTAAAAACCTCAAAGACCGAAATATTGTCCATTCAATAAATCTACACTAATAATGAGGCACAGCTGACCAGAGCTTTAAAAAAAAAAAAAAAAATAACATGAGCAGATAATTAATATAAACACAATAGTTCTACGGAAAATAATAAGTATATGTTAATCAGAGCTATTTTTCCACAATGAAATGAAATGGTGTTTAACGTCCTACTGTTCTGCTCCGATTGGGCTAATGAAGACTGTTATACGCCATACAGAATGCTATGATGGAAATTTTGCCTGGGCATGGGCACTATGGTTTATCGAATTCCAACTGCCAAGGGATCTTTAACGCGCACGCCAATGTGTACACGGGACCTTGTTTTTATGTATCCATCCGAACGACTAGACAGCTGTCCTTGTCAGAACCTCCGTTCTGCACAACTGACAAGGGGAAACCACGCCGGAATTTTCCACAATGACTCTCTTATTATTTTCAAGCTCTCATTAATATACAGTAATTGTTTTCCAAGGAAATTTTGTGTTTATTTTAATGTTTCAATTACTAAATGCTATTTAAACAGTATACAAACAATTAATACCTTGGTATTCTGTTGGGTATGACTATTTCTGATGTGCTACCTGTAATACAAAATGAAATAAAATGAAATGGAATGGGGTTTAACATCCTAATGGGCTGATGAAGACGGGCATATGCCACGTGGTGTGCTACGAGGCAAATTTTGCCCGGACAGCAGCGCTACAGCCTACTCTTATATCAAATTCCAAATGCCAAGGGATCTTTTACAAGCATGCCAATGTGTACACAGGATCTTTGTTGTTTGTTCCATCGAAACGACTAGACAGCTGTCCTTATCAGGCCCTCCCCTCCTGCACCACTGACAAGGGAAAACCATGCCAGAAAATCCTGATGAACTTACTCTGCCCACACCGGGATCGAACCCACCACCTCCAGTCTTCTGTCATCATCAATAGTGATACAGAGGTGAATTCTGTCATCATCAATCGTGATACAGAGGTGAATTCTGTTGTCATGATATTTTAAAAAAAAACAGTAGAAAAAGTTCATGGGGCCCTATAAAATTTAAATTTATAGGAAATCTTTGTTTAGGGTGATTGTCCATAAGCTGAAAGAAGTCAAAATCTGTGGATTGTGTAGACCGAAGGCATGTCTACCTATGGCCTATTTGGAGACTAGTGGGTGAAAAAATTCATGAAATTCGGATAGCTAAAACAATTTATCCATACCCCTACTGAAAATAAGATTGAGATGTTTGCATTAAATAAGATCAGTTTATTAAGAATATTAGGGATGCTACAACTAGCTACCATATTTTGGGGGTGGAATATTTTAGTGTGAAATTGACCTCAAGCAAGAGGCTAAAAATAGGGTATAATGTCCACTCGACACAAACTAGGTCAATTTGGGACTATCATATGGTTCAATTTTATTTCAATAACTTGCTTGTGCGTAGGGAGTCTTTAGCAGTTGCAGGAAATCAGAGGACCAGGAGAAAACACAAGTTTAGAAGGGACCCTTCTCCTTGTCACATAAAAGCTGGGAATCAGAACCACAGATCTTATGATCTAAAGTGCATGTGTTAGACACTGTTAGACCATTTGGCCACCCAACCCATGTCCCATCTCAAGAAACCAGATAAAATAACACCCAAGTTTAGTGGTTAGGTTTTTAAACTTGTTTAATTCCCAGTTTAGAGGTAATTTCTGACTTATAAAATATATGACTCTCATCCAGTAGTTATAAAACAAAACAAACCTGACAATTTTGCAGGTTCCTGTTTCAATTGTTCTGTTTCATGCCTGTTACAGTGATTTTGACAACTAGAAAAATGCCTGAATAATAAAACAAAAAAAAAAAGATATTATCTCTTCATTTTGCATTATAGTAGAATACCACATTATAAAGTACTGTTTTTAATTATAATAAATTGTGATAGAAGAATGCAGGATTTGGGAAAGCTAAACTGCCAATATTTGCGTTTTCCTAAACACTGCATATGGACAAAAGAAATAAATAAATAACCAATCTAGTTTAATCTTCGGCCTATCTCTTATTCATGAACTGAGCCACTATGGCTCAGTGAGATCAAGCGGTTGATACCACAGTGTTGGTCAAGAAAGTTCCTAGGTATTTTTCAGTGTGGTATCAGCCTGTCAGTGGTGCAGGACGGAGGCCTGGCAAGTAACACTATCTAATTGTTCCAATGCAACAAAAAACTTGCCCTGTAAATGCCTCTGTCCAGACAAAATTTTCAGGTCAAGACTGAAGAGATGATTTATAGCCCTTCCCCTACCTTAGGCCTACTTTGTCTACGATATCGTAGACAAAGTAGGCCCTAGGTGGAAGTGGACGTAAAACTCCAGTCCAGAAACAAACTGAACTAACGAATTAGGCCTACTAATACTAGGACCAATTATCAAATAGATCAGTGATCATACTGTGGATGTAATTATCATCAAAAATTACTAGGTAATGAGTTCGACATTTTGGAATGACAGAAAATGAAGAAAATCAGTAAAAAAATATAAAATAATAAAATAAAAAGTCAGAGTTATTATCTCCCTTGAATTTAACCAGTGATCAGCCTGTTATCATACCCATTAACATGTCCACGATTAATGCATATTCAAGTTTCTGAATGCAGTTAACAGGATTTTAAAAACTTAAATTAAAGGACGCATAAATATACACAAACGTTGTTAAATGCATTACAAATACCTTGATTTTTTCGACAAGTTCCATAAAATAACCTTTCTGATCGACTTCATGGAGGTCGCCATTTTGCTTTTAATTTGCTGCAAAGGGAAAGATTATCAACCGTTGATACAATGTTCATTAATAATTAGGGGTGGAAAAAAAGAATTGGAATCATAAAACAATAGTTTGCAAAATTTCAATTGAATCCTCGTTTCCATGCTTTGTATTTTCCGCAAAGAAATATAACGCTATTTTTACTTTTTATTCTGTAGCAGAATAATACCGTTATAAATACTAATCTATTTTTAGAAATCGTTGCAGGTATTTATATTCAGTTCAGAGTTAGAAAAACTGAGTCATTTACGTTCATTTGGAGTTCAAACATATGCGTGTTTTAGATGGTTATTATATTTGTATGAATTTATGCAGTATGACAGCGGATCTTGTCAATAAAGATGAAAAGAATTGTCATTTTTAAGAATGGCTCCTTAGAAGATGGAAAGGTATTTTTAGTTTGGGCATAACTTGAAATGAAGTAAATAATTTTTAGTCAGAAATCATCATCTGTCCAGCTCTCTTCTTTTCATTTACACAGACCAATGCTTTTCATGAAACCATTTCTATTGATTCCGATAATAAAGAGTAACTATCAGGAAAGTCTCCTTATGAATAATTGAGGCCCACCGCAAGTAATTTATTGAGGCCCGGATTAATGATATGAATATTATTTCGACCAGGGACAAAACAATGTACCCTACCTTGTTGCCATTTCACAGACAGTTTAATGGAATGAGGCAATTAGAAGACCTGTCAAAGCCATTGTGAATCACTGCTGCCCTAACCAGTGGCTTCGCTGAGGTTCGCAAGTCCATTCGTTTGACACTTTATCTCAACGATATGTGCCCGAAATACTGCCAGAATGCATTTCCGGCAACCTGTTTTTGAAAAATTTCTGGGGGAGGCCCACCCACCACCCACCACCCACCACCCAAAGGCGGGAGCTTGTGTCTTTGCCCCCTTAACCTTGGACTTTTCCCGAGCTTTGCCCCTCCAACCACCAGCCCTAACTATTACACCTACATGTATTGTCAAATCCAACCTCATCATGGGTTTTCTCCGGGTCCTCCGTCATCCTCCCTTAAAGGCCCCTATGCACAAGCAAATTATTAAAATAAAATTGAACAATGTACCTGTTGGTCCTCAAAATGATCAACCTACTTTGTGTGAGTGGATATTAAATCCGTCTCTCTCTCTCTCTTCTCTCTCTCTCTCCCAATGTTAAAATTACATATTTTACATATCTTTAACCATTTCTATCACATATGTAAAGGTAGACTGCAACATTATCCTTTAAGTACGACCTTGATCATATTGGCAAGATTTCTTGTGAATTGCTTTACAGATTTTATTTATTTTGAAGGTTATCATATTGCCTGAGACTGTCAATCAAATTCTGGAAATCGCCAGCACAAAGCTAAAATGTAACGCAAAGAAATTGTTTACAGCAAAAGGTGGTTTGATTGACGATATAGATCTGATTAGGTTAGTATCAATAGGTCTGGAAATATTGGGCTGAATTTGTCAGAAATGTTCCAGGAAATATAAAAACCTCATGGTTTAATTAAGCACATGGTTTTTACGGCTCTCGCTGAAATATGAGTCATACCATTTATGTCACAAATCAACAAGCCCATCAAAAGATTTCAGGTGGCACTGGCTTGTGTTGACGTCTATATACAGTGAATGCCGAATGTTGGACAAATTTTTAATTCATCATTTCTTTGAAAGTATTGAATGGAATTTGGACTAATGTACCTCTGTATATATTCCTTATATAGAGATTCCACTTTCAAAATATAATCAGTGGCATTAAGACACTGTTAACAGATATTTTCACATGTTGATGACTGAAGGTGTATTAAATGGCTAAATTTCTTTTATTACAGAGATGACGAAGTTATTTATGTATCTGAAGGGGAGAAATTTATTCGTAACTATTGTAAGTGTAAAAACCTTTTCTTTAGTTGGTGGAACATTGTTGTTGGTGAAACATTGTTGTTGCCTTTACTTTGGTAGCCGAAACATTGTTGTTGCTACTTTGGTTGATGAAACATTGTTGTTGCCTTTCCTTTGGTTGGGGAAACATTGTTGTTGCCTTTACTTGTTCATGAGACAAAGAAGCCTTGTTTAATAATTAAATCGCTTACAGAGTAATTTCCCTGAACCTACTGAAATATCAAGTGGATGCTCTAGACTAGTCAAGAGACTAAAGTTGTCCAAATGCTTTTTACTACAACAACCTCCATGAAAGATTTAGCTACTGTGGGCTTATGGTTCTTCAACTGGCAACCTATCTTTTTAAATGTGAAAGTTTTAGAGAGCAGCATTTGTTTAATTATGGATCTGCTGTACAGTGTAGTTACAACTGGCACTCTCATAAATTTTAAAATAATGTTAATATTTCTTTTATTTTTCTTTTTTCTTTTTTTTTTAGCATGTCCATCTGTAAATAGTGGTGAAAATAAACCTGATATTTGTGTTAAGAAAGCTTGTAGTAAAGATGAATGGCTGACATTAAATGTTGGTGGGAAAATGTTCACTACCACTAGGTTTGTTACATTTCATGTTATGATAAGACAGGTTGGGGAGTTAATTAGCATTCAGGAAATCCACCTATTGGGGATTCTTTGCCTAACCCTTTTGGTGTCGAACTCATTAAGTGAAAATTTCCAACCTTCCTAAGTGGCTTTAAACTTAATGAAATAATAAACTTTCTGTGTACAGAATAGTTATTATATGATTACTGTTCACTGTACATATTATTTGTAGATTTATATATTCTTCTTTAAATCTTTGTAAGTGTACTTTTTTACGCACGAATAAATGAATTATTATTATTATTATTAAAATAGGCCCTCCCCTTGACAATTAGCTGTATATTGTTGTCCTGCATACTGTAAAATGATATTTTATTATCAGAATGAAATTTACTTTTTTAATGGCAAAAAACTCTTATGCATAAGTAGCTTATTGTTATCCTTCGTACAATAATTGTTTTGTTTGGTTATTAGAAGAAAATTTTTTCACGGTTTTAGGATTACTTTTTGGGGAAGATAACTCATGTTTGTTTATAAGTAGTTTATTGTTATACTTCATACCATAAGCTGATGGGGGTGGGTGGCGTGGTTTCAATTCTCCACTTGTACTGGACAAGGAGTAGGGTCGCCTGTCCAACCTTGTGGGTCTTCTCCGGGTTCTCCAGTTTCCTCCCTCTGTTAAGGACCCATACATGTAAGCAAATTAATGAAATAAACTTGAACCATATATTAGTCTCGAAATGACCTAGTTTGTGTCGAGTGGACGTTAAACCCCATGAATGAGGTTATTTTTATATTATTTTAGGAGTACTTTAACAGGACAGAATCCTGGTAGTATGTTAGCTAGAATGTTTACAAACGATAAAGGTAAAATTTCTCTCAGCAAGGTTTTTAGTAGACTGTTTATACACATAAAATTATACTACACCAAGGACTTTAACAATTTAGCAGCGAGGTGGGTTGCATGCACATTGGATTATAAGGTCTGTCATACAAGGAATAGGGTAGACTGTCCAATCTCGTGGGTTTTCTCTGCGTCCTCTGCTTTCCTCCCAATAATAAAGCCGGCTATGAGCAAGCGACTTATTGAAAAAATATTGAACCATATGATAGTCCCAAAATGACTTAGATTGTCTTGAGTGAACGTTAAAGCCCACCTCTCTCTATACAGCTAAGCTAGACTTTTTTCACAGCAGGTCACATGACTAAGACATTCTGATAGGAGATTCACATACATCAGGGGGGGATCAAGGAAATTTTGCAGAAGGGTGTTTGCCAGGTTCCTTTAAAGGAAATTTGACAGTTCACAAAACATGATGCTATCATCTTCTCCAAATAACGTAGGCATACACATTGAGCTTTTGAAAGAGAGAAATCCAACACCCATCGTCTTCAAATTATGTAGGCATACATACACACTGAACGTCAATTTTTATTATTAATTAATAGGATCAATTAATTGTGATTCAATTTCATTTTATGTAGCTGAGCAGGTTCCCCCTCTCTCTCCCCCCCCCCCCCTACTGGATCTACCCCTGTACATGTAATTGACATGGTGACGCACCTAGGTTAACAATTAATTATAGAAATCTTGTAAATTCTTAGTGTAGCCATATCAATTTAATCACAAAAGTAACCAAATAAGGGAATTTCAGAACCCAAGTCACAGTATCAAATCTTGAGGCCCGAAAAAATTATTAGGCACAGTTTGACTTATATATGACATGTTTTGTTTTTTTCAAGCCGAAAAGTCATTCATAATATGAATATATCAAGTAACAAGACACCACTAGAGAATTGTTCCTACCTGAGCCAGTGATTTCTCTTAGTTTCAGTTTTCTCACACATAACATACTGTTTCTCTTGTAGTTGTTTATGTCGTGTGATGCGTTATGATAGGATCCTTATTGATTCCACGATCTGCTACATGCAGATACCTTTGGATACATATGATACACTCAACACGATTGTTACAACTGACCTCAAAGTAAGACCTGATAGGATCACCACAATTACTCCACGATTAAAATCACGATTTCAATCGTAGCACGAATCGTGATAGTGGGAACCTACCATAAATTAAGGTTAATCCCTATTGAGTTCATTATCTGCTACGTTCAGATACCTTCGGATTGCTACGACTGAACTCAATATTTAATACCTGATAGGATGACCACAATTAGTCCACGAATATAATCACGCTTTCAATCGTAGCACGAATCGTGATAGTGGGAACCTAGCATAAATTAAGATTAATCCATTTTAAACAACTCATTTAGTAATATTCAATATTTTAATGTTTCAGGTGTTGGTTGGAAGAGTAGTGTAGATGAAAATGGAGCGTATTTAATTGATAGAAGTGCTATTTATTTTGAACCTATAATTAATTATCTACGTCATAACATTCTAGTATTAGATAAAAATATAAATCCATATGGTGAGTTTATTTATGTTTAATTTGTGGATGGTAGAGAGTGGTCAGTGCACTGCGCAGTTGACCAGAATATCCCCTGGGTTTGAATCCAAACATGAAATGAGAAAAATCTTTAGAATTTTTAAAGCCCAGTCCCCACTCATCATGGATGGTGTGCGCTGAAAAAAACAGTTGGAGTTTTGATTAAAAAAGGATGAAAATCGTGCTAAAATTGTCATGTGTTCAATCAAGTCCTAATATATTATTTTTCCTCAATGGAGGACTAATTGCCCAATCTGTTTCACAGAGAATTACGAGTCTCGTATAATACCTCTGTCATACATGACTGCCTTAACACGTGCTGTCACAGCACGCGGTGTGAATCATTGGCTGAATGACGCGTACATTGTTTACATAAGACATAACTGCTTCGGAGAGAATGCTGCATTTTAGTCATTTTAATACCCATTTACACTAAATAGGAAATAATTTTTACCTACAAATACGTCAAACGCCTTTATTTATTTTTCCAATATATACAAAAAAAGTTAATATTTCTAGCTCATTAAGCCGCATCAATGTCATCCTTATCAGTGATTGTCGCGGCCAAGCAAATAGTTCATTTAAAGTAAATTTACTGGATATTAAAGGGGAATTTTACTAATATTTAGGTATTCTGGGTATATTCTGGATATTTTGACAGGTGTTCTGGATATATATTTGTAATATACTGTAATATATTTTTGACAGGTGTTCTGGAAGAAGCACAGTTTTTTGGGTTGACATCTTTAATAGATCAGTTGGAAGAGATCATAGAGGTTTGTTAATGGGCATTATGTAGAAACTTTTAAGCCATGCTAAAAATACATTTTGATTCTCAGACAATTCTTCAAAAAGGGAGGGGGTTATCTGTTTTGTCAGAGGAAGGATCGCGTGGCTAAAGGACTTATCAAGCAGATACTTAATTGTTCAAATTCATTTGAAATGATTAATAGAGTTACACCAATTTAATGTGGCAAGTATGTGTGATAATCTTTAGGATGTTTTTATTTTTGTTTTTATTTTTATGCATAAAAACAGCTCATGTGGCCCTTTTTAAGTAACTGTGGCATCTGAGAACCCAAATGTATTTTTTATATGGACAGCATGCCGTAAAAGAACTTAAAAATGACAAGGGAGAGACGCAAATATTTTCGCTGTTGATTGTATTAGAATCTGCGATAAACTCGTCCATTTTATTTTATTAGGAAAAGTTATTGTGGCAAAGTTTTACACTTGCAATTTATCTAACTTAAAAGAAATGAAATAGGGTTTAACATCCTATTGGGCTAATGAAGACGGGCATACCCCATGCAGTGTGCAATGAGGCAAATTTTGCCCGGACTGCAGCATTATGGCCTACACTTATTTCAAATTCCAACTGTCAAGGGTTTAATTACATGCAGGCCAGTGTGTACACAGGACTTCGGTTTTTCATCCCATCCTACACTACTGACATGGGGGAATCATGCAAGAAAATCCTGATGAACTATCTCGGCCAACACAGGGATCGCAAAACAGGACCTCCTGGTTAGCGAGCCAGTGTCCTACTCACTGAGCTACGGTGGCTCCCGATATATAACTTTTATTGATTTAAGAGTGAAATGTGTTTTTGATGAAACAAATGTGATAAACTTTATATAACTTCCACTTCCACCGAAGTGATATAGCCGTATGTTTCAACAAAGTCATCAGTACTTTTGATTGTGATTTTAATGACGAAGTCTACATGTAAAGTCAGTTGTAAGAAAATAAAACAAAAATAAATGTTAGATATTTTTTAATTGTAGATGAGTCAACCACCAAATGACGAGACACCAATAAATAGACGAGAATTTGTATTAAAGTTACTATGTACATCAACAAATACAGAGCTTAGATGTCAGGTGTGTAATACAATATTACAGATTTGCATATACAGTAGAATCTGCATTAAGCAGCCACCCAAGGGAATTTTCACAACTGACCGCTTAACGGGAGTGTCCTCTTAATAAAATCTTTTGCTTTTTGTGCTGACATCAATTAAATATTACGCTTGGATGCATTGGAAGCAGTAAATTTGACTGTCGCTGAATCTTGCGCCGAACGAAAAGTCTTTACTCAAATCTCGGACATAACTTAACGGGAGTGGCCTCTTAATAAAATCTTGGTGCTTTTTGTGCTGACATAAATTAAATATTACTCTTGAATGCATTGGAAGCGGTAAATTTGACCGTCGCTGAATCTTGCGCCAAACGAAATTCTTTACTCAAATCTCGGACATAACTTCTGTAAACGTGTCATTTTGTACCAACCATCGATACTACTGTCTACCATTGTGATGCATTCGATAATATTTATCCATTTTTGTGAAGAAAATCGATGAATTAATTTTATTTTATCAAAAAAGCACATGAACAAATAAACATCGCTGATTTTATCACCTATTTACAGGGGGAGTAACTCTGTATGTAATATTATAGGAGACGCTAAAACGTCTGTTTAAGTGCTTATCCATGAGAAAACCATGCAAAATCGGGAAGGTCGTGGGTCGGCCGATTCCATTCATATTCATAGGGTTTGGTCATGCCCATGAGACTACTCGATAGCCAAAACCGCCGATCTCAGAAATTGACCCTATCCGAGATACGGCAAACAGGTGTTTTGGGGACTTTTTTCTCATTTTTTCGTCAATTTTAGGCAATGTTAGCTGCTGTTTTTCAGGTTGTAAATGAGTACTTATGAAACAAATGATGATTCGATATATTAGGCTAGGTAGTAATGTTTCAAAAAAATGAAGAAAGAAAAATCTATCTTTCCACTGAGGGGTGCCATTTGGTTATTCCTGAAGTGTATAAATCAAACCTTATAAAGTACCCTAACTTTATGCCGCGATATCTCCACTGCCGCGGGTTCCCATGAATTCTTTTTGTGGTTGTTAGTAACTGGGTATCAGGTCTCTCGATTAAAAAAATAAAATTTCATATATGTCTATAACTACACTCTCAAAAATAGTGGGTAATTTTGACAAAAATCGGATAAATTCAACAATTTTACGAAACTTTATCCCCAATATTATCAAACTGATATTCAAACAAATGTAGTATAATACAGACGCCTTCATAGCTGCTATGTTTTCGCAACATAATATTCGTATGACAACTCTTACTGCAACTGGAAGTGAAAATTTGCTAAAATTCGCATTATTTCACTCTTAAATCTCTTGATATGTACAGATCTCATTATAAGCTGCAGTTGAGAGAACTGTCATAGCTCACAGTAGTCATTGAATAGTAAAATGTAGGCCTAAATCCTCAAGATTGGAAAATAAATTCTACACTCTAAAAAAGACCAGGTCAGCACGACTAAAAAGGCAAGATTTTGTCTTTTCTTTCAATTTTCAGGACCGATGTTATCTTTACCTTTACCTGCGACCAACGAGTTAATCATCTATATTTAGACTATACCCTTCCTACAAGTAGTAGTCCTACACTCTTAAAGTATGGTGATCATCATCTTCACAAAAAGCCCCAAAAATAAACAAAAAACTTTTTTTTTTTCAATTGGCTTAATGTAGCATTAGGTGTACGTATATATCAGAATATCGAACAGCAACTATTGGTACTAGTAGTAGAGTAGTTTTATACATGTTGGTCTAACTCGTAACATTTTTTTAACTTGTTGTACGTAAAGCAGAAAGCGCAGATTGCTCTCTGAGGTAAGAATATACAATCACAGATTAAATACTAAATTGGGCAATGCCCGTAATTGACCTCGTGAGTCAATCCTTAATCCTCACAAAATATCAAATATATACAAAATTTACTTTCGAGAGGGAATACTAATCTTTACAAAATATCACATCTAATTACATTCATGAACCCTCACAAAATATCAAATGTAATATATACAAAAACTACGTTCATAATTTTTCACAATATATCAGAGACATTCAATGAATCCTTTCCTTACAAAATATCAAATACAGTATTATACAAAATTTACATTCATGAACCCTCGCAAAATATCATATAAAATTTACATTCATAAATTTTTACAAAATATCAGAAGGATAAAATAGTGGAAGTACCTCATGAATCTAATTTCCTCAGTGTATATCAGGATCTATCAGCAGGACGGTGTTACTATCATTGACAAATAGTAAATATCATCAGGACAATGTTACTATCATTGAAAAATAGTAAATATGAGCAGGACGGTGTTATTGAAAAATAGTAAATACCATCAGGACGTGTTACAATCATTGACAAATAGTAAATATCAGTAAAACGGTGTTACTATCATTGAAAAATAGTAAATATCAGCGGGACGATGTTACTATCATTGAAAAATAGTAAATATGAGCAGGGCGATGTTACTATCATTGACAAATAGTAAATATCAATGAAACGCTCCCTCAGATATCACCAGTAATCACTCTTAGTATTTAGCGTCCGCATAATAAATCCACTGCTACCAATGATAGATACCCTCTGATGTCTTTAGTACACTCTTTCAATAAAACATGCTCAGTCTCTTTAGGATACACAGTGAAAACGCCACATTTTGAAGTAGAAAACTGCGAAAAACCACATACAGCAGCCACGATCTTGGATGGCTGGATACCAGAACTGGTAGTTTTGACAGAGCGGGTTCTACGACTGCTTAAGCGGGTTCGAAACGCTAGTCTGTCAATTGCCGATGGTATCGAGTCGTTTAGCATCCATATTTTGTCACTATATTGATTAGAACATATAAATATCAGATGATCCAATATCAAAATTGTCAAAACTTAGACAATGTTATCGCGCATGCGTATGAAGATACATGAAATTTTATTTTTTTAATCGAGAGACCTTGTACCCATTTACTAACAACCACAAAAAAAATTCATGGGACCCCGCGACAGTGGAGATATCGGGGCATAAAGTTGGATATTTTATAGGGTTCGATTTATACCCTTCAGGAATAACCAAATGGCACCCCTCAGTGGAAAGATAGATTTTTCTTTTTTCATTTTTTTGAAACATTACTACCTAGCCTAATATATCGAATCATCATTTGTTTCATAAGTACTCATTTACAACCGGAAAAACAGCAGCTAACATTGCCTAAAATTGACGAAAAAATGAGCAAAAAGCCCCAAAAAACACCTTTTTGACCTATCTCAGCTATGGTCAATTTCTGAGATCGGCGGTTTTGGCTATCAAGTAGTCTCATGAGCATGACCAAACCCTGTGAATATGAATGGAATCGGCCAACCCCTCACCTTCCCAATTTCTGCATGGTTTTCTCGTGGATTGGCACTTAACAATAAAGTGGAAATGGAAAAGAGATACTAGATGTTCCTGACAAAACTCGGTACTTTAATTTATTCAATCAGTATCAAATAATGTGACGTTACACGTGAAAACAATGATCAAGTTATAGTCGTTTAATAAAACAAAAGATTAATTAACAGATAATCCCGGGTTGATTGTTATTTTTACATTTCTTTTTACCTGATCAGTGGGGGTCCAGTTAATTAACTACTACTAACAGAATTAGCGGGGGTGTTACAAAGAACAACAAGATGGTATCATTCAACAATGGGCGATGTTTTGTTGAATTTATTAGTAAAATAGTGACCGCGTTAGGGGAGTGACCGTTGAATAAAGAGATGAAACAACAGAAGAATTTTTACGGGGGGAATTTATCGTGACCGCTTACAAGGAGATGTCGCTGAATAGGAGTGGCTGCTCATACAGATTCTACTGTACAGTAGTGACGGAGGGAGGTCCAGTTGGCAGCTTTTTAGGGGGGCATCAAAACTTTGTTTGGTTTATTTTTCAGCCAAAGGGTCAAAAAATTTATTGGCCATGGAATAATAGATATTTGGTTCCTTAGGGAGCTTTCCCAGGTGTTCTGAATGTATATATATACATACCATGTTCCTAGTCTACAGTAACCATTTTTTGTACAGACAATTCTTATAATGAAATGAATGAGGATAGTTTAAGCACTGTGTGGTGTCCATGTGGTTGTTGTTATTCTAGACGTAAAATGAGCCCAGTCACCGGGTCCCACTACCTGGGCTCACAAGGAGAGAAGTGACCTTGGTCTCTGAGAACCAGTTCTCTTGCCCCTCAAATTAATTCAGTCTCAAATCTTAAGTAACTGATATTTACAGACCGGGTCCCATAGTCAATTTATGAAATGTGTGATGACCGGGTCCCACAAATCCGGGCTCACAAGAAGAGAGATGTGAGCCTTGTCTCTGAGAGCCACTTCTCTTGCCCTTGAAATTAATTCGTTTTCATATCTTAAGTGACTGATGTTTAATATGTGAAACCACATAATTTACAAGTGATCTTTCTTTCTTTTATTTAGGGTATGAATTTTACGGGTGCAAATTTATCAAAACTTGATTTGAGAAATATCAATTTTAAATATGCAGTTTTACATAAAGCTAACTTATCAGGTGCTAATTTAGCTTGTTGTAATTTTGAAAGAGCTGATTTATCTAAAGCTGTATTTGATGTAAGTATAAGATACTATACTCCACACATCTTAACAATGATCTAATGGTTCTTTAAAGGACAATGTTGGTGTCAGCCAGTATTACAAATGTGATAGAACTGGTTAAATACATTCCAAATATAGTATTAACTCAGAGATCATTGCTACGGTAGATGCGTAACGATAATTCAAAGTTTTCCTTTTGTTTGCGTCACATCTCCTTTCTTCAAATCTTTGTTACGCATTCGCTGACACCAACATTGTCCTTTAAATATTCAGTAATGTAACTTATTCTAGTAAACACTAGGTATTACAATTAGCCACATTAGCTTGCATACACTGGTCACAATTTTATGGAATACAATTACTGCTTATTACTGAGCAATGTTTCGACTAGGTTTCTCTAGTCTTTATCATGCAGTGATAAAATATGAAATGTAACTAGACAATACATGCAGTGGAAACATTACCCAGTATTCCACTGAACTGTGACCTGCGTATTCCGGTTCTATTACTAAATCCCATTGAAACAGGGGGTTGGGTAGCCAAATGGTTGGCATATGCTCTGTATCATAAGGCCTGTCATTGAGTCAACTGGCGTGGTTTTGGATCCCCGGTTGTACGTGACAAGCAGTAGGGCCGCCTGTCCAACCTCGGGTTTTCTCCGGGTCCTCCGGTTTCCTCCCAGTGCTAAAGACCCCTACATGCTAGTGAATTATTGAAATAAAATTAAACCATATGTTAGTCCCAAAATGACCTAGCTCACTAATCTGGAGATCCTGGGTAAGATCTTGGTGTTGACTAGAAAGTTTCTCAGGACTTTCCCTTGTCAGTGGTGCAGGAATAGTGTCTAGACAGTCAAATGGGATAGAAGACCAAGGTCCTGTGTTCTTGTTGGTGTGTATGTAATAAATCCCTTCACAGTTGTAATTTGATACAGAGTCTGGGCAGAATTCCCCTCATAAACCCCATTTCATTTCACTAGGCGTTTTAATATATACTGTGACTAGGCATTATTATGTTACATTTAAATAAACTGCTCTATGATATTCAAAAGTAAGTATTTGAAAAATGTCTAAAAATTACATTTTATCAATTATCACCTTGTTGACATTCTAATGCTAAAAATTCATTTTGTCTACTTAATGCACCTTTTATTCTTAAAAAAAAAAAATGCTCTGATTAGAGTTCATTTTACAATCTAAATTACAGATTAAATAATGAAAATGATTGGTACCCACATTATTATATTTTTATTTTATATTTTAGTCAGCTAATTTACTAGGTGTTAAAATGTTGTGTGCTAATTTAGAAGGTTCGTCATTAAAGGGATGTAATTTTGAAGACCCAGCAGGAAGTAGAGCTAATATGGAAGGTAATTATTGTGAATTTATTATTTTAAGGAATTAGATTCCATATGAATATCAATTTGATTACAAAATACAATTAGTGATGCCAATTAAAAAATGTTACGAAAATTATTAGTTATGCAAACTTTTCAAATAGATTTGGTGTTATCGAAAGAATAAGTAGTCCGTCCGTCCGCAATTGTTTGTGGACACTCTACAGGTCACAATTCTTATCCGATTTTGACGAAACTTGAAATATAGGTTTATCTCCAAAATATCTCGGCTGCTTTCGATATTGGCATGTATCGGATCGACACTTCATGGATTATGGCCCCTGTTTGTACGAAAAATCAAGTTTTTAGCTTGTGGACACTATAGAGGTCACAATTTTTATCCGATTTTGTTGAAACTTGAAATGTAAGTTGATAACCCAAAGATCTTGGTTCCTTTCGATATTCGCGCATATGGGACTGTAACTTCCTGAATTATGGCCCCTGATTGTACAAAAAATCACGTTTTTAGCTTGTGGACCCTATAGAGGTCATAATTTTTATCCGATTTAAAAAACCGTTTTATTATATCACCGTTACACCCTAAGGATGGCCGATTTCGAATTTCGTGAAAATCGGCCCAAAATTGACAGACAAAATGGCCGCCGTTCGTTCTCAAATAGCGTAGAAATATGGTATATCAAGGTTGTGGACCTTTTTGAGGTCACAATTTTTATCCGATTTTGTTCAAACTTGAAATGTAAGTTTATAACACAAAGATCTCGGTTCCTTTCAATATTTGCCCATATCGGACCGTAACTTCCTGAATTATGGCCCCTGATTGTACGAAAAATCATGTTTTTAGCTTGTGGACCCATTAGAGGTCATAATTTTTATCCAATTTAAAAAAACGTATTATTATATTATTTGAAATTTGTGAAAATCGCCCCAAAATTGACAGACAAAATGGCCGCCGTTCGTTCTCAATTAGCGTAAAAATATGGTATATCACGGTTGTGGACCCTATAGAGGTCACAATTTTTATCCGATTTTGTTGAAACTTGAAATTTAAGTTTATAACCCAAATATCTCGGTTCCTTTTGATATTCGCTCATATCAGACCGTAACTTCCTGAATTATGGCCCCTGATTGTACGAAAAATCGCGTTTTTAGCTTGTGGACCCTATAGAGGTCATAATTTTTATCCGATTTAAAAAAACATATTATTATGTCACCGTTACACCCTAAGGATGAATGAGTTCGAATTTCATGAAAATCAGCCCAAAATTGACAGACAAAATGGCCGCCGTTCGTTATCAAATAGCGTAAAAATATGGTATATCAAGGTTGTGGACCCTATAGAAGTCACAATTTTTCTCCGATTTTGTTCAAACTTGAAATGTAAGTTTATAACACAAAGATCTCGGTTCCTTTCGATATTTGCGCATATCGAATTGTAATTTCCTGAATTATGGCCATTGATTGTAGGAAAAATCACTTTCTTCTTAGCTTGTTCTCTATCCATCTCTCGAAAATGTGGGCGTATCCTGCCTGGCAGCCGCTGGTTAAATACAAGTGATCCCAATGAAAAGTAATATTTATCCAAAGGGGTAAATAGCGTTTACGGTGATTGACAGAAGGGAGCTAACTCTCATGTATCAGAGGCCGCTTCATTTCATTGCTGGGTGGTAGTAACACATGTCAGTGTGCAATAATTATTGAGAGGTGATATTTTCCAATTATGCTTACTTTTGCGTTTGTTTTTGCACCTTCCACGGCTATGCCGGTATCGGCATCTTGTTTCAAACTAAAGTATATTATTATTTGTCATCAGTAACTTGTTCAATTAATAATACTTTTGAACTATTGTGAATTATTGTTTTCTTTGCAGTATTTTAATATTTTAAATTATAGTAAATTATTAGGTGATGAATAATTTACCCCATCTTTATTAACAAAATATGTATTTAGCTAATGTTTTTTGGACAATGTCTAATTTATCAGGACTTATCCAGGCTAAAATGTTCTCAAATATCAACAGTAGATAATTTCCTAGTTTGGGTTCAGTCTGATTAAAAAGAAGGCCATCAAACAATTTTACTTAACGCTTATAGGTGGCGCTGGTTTGTTTGTATCGTCTGCAGTGGATACTGAATGTTGACAGGTTTTCAATTCATCATATCTTTGTAAATATTGAACAGAATTGAACCATGTTTGGAGTGATCTCCCTCTTAGAAATTTGGCTTTCAAGATTTTATTGTTAACCTGGGATTCACAATCCCTCAAATGAGGACCAGACTTTAAAGATGTGTTATGTAAGAGCTAAATCTGCCTATTACCCGTTGTTTTTCTGGCTTTAATTCACAAAACAAGCCTAAAATCAACTCTCTAGACCATTGGATGGCCGAGATTTAAATCAATCTGAACATCTGTGAGATTTAAAAATTTAGCGATAAAATGGATAGTCAAGGCTTAGTCTCGGTTGTCAAGTACAGTTGATACAATAATTCACTACATCTTCAGTCATAATTTCACCCAGAATAAAGTAATTTGAATGAAATTTTCAAAATATTCATTTTGCATTATCTACATTTGAACTATTATAGCAAGAATGTCTAGCACTTTATCTTAATCTTACATAATGCATCTTTAATGAAAAGAATGTTTTATAAAATTAAAAGGGGCACCTTAAACTCCCTTGATTTGCTATCCTATGAATAGAATATTGTTTAAATCAAAACTGGCTCTATGAAATGTCTTAACTTGTTACTGTATGAATTGTTCATGCTCTATATTACAGGGGCACACATGAAAAGTGTTAATTTGGAAGGAAGTCATATGGCAGGGGTCAATCTCCGAGTGGCAACTTTAAAAAATGCAAATTTACAAAACTGTGATTTACGGGGAGCAGTTCTGGCAGGAGCTGATTTAGAGGTTTGTTGGAGTATATTTTACAATATTTATTGTTCCGTGCCTTTCGAAGAAAGCAGTGGACTATATATTTGGCCATAACAGTTCTCGTGGACTCGGTGGTGTGTACGGAAAAGAACCCTTGACAATTGAAATTCGATGAAGAGTAGAACAAAATTTCCCTTGTAGCACACTGTATGGTGCTCAAAAGTACGTTAATTAAACGCCATAGCATGTGTGCATTTTCAATCGTTGCAAATTAGTAAGATGTTAATCCCCTTTTCATTTTTGTTGTGTTATATATTTAGATTGTATTGGACTTAAAGCGATAATTTCATATTTTTAAGTTATTTTTAAAATGTATTAAAATAAAGCCTTAAAATCGATGCTATGTATAAACAGTCCTACCTTGTTAAAGAATAATCCTATTAATTCACTATTGCCAGTTGAGAAATTGTCAAAAATATCATTTTCAACTTCAAATTCAAACATTTGAAGATAGCTATTCCGGGGGGGGGGGGGGGGGGGGGGGGAAATAGAAAAACAAGGGAGGTAATTGTGTTATTATTTCCGGGGTGAATGATTTTTAAGCGTGAGGATGATACCTATGATCATATAATAGTGAGTTGACAACCTATTGAGCAAAAGACATTGAAATAATTATGTTTTGACTTTCTTAGAAAATATGAAATTCTCACTTTAACACTGAAAATGCTTTTATTTGCAGAACTGTAACCTTTCTGGGTGTGATCTACAAGAAGCAAATCTTAGAGGAGCTAATCTTAAAGATGCTGCGTTCGAGCTGATGTTAAATCCATTACACATGGCCCAGGCTGTTCGATAACCTATGCATTGATATCAGATGGAAATGGACCCTTGTGTGAAAATCTAAATATGCACAACGTCTTATTGTTTGTGTTTAGATTTGAAGGAACTTTTATTTACATATCAAGGTTATTCACTGAATCATGTCAGTGATAAATCTATAGTTTTGATCTGCCAATACAGATAATATAGCCATGGCAGCTCCAGGGGCCAGCAAAATACACCATTAGGAGTATAACCTGAATAAGGAACACAACATAAAGTAATTTCAATTTAGCTTCGATCAGATAGGGGGAAGATTGACTCATCGTGCTTGCATACAGCTAGCATCCAATAAAAAGAACATATATACACCCTGTCCCCTGTGTGATTTTCATTACATAAGATTGGACATATATTCAAAATGGCTGCTATTAAGATGACCGACGTCTGCTGTTGGTAGAGCTGGGTTTTCATGGGCTGTTTACACATGTAAGGACACAAAATAAATAATTATAAAACCAGTTACTAATATTTAGTCTGATAATATATAGGATATAAAACGAAAGATTTGAATTAGGACCTTGCTATGCTCTTGGTCACAATCAGTATAGGGCAGCGTTTTAGTGTAAGGGAGATGCTGTGACTCAATGCGTGAGGTGGCTGAGGAACATTTTGACCTGCATGTAAAAGAACCTTTGAAAGGTGAAATTTCGAAATAAGAATAGGCTGTATCAATGCTGTCCAGGCAAAATGTCCCTCATAGCACACTGCATGCCTATAGCCTGGCAGGTGCCGAAGGTAGGATGCTGAACTTCATTTCATTTCAACTCTAACTAATGCTTTGTAATAAAATCCTAATGTACTTAAATAAGGGTCTCAGGCAACTAGCCTCCTGACAGCTGAATTTTTTTCTGAATATTTTCAGAACTGGTTTGTGAAATAAAATCCAGTGTCAGTGGGGTTTTTTTTATTTTGTATTTTTATGTATAGTAACAATATATTATTTCTGTGATGATTCAGTGTCTAATATTATATAAATCTGTTATGTTCATGTCTTATTTAGTCCTAATTCTTCAATTTAATGGAATAATTTAAAGCCAAAAATAAATTATTTATGTATTTATCCATTTGTTGTTGATACATTTTTCTATAGACATTAAAAGTTATTTTGACTGGTAACTTTGTTGAATCGGGGAGAGTCTGCATGTGTATGTTAGATCATAAGGCCTGTCATTGAGGGGGGGATCACGGTGGCTAAGTGGGTAAGACGCTGGCTTGCTAGCCTGGAGGTTGGGTGTTCGATCCCAGATTTACTGGCGTGGTTCTCACTTGTCAGTGATACAGGACGGAGGGCCAGACAAGGACAGCTGTCTAGTTGTTCAGATGGGACGGAAAACCGAGGTCCCATGTACACATTGGCGTGCACGTAAAAGATCCCTTGACAGTTGGAATTCGATATAAGAGTAGGCCGTAGTGCCGCTGTCCGGGCAAAATTTCCCTCGTAGCACACAGTATGGTGTATGCCCGTCTTCATTAGCCCAGTTCGGAGCAGAACAGTAGGACGTTAAACCCAATTTCATTTCATTGAGGGGATGCTCGATTGTCAGCCCAGAACGTCCCGAATTGACAGAATTGCAATCGAGTGACGCGGAATTCAGTTCTGTCAGTCCCAACAATGAAGGTGGTGTGAGTAGAATCGTGACGTAATTAAACACAACAAATATTTTTCGGCTGTCTGGTTGGTTGAGATATTTTCTTATTCTGTCGACATATGCATTGTAGCCCAAAATACTCCTTTTCACTCGATTGTCACTATTTTGGGGATTGAGAGAATTCAGGAACGTTCAACTGAGTACCCCCCCCTGAGTCAAATTACTCTTGTTTCGATCCCAGCTTTGTGTGTGACAAGGCGTAGGGTCGTTTACTTTACTTTATGGGTTTTGAAAGGTCACTTCCCAATGCACAACTGAATTATTAACATGAAAGTGTAACCTTTTATCCCTGAAATTACCAGGTATATGTCTCAAATGGTGTGGTTTCAATCCCAGGCCTGTATATTACAAGGAGTGGGGTTGCCTGCCTAACCTCTTTTTCCTTACACTGCTAAAACCACCCTAACACTTGCACAATTTTTGTTCCCGCAATGTTGCACACTTCGGCATGTCAATGATTAAAGTCTTCGGTAAGAAGCCATGCCTTAGAGAGAATTTTGAAATTTTCAAAAATTTGGCATGCATTAACGTTCGTTCAATGTGCATGCCACTTACGTCAACACTGTGCAAAATTGGCGCGAGCACTGCCGACAGTGCGTATAAATACATTTCAGTGCGAGAACAATACTTAACCTATGCGTAAACATGTAGTGCCATTATGTCTCAATCCGGCCCATTTTTGGCTGCGCATTGCACCGAGAGTGCATATCTTATGGGTGTATAATGCGCGAACAGGGTGCAAATACAACTTCACATGAAATGGCACGCCTTGCCAAGATGCATTGCTCAGCATTGCAGTGACAAAATATGTGCAAGTGTCAGGGTGGCATTAGGAACGCTATATGCAAGCAATTAATTAAAATAAAGATGTAATATATGGTAGTCACAAAGCTAGCTTGTTTGTTTTGAGTGGAAGTTAAACACCCTTTCCTTCTCTCTCCAAACTATTGAAACAAATCAAATTTATCAAATTCCCTTCCAAAACTAAACAATCTCAAAACAATCAACAATTTTATTGAAGTAAGTTTTCCATTACTTTAAATGAATATTCAAAATTTAGAAAGAATGCTGTATTCCAAGGGCCTTATTCACAGAAAACTCAAACTAAAATATTTCAATAATGCAGCCTTTTCATTGGCTAAAGGCTTAAAATAAGTACTGGGATTTTAACCACCAACCCAATGAAAACCCAGCATCCTTAAAATATTTTAAGTTTTCATGAATAAACATGATCAATGTGGTTATGGATAACTGCCCATAATACAATCTGATTAAAATACAGATCTATATTCCGTTTCGTTTTTTATACTTTCGATGGCCTATAATACATGAAGATCTGACAAGTTATTATGGGAGTTCACGTCGGGGGTCAAACGAGTGACTTTTGACCCTATGATGTCAGACATTGATTAATCAATCAGCGTTGTCATTTCTAGTGGTTTACCCAGAGTTTAGTGCATAAAAAGGCCAAGAACTCGCCGTAACAAACTGTATTATTGGCTAATTCCTCACATCAAGTAGAACGCCTGTTATATAACACCTCTTCCAGATCCTAGTGTAGTAAAGACAAGTAAAATGAACTATAAAAACAAAACGAAATAGGATCTGTGTTTTAACCAGATTGCCAATAATATAAATGAAACAAGTAAAATAGGGACCAGAAACCAAGCATGACGTTATCGCTGCTATCTTCGAACTGATGCGCAATTGTCCAAGGAACAAGTGAGCCAAGTTTCATATCGATTGTACTTGAATTGGCAGTGCCTTAGCATTATTTGAAAAGTATCACTCCCAAGAAGAAAAAGAACAAGAAGATGAGTTCCTGGTCCGAAAATGAAGTTGACTATTTTCACAAGTCCCATATTGCAGTTGCCATTTCAACTAACTGTTGAACTTTTGAACTATCTGTAGTTTTAATGGAGAATTCAGGGGGAGATAATGCTGCACCCATACTGATGCCATCTTTTCTAAAGTTCATCTGGGAATTCTGACTAGATCGAGCAGAACAATGGAATTCTTTGGCACCTGTGTCTCTTAGAATTCTTTCTAAGTTCCTGGAACTGATTCCACCACCTGGATGAAAGATCAATGAAAAGGTCAAACAAAAAACCAAAAAACATGCACTTGTAAGAGAGAGAGAGAGAGAGAGAAAGAGAAATTGGGTTTGCATGGGCGTAGGGGTCTTTAGCAGTGGGAGGAAACTAGAGAAAACCCACGAGGTTGGACAGGCGACCCTACTCCTTGTCACGTACAACCAGGGATTCGAAACCATGCCAGTTGACTAAATGACAGGCCTTATGATACAGCGCGCACATGCTAACCATTCAGCCACCCCCCGCCCCATGCACTTGTAAAGTGAAGGAAACATATCAAAACATTAGTTATAAACTAGACTGTATACAATGCCTACATATATTAATAACAATTTGTTCCATTTTATCATACCAATGAAGACTCTACCATTTACTCAGTGGTGGGATTTTACTGTCAAGATTTATTGTTAATTACGTATTATTGCAAATTGTTGGCAAGGAAAATAGACTTTTTTCACTGGCTTCAATTGGAAGGTCATGTCAATAAATAATTTATTTACATTAGATAACAATCATTGTTAGGTGCTGGCTTATGAACCAGGAATTCCCCTGATCATTCGATGTTGGGTGAGAAAGTTCCTTTGAATTTTCATCCTGGTATGGAACAGAATCTAGTCGTTCAAATGGAACTAAAATGTGAGATCCCATTTACAGATTGGCGTTCATGTAAAAGAACCCGTGGCAGCTGGAATTTGATGAAGTGTGGGTGGAAATGCTGCCATCTGTACAGAATTTCTCTGACAGCAACCTGAAAGATGAATGCCAGAAAATGTGTAGGACTTTAAACCCCATTTGATTTCATTTTACTGACCTTAACATTATAACGACCCTTTTTGAATAGGCCTACTATTTAATTTCAATAAAGTTAATTTATAGAGACATTTACCTGGCATGACATTTATTCTTTCATTTGCCTAAAATAATAAATACATGAAATGTAACTAAAACAGACATTATGTAAGAGCTAAATCTGCCTATTGCAAGTCTTTCTTTGGGACTTAAAGGGACTATCCCGAATTGAACAGAGTCTCAAAAAGTTCGAGTACGTATGAAATTTAAGCGCCAAAATATAAAGGAATGGTGTATTTCAGCTCGAAATATTGAGGCATTTGGACGTGAACCTCAAAACTGCTTATCCGGACACGTAACCTTTTTAAGATTTTGGGTCAATTCTTTCGTTGGTTGACCTGATAATCGATTCCCGTTCCTTTAGAGGTTTATACAGTGAATGACCTAAGTGCTGTACTTGATAACGAAAGGTAAATTTCACCTACACATTATTCTTATAAAATAAAAGTCTAGTTTTATCTAGACACCGCAGAATACAGCTTGGGGCACCGGTCCCAACTTCTAGATTAAGACCGACGGGTTTAAGTTGTTTGAAAACGTATCAAATATATTGAGTTAGTTGCTCGGTCCTAAGGTAGAGGATTTTAAGGGATTTTAACACAAAAGTATCCAGTTTTATTCTCTGGAATATTAGCGGGATTGGCCCTTTAACTGTTATTGAAATTATCAATTAGACATTTATTAACATAACAAGACAATAATCAACTCTAGATGCCATCAGATGGCTCTGATTTTAAGTAGACTAGAACAGTTCAGCCATTTAATGATTTAATTTAAAAATGGAGAAGCAAGCCTAAGACTTGATAGTAGCAATTCTTTGTATCAAATCTGCTATGGTTCCTTTTACATGCACCTTGGTTTTTCGTCCCGCTACAACAACTGGCTTGAAATATCTTACAGCTTCTTCTCGGACCACGCTGCAATCCCCCACCCACTCCTTTTATAACAGGTTCACCATCTAAAGCTGTTGTATAATATTGTATACTAATTACCTGTGAGATCATTTGTTCTATAACAGGTGCTCCACCTAAAGCTGTTGTATAATATTGTATATAAATTACGTGTGATACCATTTGTTCTATAACAGGTGCTTCATCTAAAGCTGTTGTATAATATTGTATATAAATTACCTGTGAGATCATTTGTTCTATAACAGGTGCTCCATCTAAAGCTGTATTAGCTCCACCACTGGTCAGAACACGAGTAAAACCTATTCTTATTATCTTCTCTAATTCTTTCAATGGATTCATACACATATCTATTGCTGAAAATTATCAAAATATTAACTGACTTTTATTTTCGGACCTGGAAATAATGATTTTATATAAACTGACAATATGACAGGCACCATTAAATTAGTACCTGTCATTTTTATCTTCGTGCCAGACGTGTTAATAATACCAGTATCAATAGAAAAAATGACAAATTGGTGACTAATTTTAGCGAAGGCTTTACTGAGTACACGGTAATACCGGGTATGCGTATTTTACCGACATTCTATAATACCCGGTACTACCGGGTAGACACAATGAAAGGGTTAATAATACCAGTATCAATAGAAAAAATGACAAATTGGTGACTAACAACATGACAGGCACCAGAGGGATTGTGGCTGACAAAGTCTAAATTTGTTCCTGACATTGTCTTTGACAGGTGCCTTATTTCCAGGCTTGTTAAATTTGTTCATAACAAATTTCATTTGTCAATCTATCTGTAATCTCTTCTGAATTCGTTTTTGACAATCTTCTTCCATATGGATTGAATTACTGTGATAGTTAAAAGGACACACTTATTTAATCTTTTAGAAATCAACAAATCTCCATGGTATTTGGGTTGTTTTTGTGGGGGTGTTGTACTACTGAGTAAAATGAAATTGAATGGGGTGTAGGGTAATACTTTTCTGCATCAACAAGACTAAGAAAGACGGGCATACAACATGGAGTGTGTTATGAGTGAATTTTTGCCCTGATGTCTTTACAGCTTTCTCTTCTTTCGATTTCCAACTTTCAGGGTAAGGACCTTAGTTTATCATTCGATCCAAATGACTAGACACTTTTCCATAACAGACACTCTGTCCTGCACACAGACAAGCAGAAACCTGTTGGGAAAATCCTGGGATTGAAATCCGGACCTATTGGTTAGTGAGCTGGTGCCATCCACAACAAGCCACAGTGGCCCCTGAAGCATTGGCAGAAGGTTTGTCACAATAATTATTATCTAAATGAGAGTTTTAAATTTACCTCTGTGAAATGTTGCTGGGAATGGTCTGACAAGACCTACAAATAAAGAATATAAAAGCGATATATTATCAGCAACATGTTCAGTAAACGATACTTATTGTCAGGGTTAGATTAAAGGAGCTAACTATGGAAGTATTCTGTGTCAGAAAGACAAGAGGTGCCAAAATTGCATGTGAGGTTTGGCTGTCTTACCATTCATGTATATATAGGAACTATGAGAATTTTGAAGATTAAATTTGGTATTTGTCATCTGTAAGTGTAACAAGACTGATTGCACTGCATGTGCATTATTGTCTGACCTAAGAGTGCTGCTGCCATAAGATTTCTTTTGTCAATCAGGGTGAATTTTCTTGTTAATGTCTACGTGACAAGAAGTAGAGTAGCCTGTCTAACCTCATGGGTTTTGTTCGGGTTCTTCAGTTCCCTCCTATTGGTAAAGATCCCTACATGCAAGCGAATTAATGAAATAAAATTGAACCATATGTTAGTCCCAAATCTATCTAGTTTGTGTTGAGTGGGCGTTAAATAAAACCCATTTCTCTCTCTCTCTTTTATTTAATGTCTATGTTGAGGTGTCTAAATCTGGCCATTTATACATAAAAACTCTGTGGTTACATTAAGGTCTATTCAATAACACAATCTATACATGTATCTCTATTGGCCTGTATTAGTTCAGCAGATAGCCTACACCCCCCTCCCCCTCCCCCACCCCCACTTCCGAACCCCTCAGGTAATCAGGTATACTATGTTGGGTTTTTTTTTAGAATTTATTTTGTAAGTTACCATATAAAGTAGTAACCTACTCCATGGCTTATATACAGAAATATTCAAAAATTTCTTTACTTAGTAATTCTGTACAGCTTTCAACATCAACACTACCATCACTGAAAACACAAATTTCAATTGTTATCATGGCAAGTGACTGACTGTCCTGACCAAGCGAAATTGTATTAGAGTTAACATTTTGAAAGTATGACAGACCCTACCTATAACTCTTACCTAAGCCTAAACAGTTAGCTCCTATTAGCACCAACACCCTCTAGTGGACCTTGACAACAGACCCTGAAAGTGACTGACTAATAAAGAAACTGGTAACAGACGTTTTCAGCAACTAAAGTTTTTAACGTTAGTTAGCTCCTACATGTATTAGCACCAGGTAGCCCCTATTATATCCAGGTAGCCCCAGTTACTACCGGGTAGCTCCTATTTTTACCAGAAAGCTCCTATTTAACCTTAGCAGCATTCGCCTCTGTAATTGTGAAACATCAGTATTGGAGTTTTTGTTCTTTCCCATTTTATATACTTACATTTTCAGTATTCCAAAGACAAATCCATCAGCTTGAGCAGCTTTTAATTCCAGTATATCTTGTTTCATAACTTCTAATTCTTCTTCATCATATAAAAAATCCCCACCTCTTGGTCGTATCATAACAAATACTGGAATCCTTACATATTGTTTAATTACTTTCAGCATACCTAAAATAATAAATAAAATGAAAAGAAAAATCAAAAATCAAAAAACGATTTGGCTACCTGACAGTTGCCTACAATTATATGAACTTAATAAAGAAGCCGTATGTTAAATATATATCGCCCTACAACCTGTATTTTTTTTAAATTATACTTACCAACCGTCGGAGTTGTTCCTCCTTCCATTAAATTAGCACACAGCTCTAATCTTATAGCTCCTATACCAAAAGTAAATTAGAGTTATATTAATATTTAAATTGTTTGCTATTATAATTATAAACACAATTTTATATTCTTAAGCCAGGTTTCTATATATGTGTTTTCGCCAATTACGTGGAAACGGTACTATTACACCTGCATTAGAGAAACTTCTTCGCTACCAGGAAAACACCAAAAATACATGTACAAGGAAAACGGGCCTTAAGGCCTATACATTAAATTTTCAAGAGGTAAATGAATCAATTAATTATTTTCTCACATTTTGCTCATGCTCTAGCTTAAGGGGAGGCAAGGATCGACAAATGTCAATTTTGACTCAAATTATCGATTTTTTATATTTGCATATTTGTGATGTTCATTCATTTTTATTTCACTTGTAATTAAAGAAAATACATATAAAGTGGTTTATGATAGAAAAAATGCACTTTTCAACACTCTTGCAATTCAAATTTTGCTGTTTTACCTCTTTATGTCTTAATTTCTCAAAAAGTAAAATATCAACAGTTGACAACCTTACAAAAAATCGTTCTTGAAAAGTTTACAACAGATATGTCTGAAACTTACACACATACTTAAGTAATGTTAGTTCCATGCAAATAAGGATTTTCAGTACTCTAAATGAATTTTTAGTGTAGTAAATTGGCATTTGAAATCTCTCATTGAAAACAACATTTTTCATAATTTTTGTTTTGTTGACATAGAATGACATGTAAGGACACAATAACAACACTATATTGATAATTGCACAGAGAAATGTCCTAGGAACATTTTAAAAAAAGTTCCAGGCTTCTACCTTTGATACTTTCAGAGAACGATTTTTTTTAAGCAGTAAAAATGATTTTTTTTGTTTCCATGGTAACCAGTAAAGCAGATTCCCCCAAAACTGCCGATTAGCCTATTTTGTCGATGTGAACAATTCCTGAAAATTTCAAGTTGATAGCATTATTAGAAGCCAGTTATTTTAAAATTCATATTTGTCGAGCAGTGCCTCCCCTTAAACTACAATGGAGGTGCCCGACTCTTTACAGATTTATTTGGTCACTTACATGATTTTTTTTTAAGGGGGTGGGGGCGGGGGCCGCGGTGGCTCAGTAAGTAACATGCTGGCTAATTGCTAACCAGGTGGTCTGGGCCTGGGGCTCAACTCTTTTGCCAATATTTTGAGATAATTAACTCCGAAAAAACTCTTTGCTCCCTTCTCTTTGTAATAATAATTGAAACCATTTAAAACTTTTGTGCCCCTTAATTCACCACTAGCCAAGAATATGGTCATGTATAATAATAATATACAAAATAATACAATCAAGCTACTTTCACTTTACTAATATGCCTTGAGCGTGTTATTAAAATTTGTTATGAAGTCAAAATATGCATAATGTTATTATGATAAGTTATAGCTGTATAGGCTATATACCTCCAATCTCTGCGCCTTTCGCAGAAGCAACAGAATCAATACAAACTTCCATTTCAACGCGGTTCGGCTTGACAGAATGTAAACAAAAACGCGCCGGTTTTAAAACAGGAAGTTGGGAACTCCGTCCCCGGGTTATATAACTAAGCATGCGCAGATTACGAGTTACTATTTTAAGATTAGGGTTACTTCGAGTGTTGCATAAAGTAGCCTTAGTTTCTGAGAGCAAATCTGATTGTCATCACGTACAAAACTAAAGAGCATACGGCATGTATTTAACAACATCTTTCATCCGCCAGAACTTTCATAAAAACTCGTTTAAATCTGCATTATTGACTGTCAACCGAGGATTTCGTCATTTTACATCTAAAAACATTGCACAGCCACAGGTAAATAATAATAAGGCAAAACAACTGAAAGATCTTTAATAATGTTTGGTGTCGATAGATATTCTATAGACCCTATGATAAATGAAAAAGGATATAACATTAATGTGGTAAAAGACTTTTCTCACCTATTGTGTTTCCGCCTTTCGAATTCCAAGGGTTCATTTACGTGCCTATAGGAACTCGGTTTGTCACCCACTCCAAGCAACTTGACATTGTTCCTGGCTAGGCAGCCTTCTTGCACCACTGACAATGGGAAACCACTCTGAAAAATGCTGAGGATTTCTTATGGGTTAACACTAGAATCAAACCTGGTACACACATCCTGGGTGATCCACAGCAATTTAACGAGCCACATTATAGCTGCCCGCTTGTAGACTTTGTCTCAGATTCTGATAGTAGTCTGAAAAGTTATTCAGATGATGCAATGAAGCAAATTGCTTTTTTTGCCAATGTTCAACTCATTTTGGCCATGGACCTTATAATACATAAGATCCATGGTTTTGCTGAAAGTGACTTTTGAAGAATATATAAATATTGATAAGGCACCTGCCCTATTGATAATATTAGTTAGATTCTCGGATTGGAATATTAATCTTGAAGATTCTTTGACCATAGTAATTTCCAAAAAGTGTTCAGTTGAATAGATAGAAGTGCATATGACCAAATTTCAGTGACTGACTTGCTTGAATGGGAGGCACTGTGCGCAACTCGATCGTCTCACCACCCACAACGTTATTATATAACATTTTTCTTTTCTAGAATGTCTGCTCAAACTGCCAAAAGACAGTCAGATTAATCCATCCAAGTAGAATTTACAGTAATTATGTGAAAAATCTATTCACAACAAAATATGTAAGTTAATTTAATTTGATGTTTATTTTTATACGACAATATATATTTAATGGGTACATATATATTGTTGTCATCTCCCCTTTTAATCCGATTGAATCCATGCGAAGAAATTATCTTTTATCTACACATACCATTCATATTTGTTTTCTTAAAGATACATTCTGTAAGATTTAGATGAAGATCTCACCATTCTTGCTACAATACTTCAATAATAGATAATGCAAAATGAATATATTGAAAATTTCATTCAAATTACTTTATTCTGAGCGAAGATATTAGCCTTTAAAGGTTTGACAAGATGTATGCACTGATTGTAACCTCCGTACTGGTTGTTCAAAGCTTAGTCTTGCTTCACCGTTTTTAAATTAAATCATTAAATGCAGGGTTCCCACGGTCCTTGAAAATCCTTGAATATCCTTAAATTTAAAATTTCATTTTCAAGGTCTTGAATATCCTTGAATTTCGCGGAAATAGGAAAATATCCTTGAATTTCAGTTGAGATCCTTAATTTTGTTTCATATGTCTTCAATTCCTTTTAAATATGAGATTATAACGATAGTTGGTAATGTTTTATTTATTTTTAAGATGAAAAATTGTAACTTTAGGCTAAAAAATGTCCTTGAAAATCCTTGAATTTGACGTATATTTATCCTTGAATATCCTTGAAAAAATGTTTGACGAAGCCGCGGGAACCCTGAAATGGCTGAACCGTTGTAATCTGCTTAAAATCAGACTTATCAGATGGCATCGAGACTTGATTATTGTCTTTTCATGTTACTAACTAATTTATAGTTTATATAACATTTAGGGCCTAAAGAAATACCTGCAATAAGCAGATTTAGCTCTTGCACAATGCCTGTTTAATTAAATGTTGAACGATGAATTTGGGTGCATTTTAACGTGGATAATCCATGAAAAATTAGATATTGTCCAAAAACAATCAGCAACTTTAATAGAAAGAACTCACCATGAAAATAGAGAGAGAGGTGGGTAAGGAGCTTTTGACACAAACTAGGTCATTTCAGGAGTAACATATGCTTCAATATTATTTTTATAGGTCACTTATGCATAGGGGTCTTTAGCAGCCGACCCTACTCCTTCTCACGTACAAGCAAGGAATCGAAACCACACTGCTTGACTCAATCACAGACCTTACGATCTAAACCCCATGGGTTAAACCATTTGACCACGTACCCCTCCCCCATCTTGAAAATAAGAATTTTAACTTGTCAGATCAATTTACATGTATTACTTTCAAAAATATATTCAATCGGAAGACATAATTATAACACAGTTAATTTATTAAAAAAATATTCATACTGTTCAATTCATTCTTTATTTAAGTCATCAAGTTCCATTCAGAAATTTGTACAGTCTGTTCGTTATGCTGCTGGTTCAGCTACAGTAAATGGAGTTTCCTCCCCTCAAATACCCCTTCGAGGTCAGAAAATAGTAGGTGGCTGGTTGATAGGATGTGCTGGTATGGTATTTGGAGCTGTCATATTGGGAGGTGTTACTAGGTGAATATTTAAGTGGAAACAAGACAGAGATATGTTGCCAATATATCCTACCCGAAGATAATAATTGTCTCCAAATATTCAAAATGAAATGAAATGAAATGTGGTTTGATGTTCTACTTTCCTGCAGGACTAGATGTGTCTTATTCACTGAGCCACCGCAGCTCTTGTCCAAATATTTCTCAGATTCCTACGCTCAAATCACAATAGCAGGTTATATAAGAGGTTATTCGGTTCTGTTAATGCAGCATTCATAATCTAGAATATTTTGTATTATTCATTTAATTGTCCCTCTTTTTGAGACACAATATCTCTATGCTTCTGTTCAAGTTAGAATGTTCACACTTGGTGTACATGTAGGTAGATGTTTTGACAGAACTCGGTCATAAACCATTTGATTTGTAGATGCTTTGGAGAGGAGGGATGAAACATGGAGTATAGTTTCATTACATTAATACTTTGATCAAAGTTTGATAATGGGCATTTCTGCTCAATTTGGTACTTTATATAAAAAGTTAAATACACAAATAATTAATGAGAATACCCTCTATTTACTTTGAGAATGAGGTAAGGTCATCAACAACAAAAATGGTGTTATTTCTTTCTTTTTCAGATTAACAGAATCTGGATTATCAATGGTGGATTGGCGATTATTGAAAGATATGAAACCACCAAGTTCTCAAGAAGAATGGCAAAATGAATTTGAAAGATATAAAGAATTTCCTGAATATAAATAGTAAATTATTACTGCCCTCACATGTGTTACAAATTTGACTTTCACTCTAAAACTACAAACTAATCTTTATTTATCTAAAATGTTCTTAATTCACTTTCCATTTAATATACTAAAATATACAAGCATACTGTATAAACCGGAAACCCACCATGACATCATTGCAGCCATCTTGAAGTTGTGACATATTAAAAATCAAAATCCATTAATCAAAGCACAATTGTCCAAAGAACAAGAAAGTCAAGTTTTATATCAATCCTACTTGAATTGACAGAATCTTAGGCTTTTTTATTTTTAAAGAGAAACGGCCCAAGAAGATTACCAAGTGTATGGTATATTATTGGTCTGTCAATTCTTGAATCATTTTCTCTGTATATTTTCAGTGTGTCAAAGGAAAAGGAGATGACATTAAACCATTTTAAATTTATTTGGTATATGGAATATTCACATAGAATGTGGGGAAGAGCAGTTGGTTTAGTCTTTGCTTTACCAGCTTTGTATTTCCTCAGGAAGGGCTGGATATCTAAGGCTATGAAACCTAGATTAGCTATTTATGCATCACTGATTGGATTCCAGGTAATGAGAAAGAATATCAAGTTAATTTTTTGCATGACTCAATGAAATTTAATATCCTGCAGCAGGATATACAGTTTATTTAACCAGCATATTGTTTTTTTAAAAAATTGTAACCAATTGTATTAAAGGTGTTTCTTAAATAGAGTATGGGATTGTTACTATATAAATATTGAGCTAAAAATGTATAAATCTGAAGAATGGTGGGTGTACTGAGGGCGTATTAATGAGGAAAGAGTATGTTTCATCATCCTTGAAAGATATTTGATATACTGATGATAACTTGCCCTTTGTTCAATTTTGAATCGTCTTTGTGGATTTATCTAAATATCTGTTACTGAATGGTGACAGATTTAATGAAATGCATTAAAATTTATTTATAGTCACAAAAGTATTTGATCTCATTGATTGATCTAAGCTGCCGTAAATAGAATAGGTAGGCCCTTGAAATTCACATAGACCTCCTACTTTTTATGGTTGACTTTCTTTAGTAAATGCGGGGTTGGATGGCCGAATGGTTAGCATGTGCACGCTGTATTATAAGGTCTTTCATTGTGTCAACTGGTTTCGATTCCCCGGTTTAACGTCACAAGGAGCAGGGTCGCCTGTCCAACCTCATGGGTTTTCTCTGGGTTCTTCGGTTTCCTCACACTGCTAAAGACCCCTACCACAAGCAAATTATTGAAATGAAATTGAAACATATGTTAGTCCCGAAATGACCTACATACAAGTACATGAACCCTAGACAAATTCAATGGTTTGCATCAGTTATTTCCAGACTTTCACACTTGCTGTGCTTGTTGTCCCCCACCTTTATAAAAGAGCAAGGAACTATCAAAATGGGTTCTTCCATTTGTCTGTCCATCTGTTTGTCTGTCATGCTTTTTGGAACACAACATCTCAGACTATGCTTTGGAACTCAATAACTCAGATTTTAGTTCAATAACGTTTCTCAAATTTTGTATATGTACCTTGACTAAGTTCAATAATGAGCAGGGGGTGGGAGATAATCAATTTAATTGCTTGACACATTATGAAAACTTAATTGTAGAAATAATAAATGGAAGTCATCTATATATTTTGGGATTAAGGTGGGGAACATTAGTCTCTGCTGTTAGATATGAACCCTATGGAAAATTAGAATTGCACATCAATTATTTACTTAGTTATGGCCCTTGTCATTGAAACCTCATGAACGAGATTTTTTACACGCCCACATTTTCATGTGGACGTATTATGTTTGTGGACACTCTAGAGATCACAATTCTTATTCGATTTTGACGAAACTTGAAATGTAGGTTTATCTCCAAAAGATCTCGGCTGCTTTCGATATTGGCATGTATCGGATCGAATTATGCCGTATTATGCCGTCGCCCCTGTCCGTCCGGACATCCACAATTTGTTTGTGGACACTCTACAGGTCACAATTCTTATCCGATTTTAACGAAACTTGAAATATAGGTGTATCTCCAAAAGATCTCGGCTGCTTTCGATATTGGCATGTATCGGATCGAAACTTCATGGATTATGGCCCCTGTTTGTACGAAAAATCTCGTTTTTGGCTTGTGGACCCTATAGAGGTCACAATTTTTATTCGATTTTGTTGAATCTTGAAATGTAAGTTTATAACCCAAAGATCTCGGTTCCTTTCGATATTCGCGCATATCGGACTGTAACTTCCTGAATTATGGCCCCTGATTGTACGAAAAATCGCAGTTTTAGCTTGTAGACCCTATAGAGGTCATAATTTTTATCCGATTTAAAAAAACGTATTATTATATCACCGTTACACCATAAGGACGACTGAGTTCGAATTTCGTGAAAATCGGCCTAAAATTGACAGACAAAATGGCCGCCGTTCGTTCTCAAATAGCGTAAAAATATGGTATATCAAGGTTGTGGACCCTATAGAGGTCACAATTTTTATCCAATTTTGTTGAAACTTGAAATGTAAGTTTATAACCCAAGGATCTCGGTTCCTTTCGATATTCGCGCATATCGGACCGTAACTGCCTGAATTATGGCCCCCGATTGTACGAAAAATCGCGTTTTTAGCTTGTGGACCCTATAGAAGTCATAATTTTTATCCGATTTTATTATATTATTATATCACCGTTACACTCTAAGGATGACTGAGTTCGAATTTTGTGAAAATTGGCCCAAAATTGACAGACAAAATGGCCGCCCTTCGTTCTCAAATAGCTTTAAAATATGGTATATCAAGGTTGTGGACCCTATAGAGGTCACAATTTTTATCCGATTTTGTTGAAACTTGAAATGTATGTTTATAACACAAAGATCTTGGTTCCTTTCGATATTTGCGCATATCGAATTGTAATTTCCTGAATTATGGCTCGTATATGGTAAAGATGATGTATATTTTTATATTTTATTAGCTTGTTCTCTATCCATCTCTCGAAAATGTGGGCGTATCCTGCCTGGCAGCCGCTGGTTATCCGATTTTGTTGAAACTTGAAATGTAAGTTTATAACCCCAAGATCTCGGTTCCTTTCGATATTCGCGCATATCGGACCGTAACTTACTGAATTATGGCCCCTGATTGTACGAAAAATCGCGTTTTTAGCTTGTGGACCCTATAGAAGTCATAATTTTTATCCAATTTAAAAAACTGTATTATTATATCACTGTTTACTCTAAGGACGACTGAATTCGAATTTCGTGAAAATCAGCCAAAAATTGACAGACAAAATGGCCGCCGTTCGTTCTCAAATAGCGTAAAAATATGGTATATCAAGGTTGTGGACCCTATAGAGGTCACAATTTTTATCTGATTTTGTTGAAACTTGAAATGTAAGTTTATAACACAAAGATCTCAGTTCCTTTCGATATTCGCGCATATTGAATTGTAATTTCCTGAATTATGGCCCTTGATAGTAGGAAAAATCACTTTCTTGTTAGCTTGTTATCTATCCATCTCTCGAAAATGTGGGCGTATCCTGCCTGGCAGCCGCTGGTTATCCGATTTTGTTGAAACTTGAAATGTAAGTTTACAACCCAAAGATCTCGGTTCCTTTGGATATTCGCGCATATCGGACCGTAACTTCCTGAATTATGGCCCCTGATTGTACGAAAAATCGCATTTTTAGCTTGTGGACCCTATAGAGGTCATAATTTTTATCCGATTTAAAAAACTGTATTATTATATCACTGTTACACCCTAAGGACGACTGAATTCGAATTTCGTGAAAATCAGCCCAAAATTGACAGACAAAATGGCCGTCGTTCGTTCTCAAATAGCGTAAAAATATGGTATATCAAGGTTGTGGACCCTATAGAGGTCACAATTTTTATCTGATTTTGTTGAAACTTGAAATGTAAGTTTATAACACAAAGATCTCAGTTCCTTTCGATATTCGCGCTTATTGAATTGTAATTTCCTGAATTATGGCCCTTGATAGTAGGAAAAATCACTTTCTTGTTAGCTTGTTCTCTATCCATCTCTCGAAAATGTGGGCGTATCCTGCCTGGCAGCCGCTGGTATTATGAAATTTTGAGGATTGATGACCAGTTATTGGATAAACCCTGTTGGTCAGTGATAAGGATGAAATATTTCTTTCTCAAAATTCTGATTCAGTATATGGTTAAAAGATAGTATATATGTTTATAAAAAATTATGTTTATCTGGACTAGTGTATAGTAAATATGTTTATATTTTATTAGAGTTTTCCGGTATGGGCTCGTATATTATTAGGGTTTTTTGGGCTGGTGTATGGTAAAGATGATGTATATGTTTATATTTTATTAGGGTTTTCTGGGCTGGTATATGGTAAAGAGTGGATTAGTTGAGAAACCTGAATCTACAGATATACCTCGAGTTAGTCAGTATCGTCTAGCTGCACATCTGGGTTCAGCACTCTTCCTCTATACTTTGTTTCTATATGGTGGACTTGGTCACCTAATCAAACCAGTACAGGTACCAGTATATCTAATATATATTATGAGTTAAATTGCAAAACGTCCCACTTTTATGCACTATACAGCTAATGAAGACAGGGGTATGTCATATAGTGTGCTATGGGGGACATTTTGCTCAGTTCCAACTGTCAAGGGTTCTTTTACATGTATGCCAACTTGTTCCCATGAACTCAGTTTTTTCATCCCATCTGAATGACTAGATGTTGTTTCTTGCCAAACCCTCTGTCTTGCACCACTGACAAGAGGAAACCACATGGTTTTGATCCCAAGGTTGTACATGACAATTTTTGAGTCTTTCAGTCCTTGTTTGTCATGAGTTGTTGTTAAACCCCTTTTCTCCCTCTTCACCCTCTTCTCTCCCCAGTTGTATGTGACAAGGAGTAGGGTCGCCTGTCCAACCTCGGTTTTCTCCAGGTCCTCCAGTTTCCTCCCACTGCTAAAGACCCCTACGCACAAGCGAAATTAGTGAAATAAAATTGAACCATATGTTAGTCCCGAAATGACTTAGTTTGTGTCTAGTAGATGTTAGACCCCATCTCTCTCTCTCTCTCTCTCTCTCTCTCTCTCTCTCTCTCTTTCACCCTCTTCTCCCTCATATTTTAGTTTTTGTAAACATTGGATATCTTGAAATATTTAAACTTTTATATATAGACTTGTATTTATTTTTACCACCATGATATTAAACATGTTTCTTGGGTTTTTTTATTACAGTTACCAAACACACCACAGATAAAGCGGTTACGTGTTTTAACACATGGTGTTATGACTTTAGTATTTGTCACAGCATTATCAGGTATTTCAATAAAGATGTACTTTTTAAAAAAAAACAAAAAACAACAGGAAACGAGGGATCTCCGTATGCAAGTTTTAAGGGCTTTTGTATGGAATTTTGCACCACACCAGTTCCACAAGATTGTTTCCAAAATTTATTCTCAGACTTTCTTATCTCCCTGTGTGGTAGTACATTAAAAAAAGACTTTTGACCAATTTTGATAGTGTTCTTGGTCTGCGCTGTATTTTACCACAAGAATTCCACATATTATTTGACTTAGAAGAAAATAAAATTGTATCCTTGTGTAGTACCGCATTCCACAAGATATTGCACTAGAGTTTCAACCAAGACTGTACAGACTAGAATACCAAAAAAAATCTTGGATTAGATACCAGAATTTTATGTAAGAAGGTTGTTTTTATTAGTATAAATTACATCCTTCTCCTGTTATTTTCTGTAGATGGGCATAGATAGAAAAGAAAAAAAAGTATTAAGTTATCTAGAAGGATTATGTTTCTGGGTATATGGTAAACATGGAATACTTTGGTTATTTTAAGATACATGCTAGGATAAACTACTGATGTTCAACAAAATGAATAGAAAATGTTTCATAAGTTTTTCATGATCCAATTTTCCAGGTGCATTTGTTGCTGGATTAGACGCTGGTCTTGTTTATAATTCCTGGCCAAAAATGGCTGACAAATGGATTCCAGATGACATTGGTGCTTTTGATCCAAAATGGAAGAATATCTTTGAAAATCCAACAACTGTCCAATTTAATCACAGACATTTGGTAAGTTCATCTGACTAAACATTTAGTAACTTCATCTGACTCAGACTAAACATATTAACTACATCTGACTAAACGAATTTACTATATCTGACTTTGACTAAACATATTAACTACATCTGACTAAACATTTTGTAACTACATCAGACATAACAATTTGTAACGACATCTGACATAACATTTCATAGATTCATCTGACTAAAAATTTCCTAACTTCATCGGACTAAACATTTCCTGACTTCATCAGACTAAACATTTAGTAAGTTCAGCTGACTAAGCATTTAATAAGTTCAACTGACTAAGCATTTATTAAGTTCATGTTGGTAAACACTTAGTAAGTTCAGAGGTTATAATTGTTATTGTGAAAGATAATAATTGTTTTTCTCTGAGAGTATATTTGTTATTGTCAAGGAAGTGTATAATTGTTATTAGTAATGTTATTTCTTCTTGTCAATCAAGTCCTTATTTTGTAAGACAAGTAACATTGTTATTGTTGCTGTTACTTGTGCTAAAATCTATAAAGTTTTTATTTCTCTTTTTTTTTTAACAGGCTGAATCTACAGTAGCGGTAATAGCTGGTTTTTGGTGGATTTGTCGTAAAGCTCCCTTACATCCTCGTGCTAGATTAGCTGTTAACTGTTTGTTAGGAATGTCGCTAGTACAAGTAGGTCCATCAAAATACATGTAATTATTTCCCAAAAACTTAGGAGGTGCACAGAATCAAAGGGGTCTGCAGAAAAAAGGGGATCCTCGAATAAATAAAGTACTCAATTGTTGGTATTCCAACAATGAATTTCAGTAGCTTATATCAGAGTCACAATTAATACGTATGATGATATTCTTGCTATAGGTTGATCTACCACCCACCTTCATTAGCCCAGTCAGTGCAAAACAGTAGGATGTTTAACCTCATTTCATTTCTGATATATAACATTTTTGTCCAGAACATATATAAATAATTTTTTCAGATTTAAGTCTCCTTGGGTCATTTTAAGTCACAGGAATCTCTTGCAAACAACAATATCGTGATAGATGAATCTATCATAGGAATAACTGTTGAATAATGGTTCGATTCAGTTCAGTATTTAAGATAAAACTTAAATTGACCTTATTTCCAATGGGGGTGGGGTGGGGGATCTAGTGGTTTAACATGACCTTGTTTGTGTCGAGTGGACGTTACACCTCATTTCTTTCTCTCTTTTTTATTTCAGGCAACTCTTGGTATTTCTACATTGTTAACCTACGTACCAACATCACTGGCTGCAACTCATCAATCAGGATCTTTGGTTCTCCTAAGTTTTGCCGTCTGGCTAGCCAGTGAATTACGACGATTTCCAAAATAAAGACACTGTGATCTGACAATTGGTGAGAACTTGTACAGTGAAATCCTGCTCAACATCTGCCTCAATATTACTGGCGGCTGACTTATTCGACCATATTTTAAAGATGCATTATGTAAGATTTAGATAAAGAGCTTGGTGTTCTTGCTATAATAGATGATGAATAATGAATGTCTTGAAATTTTCACTCAAATCAAGTTATGTTTGTTAGAAGATATAGCGTAAGCAATGGTATTTAATGCCAGGGGCTCGTTTATTGTTATTTTTTTTTAATCTCGCGGATGTTTAGATCCAGTAAAATCTCAGCCTTCGGATGTTCTAGAAAGCTGATTATAGGCTTGTCATGTTAATAAATGTTTAAATAATAATTTATATAACATTTGTAGGCAAAAGAAAAATCTACAATAGGCAGATCTAGCTCTTACATAAAGCATCTTTAAAGAAAGTATGAAATTTGTATCCAATTTATCTCAGCCCTACAATTGGTCTCTATAGCCAGATTTCACTGTATCGGTTTACATATGAAAAATGAAAAGAACCAGTGATTTGATGTGTGATAATTTAAGGCATGGTTGTGGCTGCAGACTTCATAAAGACAATTTTTGGAAATGGAAATTAAAGTTCCCTGTCCCTAATACAATTAAGACCGGTAGAACGTATTAGTGTAACATTGTTCAAAAACGTAAAGAGCATTATTCAAAAACATTATTCAAAAAGAATTCTGGAAATGTGAGACGAAGTGGGACAACAACAGTACAGATAACATTCCGCGGTGTTATTGCGGTAAGCAGTGGAAACCCAGGAAGACATCTGTTTTTCACAATAAAATAATAATCATAGAGTAACAGTGTAAATATGATGGGCGTTAATCATTGAGAATGTTTTAATTTTTTATTTCTTTAAATAAACCCCACCCTGCTCAGCTACATACAAAAAATTGTAAAACACAACTTTATGAGAAAATTGTAACTGTCGTGTGCTTTATACTTTATCATCAGATGATGGGATGGGATTGGCATTCACAGCACGAAATAATGACATAGACATGTGTGATATCACAATTAATACTTTGCATCAATGAAATTGAATTACAATGTGATCTTATTAATTCATAATAAAAATTGACATCAAACCAGGTGTTGGATTTCTCTCTTTAAAAAGCTCAATGTGTATGTATGCCTACTTAAAGGACAATATTGGTGTCAGTCATTATCATATATGTGAAAGAACTGGTTAAACACATTCCAAATATTATTTTATCACAGTGATCATTGCTACGATAGCTGTGGAATCAATGTTTCAGAAATCGGAAGTGACGAACGCAAAAGGAAAACACAAGTTATCCCTCTATATGACTGATTGAAGTGACGGGTGATAACAGGTACATGGGCGAATTTTTGCCCACTAATAATTCTTTCGAAGACCAAAAGTTGTTGTGAGAGACCATGAAAGGATATCTGACAATTCATAAAAAAATTGACTGTTACTAGATAAGAGAACATGAAAGAAAAATAGAAAAAGTCCGTGCATTACCATGTTTTTATAAGGATAGAATGAATAAACACGCGTGAATGTACGGACTGTTTCTATTTTATTCTTGTTCTCTTATCTAATGACATTCAATTACTTTTTGGAATTGTCAGATATACTCTTACAGTCTCAGATAACAACTTTTGGTCTTCGAAGGAATTATTAGTGGGCAGAAATTCGCCCATGTACCTGTTATCACCCGTCAGTTCAATCAGTTATATAGAGAGATAACCTGTGTTTTCCTTTTGCGTTCGTCATTTCCGATCGTTGAAGCATTGATTACGCCTCTATCGTAGCAATGATCTCTGTGATAAAATGATATTTGGAATGTGTTTAACCAGTTCTATCACATATGTGATAATGACTGGCACCAATATTGTCCTTTAATTTAGAGACGATGATGGCATCATGCATTGTCAGCTGTCAAATTTCCTTAACAGGAGCCTGGCAAACCCCCTCCTGCAAAAATTTCTGGATCTGTCCCACCTCAGGGGCGTTGAAACTTTGAAACCCAGGATACAAAGCAATACATTGCGTCCCCTTCACTTAACCCCTGGTCAATCAGACATTGCAACATTAAAGACTGTATGCATGATATTAGCTGTATACAATCCCATGTAATCTACAATATTGTGAAAGTTAAAACTCTAATATAATTACCAGTCCAAAAACTGTTCAATTCCGTTCAGTATTTACAAAGAAATTGAAATTTCCATGGATCTGTGCTGTTCCCTATATAACGAACCCGGCGCCATCTCTATTTGCCGTAAACCAAAATTTTGGGGCTGTTTTAATCCAACTGAATCCCAACTAGGATATTATCCAGCATTGATATTTTGATTTTGTTTTCTTAATTAAAGTAGGAAAGTCTCTAACTCAATACCACCCACAGTCTTCGACACTGCAAACACGACTTACTGGTCAATTTAAATCAACATTGATGTTATCTTAGATGGGCTTCTGATATCCAGTATTTAAGACAAAATAAATATTTTACCATTGTTACACGAATCGTTTGTCAGAATGCTTTCCAGTGCCATTTGTAAGGAAGCGACTCAATGAATGAGGCTAAACATACATGTACCCAATAGGAGTATACTACCGATGTAGACTGGAATAACTAGACACCAAAGACTGCCATTCAAGTTCGACTCTTCGTGTATTTCGCCTAACATAACTGATTGGAAACTACAGTAAAAACAGAAACGATTGAATGTAAATCAGTTCATCATTCACGTTACATTATTATATGCATTGTGACCCATTTGTGCCCATTTCTTGGTGCCAAAGCGATTCAGCTCTGTTAAATACTATATAATCAATCGGATTACGTATTAGCGTGGATTAAGCCGTTAGAAAGTTGATATTTTCCGAAAAATGCAAATCACACATCGTCACTTTAATAAATATTTGTATATAGGTTTTTTAATTTACAGGATCCGATGAGAAGCCGTTTCTGGAGGAACTAGTATTTTTTATGACAGATTCGACCTAACATGACACTTGTGTAACAATTGGTTAACAATGCAATTTACATATCAAAGGAATTGTAATTGTTTAGTAAAAAAAACTATAACACATACTAAAATAGCTACTGTTATTTTTAGGCGACGTATCAAAGTGTATTCTTACAACTTCATCACGCTTATAATACTTCTACAGCAATACAAATCTGAAACCATACACGACAACATGTAATTTAATATAGCGAAATAGAACAACACACGATTTTGTTGCCCCGCCTTTTCGACTTCTTTTGGACATTTTCTGCGTAGGCTAAGCAGAGAAAAGCAATTTCGTTAGCCTAGAATACATCTGCTTCTAATTAAGGTGGAATGTTCAAGCTTGATGTATTGGCCGAGAAAGTTCATCCAGATTTTCCGGCGTGGTTCCCCCTTGTCAGTGATGCAGGACGGAGGGCCTGACAAGAACAGCTGTCTAGTCATTCGGATGAGACGAAAAACCGAGGTCCCGTGTACACATTGATAGTTGGAATTCGATATAAGAGTAGGCCGTAATGCCGCTGTCCGGGCAAAATTTCCCTCATAGCACACTGTATGGCGTATGCCCGTCTTCATTAGCCCAATTCGGAGCAAAACAGTAGGACGTTAAACCCCATTTCATTTCATTTCATTTCAAGCTTGATGTAGGTGTTGACCCAAAATGTTTAAAATTTGTGTAGTTGTTCGTTAGGTGCACTTCTTGGAGTTCGATGATGTATACATGTATGTCTTATTTGGAATAAGAAGAGATAAGCAATTTGATTGGCCGAGATTTTATAACAAAAAATCCGGCTTCCAGTTGAGATAGGGGGGTTGGATGGCTGAATGGTTAGCGTGCGCGCACGGTATCATAAAGTCTGTCATTGAGTCGACAAGCGTGGTTTCGAATCCCCGGTTGTACGTGACAAGGAGTAGGGTCGCCTGTCCAACCTCGTGGGTTTTCTCCGGGTCCTCCGGTTTCCTCCCACTGCTAAAGACCCCTATGCGCTAGCGAATTATTGAAATAAAATTAAACCATATGTTAGTCTCGAAATGACCTAGTTTGTGTCGAGTGGACGTTAAACCCCATTTCTCTCTCTCCCAATTGAGATAGGGTGACAAAGTTCGATGGCTGATTGGTATCATGTCGTGATGTGGTGTCGCTCTTCAATCAATTCTTGGAAAAATGGTTACATACCAGTGTGGGTGGTTTTGCGTACATACCGTTGTCAGGGTTGGTGTATTACATTTCATTGTCGGTTGGGATGGGTTAGGTTATTATTGTCACAGTTCGTTACGGGTGTGCATTTACATGTGATCATCAATCGTAAAAATGGCAATAATAGATATCCGCGGACTAGTGGGCATTCCCCTACTTGGCTTTGATTCATCTGTTTGTCTATCCAAATAAGGACACACTAATCATTACAAATAATTTATAACTGGTTTTCAGCTCATTTACTATAGGCCTATATATACTATTCAAAAAAAGTAGGGGATATTTGATTTTGGGGGCATAATACTAAAATATGCAAATAACTACGAAAAAAGTCACTATAGAACCTAACAGAAGAAACATTTCCAGTTACATGTGACGCCCAAACGCACCAATAGCTACCGCATGGAATGCAGGTGATGCTTGGGATCATCATGGGGGTCCAACCCAAGATTTGCACGACTCTGACTTTGAATGTTACAGTCATTGTGGCATTGAATTCCAGGGTGGAAACATCAGTTTAATTGTTTTAGTGACCAGAAAACAAATTTTGATATGCGTCGGCTTACCCAAAATGAAAGGTTACGTGCCCTTGGCATGCTACAGATCGGCACAACACAGGCGGTTGTGGCGCGGACGATGAATGTTTCTCAGTCTGTCATAAGCAGGCTATGGTCCAGATACCGTGATACACAATCTGTACAGGACAGACCACGCTCAGGTCGACCAAGGGCGACAACTCAAGCCCAGGATCGATTTATCCGTACCTTGGCCTTGAGAAATCGTGTCATCACAGCAAATCAGATCAGCGCTCGTCTTCAAACAGACACTGGTGTGAGAGTGAGTGGCCAGACGATTCGGAATCGACTGCATAGGGGTCACCTTCGCGCTCGACGTCCTCGCGTGATCCCTTGTTTGAGAGATCATCACATTCAGGCAAGACGTCGTTGGTGTAGGGATCGTCAACACTGGGATAATCGACGCTGGAGCAATGTGATGTTTTCAGATGAGTCAAGGTTCACTGTTGATTTTTTGGACAGACGTAGGAGGGTGTGGCGTCGTCGAAACGAGCGCTTCCAAGACGTTAACGTCATCAGACATGATCGATTTGGGGGTGGTTCTGTTATGGTGTGGGGAGGCATCACTGTTGCTGGAAGAACGGCTTTACATGTTGTTGCAGGGCGTGTTACGGGCCAGTACTACCGGGACAACATCTTGGCAGTCCATGTTGTGCCGTTCGCACGACGTCATGGCCGCCGTTTCATCTTCCAGGATGACAACGCAAGATGTCACAGGGCCAGGATCGTTACAGGTTACCTCCAACAACAGAACATCACCACATTACCTTGGCCAGCACTGAGTCCCGACCTCTCCCCCATCGAGCATGTCTGGGACATGCTTGGACAGAGGTTACGTCAACGTCAACAACGTCCTGCCAATGTCCAAGAACTTGCTGCTGCGTTGCAACAGGAATGGGACAATCTGGACCAAAATGACCTTAGACGTCTCATTAGGAGTATGCCACGTCGGATCAATGCTTGTTTGGCAAACAGAGGAGGATTTACCCGTTACTGACTTGGTTGTGATGCTGTGGTAACTTTGCTGTTTGACCCCGGGTATCATTTTACCCTTATAATGGTCAGTCTGTGCCTTACTTAGTCTAACGATCATTTGGAATAAATCGATGAATGTGAACTTCATTTCATTTTGTCATTTGTTTCTTCGTCAGTTTCATTGGTGACTTTAATAACACTTAAAAATCAAATATCCCCTACTTTTTTTGAATAGTATATTTCTATTATATTGTCAAGCACTTTTCCATTGATACAGCAGCTTCATTAGAGATATTCAAAGATACGATCAGCGTGGTTTCCCCTTCATTCAATTGTCAGTGATGTAAGACGG